GTTATTTTTTTTACTGTTTTTCCTTTTGTATCCATTTATTGATTTGTTCGTAAATCCGATTGAGTCTCATTTAAAACAACGTTAACGGGTGTTTTTTCATGTTAATGTACAAATAAATGCAAAAAAATGTTAACGGGTAATTGGTTATTGGGCACGCAATTTTGCAGAAAAATCTAGAAAATGATGTGCTTTCTGCAACAAACAGAAGCATGACTTTCTTGAAACAAAAATATTACAGGGTGGCACAGAATTATGGAGGCATCTGAGTGCTTCATATACAGATACTATACAAATCTCACTCGTAATGTACCAAATGTTATACATCTTTTGGAAGCTTGAAGTCTCCTTTAAATAAATATATCAAGAGCACGTGTGGCTGACTGGTTAAGTGTCTTTTATCTTAATCGGAAGGTCGAGGGTTCGAACCCCACATGCGACATGGTCACCCCCTTCGGATTTCCTTTCCCTTCGGGTTGAGAGGTTTTCTGGAGGGCAGTCTGGTGGTTGTGGCCCCAGTTCTTTAAAGTGACAAGCCACTCCTTCATCGTCATCTTCCCTTCACCACCAAAAAAGCTATTTAGTTCCCCATTGAGCTTAGGGTTAGGGGAGCCGTCTGTCATGACGTGGGTTAAGTTAAGATATAGCCTAGTATTGTGTGTGTCGTTGTATTGTGATTGATATATTTCGTGTATGCGATAAATTCACCACTGGTAGCCCCAGTCGGTATTTTTTAATAAAATTTACTTGGGAACTTTTGCGTTGAATTAGTTTATGCTCGTCCCCTCAGGACCGCTGCTATTTTTGGCTAAGTGCTTATATAAAATTTCTAGGTTTTCGAAATTAGGTTTCTAATCTTTGATATGGTTGTAGTTGATTGCAGATTTTATGGACTTAAACAATGATTGTTGCTGATTTTTCAAAAAAATTTTTTGCGGGTTTTATCGAAGCGTATTTTTCGCGATGCTAAAAATTGCAAAAATAGCCTCATATTTTCTCTTCTCATATTTTAAAAAATAACGCTCAGGGCTGGGATGAAATCGGAGTTTCATGGGGGGTCATATAAACGAAGTTATGGGGGCTTTAAAAGTTACGGGGCAATAAAAAAATTCATAGGGGTCATAAAACGCGCGAAATTTTCATTTTATGATTTGTTAATTTAAGAATAAACCTTGTTTTAGTATTTTATTTATTTTTCTTATTACTTATTTTTATTGCAATAGCTAATTATATTTCTATTTTTAGGAATGGCAAAAGTGTGGCTTGAACTTAGCGATCCGATTCGCAAATTTCGCCTCTCGAGGAGTCAATTTGTAAGACGGCACCGATGCTCTTCAGAAGCTTTCAAACGGATCGTGCAAATTCTTCGGCCACATTTAAGAAACAAAGAGAATTCAATCCATGTCCGTATGGTCCGTGTGGCAGCTACTTTGCGATACCTAGCCTCCAATTCATGTCAAGACGCAATTGGGGATGGAGTTGAATTATGCCAATCAGCTGTTTCAAACGTGGCCCATGAGGTGATAGCTGCTTGGATAAAGTCGAAGATTCTGAAAAAATTCATTTCTTACCCAAAAACGAATGCCCAAAAGCGAAAAAGCACGAAGGCATTCGGAAATCAATTACCGAGCGTCTTGGGCGTTCTAGATGGAAGTTTGATTTTAATCGACCGACCACGATCTCATGTGCATCTTTACAGAGCACGTCGAAGTGGGTACAATCTAAATATTCAAGTGATAAGCGATGGAAAAGGACGGTGCTTATATGTTGATGCGACAAATGCCGGTGCCAAACACGACTCTGCTGCATTCCAAACGTCATCTTCATATCGAGTGGAAAGAGCAAATCAATCGATAAAGGCTATGCTAATTCGAATGTGTGTATTTCGCTTATCAGGAATCTACAAAATCTCAAAGAGCAAAGGTTCAACAAAATTGCGAGAAAGCAGAGAACGATTATTGAACAACTTTTTGGTGTTTTCAAAAAACGTTCAAAATTTTACAAAATTCATTAAGAGTACCCACAAGTCTTGCCCCCTCAATTGTTGTTGCTTGTTTCATTTTGCACAACCTTATACTAGAATTTAAAGTTCGACCCTTGATTATTAATAGCGCTGGCCCTCGTTTGATTTCTCTGAAGCCACCTTTAAATCATGTAAATCCTAGGGAGTTCTATATCAGTCAGCTTTAATCGCCTATTTGGTTCGAATATCATCTTTCATTTTTATTAACCAGTGATAATAAATCTATTTTTAGGAATGGTTGCAAGCAAAAGCGCAAAGCGTGATGTTTGAAATTGAAAGTGATGATGAGCCCGAAATAGAATCAAAGAAAGTAAAAGAAGAAAGAAAAACTTCAGGTTCAGTTTATTCTATTTCAAAGCAAATTTTTTAAGTAAAATGTCTTTTGACGTTTCTCTTGTTCTGCACAAAAGGTGGTATTCAAAGGAACATCAAACGCTCTACACGATTCAAAGGGTGTTGTGGAAGTGAAAAGGTTTAAACTTTTTGAATTTTTTGTTTTGTTTTTGTTTTTAGACTCAAGAATGCAAAAAAATCAAATCCTCGTGGAGTTAAATTCGATTATGTTCAAGCTGGGAAATGAGCCGACAATAACCTTGGACCACATTGCTAATCGTCGTCAAGGCTCAACACGAAAAGTTCAAACAAACACCCCTAGGTAGGGTTAAATTTTTCTTATTTTTTGATTAACAGGTCCAAGTGGAACGAAATTGATTACATAATTTATGATGTCTTGGGAAATACTCCAGCGCTTGGTAAAATTGGCGGCGAAATCGATACTTTCGTTTGTCGTTGTTTCAAGCTCAAACTTTTTCTATCTAGTCTCTTGTTGACCATGCGTATACCTCGAAGAGCCCTTTGACTCTGATGAAATCGATGACCAGTTGTTTCAAATTAGCTAATTTTCTCCTGTTTAGTCTGTCAATGATGATCCTGCTAATACCTTGAGGGGCCCTTCCACTTCGACGAAATCTTTGATGGTTAGTTGTTTGAAATTGAGTTTTGCTATTATACTTATGTCTAGGTGGAATCGCCTACAACTTCTATTTGTTTTGAATCACGGCTGAAAATCATGGAGTATTTGTTGCAATCATTTGCCGATAGGATGAAGAACCTTGGTTCACGTTTGCTTAGACTGGAAAACCTATTCGAGATGCTCTTTTACTTTTAAATTTTTATATTAAAAATTTTAGGCTCTGCCGATCGAATCCGCAACAATTGAGGAAGAAATTTGAATTGAATTGTCGCTTGATTCTTTATTTGTTAATAAAATTATTAAACTTTCCTGGAATGTCGATAGTCAGAATTAGCGGTGTTGAAAACATCAAAAAAAATCGTATTTGGAACCGGTTGCCTGTGAAAACAAACTCAAGTCTTAACAGTGAAAAAGTTATCTCCCCATAAAAAAGTTATGAAAACGTTTTTCATATAACTTTTTTTAAAGAAATTTCCAAGAAGCCCGTTTGAGATCTAGTTTTTTGAGTTCGCTGTTCTAAAACTACGTACTTTCATTCATCGGGGTGCTCAGTCTCACATTTGGAGGGTAAGCGGTTGAATTGCGTTACGCAATACACAAAAATTTTTCATCCCAGCCCAGAATTTGAAATTTTTATGCTTTTTCCATAGTTTCTAAAAACTTTAGCAAATTCCAATAAAAAAAAACTTGATTCCTACTTTGAAATTCACTACAAGCAGCAGCGGCCCTAGGTAGTGTCAGAGTGGGCGAGCATAAACCAACTCAACGCAAAAAGAAAAAGTTCCCAAATAAATTTCATCATCTTCGACATTTCATTTTGTTCTTCGCCAAAAAAAAGGTTCCAGTCAAGGAGGTTCATGAAGCAATTCATACTGTTTATGGGCAAGGCCCAATAGGTCTAGCAACGGTATACAAATGGTATCATAGTTTCAAGTAAGGTGACTTTTCTTTGGAAGATGAGCCGAGGGCGGATCCCAGCAGCGATTTCGATGAAACAGCTCTTGCCAATCTTTTAAGAACAACCGATATTCTTTTTATTCCACATGTTCTCACTGTTGATGAAAAGTAGATATTATATTTCAACTATCGAAGACGCAAGCAATTGGTTAGACCCGGGGGAAAAGCAAAACCTGAGCTGAAGCCAGAACTCCACTAGAAGAAGATAATGTTATGCATTTGGTGCGATATCGAAGGAGTTGTTTACTGAGAATTGCTGCCTGAAAGTACGACTGTTACTGCATCTCTGTATACTATACAGTTGGATAGTGGTCGATGAAATCACAAAAAAACGGCCAAACACGGGAAAAGTTTTGCTTTTGTTTTGAAAAGTTCTTTTTGCATGACCACGCCAGACCTCATTTTGCCACTCACAAAAGAAAAATTGAAGGGAGCTAGGGTGGGAGAATCACCCTCATCCCTTTAGTCCAGACCTTGCCCCTTCTGATTTTTATCTTTTCCGGAAGCAAGCTGCAGAACTCGCCAATAAGCACTTCGGGGGCCAAGCTGAGGTCGAAAACTGGTTCCGCGGAATTTTTGGGGGAAAGGAATCCGCGCTTTGCCCGATAAATGGCAGAATGTGAATTCTTAAAAATGGCGGTTATCTCGAATAAATACATGCTTTAGCCTTTGAAAAATCACCGTGCAAACTTTTTCTACGAACTTTCTTGCCAACATAATACAGGTGCGGCTAATAAAACTATGGCTGAAAGAACTATTGCATGTACAATGTACTACAATTGTGCGGTTTTCCTATTTTGTTTTAAGCAAAACAACTATTTATTACTCTAAAATGGCAAAATATCATCATAATAAAATTAACTAGCCGTGCAAAAATATCACATAAGAATAAATGATTGTCGAAAATAAATGCTAAGGCAAAGTGATAAATCACAAACAAGATTCTAATAGAAATCTGCTAAATGTATAGGAGATCTTTTATCACAAAAAAATATTTAAAATGAAAAAGATAGCCCGGATAATAAATAAAAGTTCGAGAGAAAAAAGTTATTCCCACTCAGTCGTACCCGGTGGTTTACTCGTCAGATCGATCATCACACGAGAAGTCCCTGGCACTAATCGTTTAATTTGTTCTGCCATTGCAAAAAGATTCTAAAGTTCACATAAAAAAGTGCAGTTTTGCGTAAAAACAAGTACCTCTTCTGGTATATCTCTTCCTGGTAGAGCTGCCACTCCAGTCATGAAATCGGCTGTAATAAACGGGCGAACACAAAAAGAATGCTGATAGGAATTCGGCTGAGTAAATGGATCTCGATCAAAATGAACGGGAAGCATGACCACTGGCATCTAAAAAGATCAATATTTAGATAACTCCAGTAACATTTGAACCGGTTCAGTGCAACATTTATTAAAACTATATACCTGTTGAACCACTTTCGAGACATCATTCAAATATTTGTCCTTCTCTCCGTTTTCATCACGTCCAAACAGTGCATCCGTCGCCAAATGGTCAGCCTAAATATGTACATTCCAATTCTTTTATTTTAATTCCCTACTAACCAGTTGCAATTTTTGAACCGATTCTCTCGTGAGGTGAGTCTTGGTAATGTTCTCAATTGGATATAAAATTGGATCTCCAAAAACATAAACAATCCTAAACAATTTGCTCAAATCAAATAGCGTTTTAATAACCTGTTAACATTATGCAAAATTTTAGGCACCAATGAAGCGATCTTTTCAAATAGAATCCATGGAATCGGTTTTGCTGAAGAAGAGAGTGCTGCCACATATGAGTAAGATCTATTAAATTTTACAATTATTTTTCAAACAAATATGTTAACCTGCTATCCCCTTGCACACCAACCGATTTAATTGGAAGTAGAGTAGTGTGGATCTCATCAAGTGAATTTGTCAACAAAGAAAGATCCCATCCTTCGAGTGACGTACAAATATCATCACGGAATGCTCTTTCGCCGTTACTCTGAATGAAATTAGTTCATAAAAATAGAATAAACCTACTTGATATTCTCTCCCAAGATTGGCCAATATGTTTAGTTTTATAGAGGTTTCATCAAAGTCAGCACATCGATAGGGTCTATCTGCACAAATTATTCGAATCGCAAGTCCTGGACCCGGGAATGGATGCCTAAATTGAAAAATATAAAGAAAAGCTTTGTTTGACCTGTGCACAATATGATCGGGAAGGCCAAGACTGCTACCCAATTCTCTGACTTCATCTTTGTGGAAATCCTTTAATGGTTCAATTACACGACCCTAAACATTGATGAATTAAATATTTGATCCCTCATTAACCGTTTTGCGAAGTTCTCGGACAAGAGCCGTGTCGTTGTGATGCGTTTTAATTGTATCCGCGTGTCCACTTGCAAGAGACGAAGCACCTAAAACAACATTTGCGATGTATTTAACCCAAGCAAAAGTTACTTTCTATCAAATCGGGTCGAAGAGTTCCTTGGGCAAGAAAATATTCATGCTGCTTCAAATTTAACTAAAACTTCGAATCTAATTTGATTATCTTCTTAAAAAACCTCGTCCATCACTCGATCTTTTACTCGCATAAAAGTGTTGCCAATGATTTGCCTTTTTGTCTCAGGATCAATGGTTTGATCAAGCTTTGGTCCCTTTCGATCACAATTCACGGTACCAGAAAAAAATTCTGGCCACGAATTATACCCTAAACGATATATATTATTGAAATAGACTAAAACTTACTGTGCACATTCAAATCCAACGCATTCAAACTTTTGATTACCGAATCGGATTCGTTGTAGCGCATAAAACTGAAGAATTACAATTGATCAATCCATTAATTCATTAAAATGTACCCATTGTCAACGTGAATAGCTGTAACACGGTCTTTTCCAAGTGATTTGTGTAATAAAGCAGCACAGACAGCAGAGTCAACTCCACCAGAAACGAGCACCTAGAGACAAGTTGAATTTTTCAAGTAAACAAAAACAGACCAAAACTTTATTTTCTTCTCCAACAGTTTGCCGTATTTCATCAATACAAATTTGTTCCCGACTTCGCATAGTGAAACTAAAAACGTCTCTTTTAGCATTCTAGACAAGAACACGAACCCTCCTTTACACTTGCAAATGTTGTAGAGAAAATTGTGAAAAATTTGTCGGCCGTGAAGAGTTAGATCGACTTCGGGATGAAATTGCACTCCATATAGATGCTCTTTCTCATGTGCAATACCTAGAAAAGTATTGATGAAAGATTCGTCTTAATTAATAGAATACCGGCAACATGTTGTCCACTTGAAGCAATAATTCGGAATCCTGAAGCAACCGTGGCTGGACTCACCGAATCTCCATGCGTAAGCAATACCTAAATCAATCTTAAAGTATTGTAGTCTAAGATCTAATCCAAAGTTTATTTACTTCTAAACAAAATCTTACCCTTTCTGTTGATTCCAGTTTTTCAAAAAATTGGTGAATCCTTCTCGATTCGTACTTCTGTTTGACCATCTTCCCGTACTTTTTCTCGACTCACTCCACCACCAGCCCATTTATTTAACAACTAAATAAATAATTTTTAAAAATATGCATAAAGTACCTGAAATCCGTAACAAATGCCAAACACCGGCAAACCACAAGAAAATATCGCTGGGTCAACCTAAAAAGTGGTTATTATTATCATTTCCTTTGAACACATACCGTTGGCGCACCGGGAGCATACACTGAATTAGGCCCTCCAGAAATAATGATTCCTCTAAAATTTTTTTTAACTTTTTGCTTTTTAAAAATTTACTTGAATTTTCCCGTTTCGCATATTTGTTTGGCAGTTGTGGCAAGGGGGAACATTTCCGAGAAGACATTTTGCTCACGAACACGTCGATCAATAACCTCAATTTATGAATTTAGTGAGTTGATTTAGAAAGGCACATACTTTTCCATATTGGGCTCCAGAATCAAGAATAGCGATTCGATCTTCTTCAATTGCTTCACCATTCACTCGTCCACAACCATTCATTCTTAAGAAAATCGTAAACAATAATTGTTATAAATGCTACTTTTAAGAAAAAATGCTCACTTTTGTCGTATTTCTTCTGTGTCACTGTCACCTCTTTCTTCAGACCTTGCGAGTAGCCGTTTTGTTGGAGGAAACTAAAGCAAGAATCTGCAAAAAAACTAATACGTTAAACGGCTTTTAAAATAGCTATTAAAATAAATTTGAATTTTTGGAAAGAAACTGTGGAGAAAGTGGAAACACGTCCCAGATTTAAGTGATAAGGAAAGTGCTCCGAATCAAAACATAAGTCTTTTCCCAAAATATTTCTCGCAAAAGTGGAATGCACTTTAAACAGATTTGCAATAAACGTCTACATTTCAAAGAATTAATAATATCTTTTAGTCTAATTTGCTACCTACATTTCGCTTAAGCATAGGTAACATAGGTAGACACAGGTATTCTTACGATATGTTAGGTGTGATCACGACGTAAAAAACGAGTTATTACGATAGCGTTTTGAATAAACCTACGTCGTAATTTTAATAATTTAGCATTTTGCTATGTAGGGAATAAACATAAAACTATTCATAATATAACCGTAAAATAAAAGTACTCACACCGGGTTCGTCATTTTCCGGAGTGTTGTGTCCGCTGCTTTCAGCCGTACTTCCTCCCGAATTCTCACTGTTTGCTCGTTTCATTACCTGAAAATAAAAATATTACAATCAGAAATCAGTAAAAAAAAACTCTCGAAAACGAAAGAAGATTGGCTGAACAGAGAAAAAAGGCGGGATTACTTGTTTGGATTAAAATACAATAAATTTTGTAATGAGTGAAAAAGGTGATTTTCTCTGGGGATTAGAGGGAACTTTGAAGCATTGAGAGATTAAGGCAATGAAAATAGGTATCTTTTTGTTCACAAAGGTTTTTCTCCAATTCTCCTACAGGAAAAAGCAGAAGAGAGGAAAAGAAAGAAACACCCATCAATTGATTGGTGAGAAAAGATCGAGTACGGTGAAAGGGGCAATTTGGATAGCCTACCGTACTTTGACACACAAAAAGACCGGGTGCTTGATTTCTTTCAAAATCATTCATGCGATAACTTGGTGCTATAGTAGTTTGGGGGCGGGGCAGTTTGTAAACATCGCTTTTTCAAACTTGAGCCTACTCAAAAACCTATGTATGTAGACCGCAAAAACAGTAATTTTTGTACCCCCGGTTGGGCTTTTGCTCTCTATATCGATCTCATGCTATTTTCAGATCCGATGAAGACGTCAAAATAGCAGGCATCGTCGACGAGAAAATATATTAAAAATAAATCAATCAAATTTGTAGAAAAATGTATTGAAAAGGGCGCAACTGCAGTTTTTCCCCTCCCCCAAACCATGTTAAAATAACATTTTTTTGGTCCCATTTTTCATGCTGATTACGAATTTCGACATCTGCCGCGTTTTTAGAAAAATTTTTGACTTTTTTTTGCTTTGCTCCCCCAAGGCAAAAATTTTTGCGATTTTTTTCTAGAAACTTTAGGAAACACCTCTAAAGAATTAGCAACCACTTTAACAATAAAAAACAAGGTTTGGCGACAAAAACATTTCTACATTGGATAAGTTTTTTATCATTTCCAAGATCGAATCGAATGGGTTCACGTTTCTCTTTCTGCATTCTCGACGCCATCCGTACTCAACAAGAGCTTCACCAAAATCGTCGCACAGCACTTGTCGCCCACGTCATCTAGGATGACGGAAGAAAAAAAATGCAGGCTTACCCTGAAAAGCGCAAATGATACTCGGCACAAAAAATTTGGCGCTTTTGTTAACACCTCGTATGGGTATCACAATCCGGGGTTTTCGAATGAGTTTACTTTGGAAGTTCATAACTGAGTGACCATAATGATGGAGATGATTCTTTGATTAGTTTCCCTTCATTTTTTTGATGTTGTCACTTTTATGTAGAACCCCAACAAAGAATCAGCTCCATCAGTTATGGTCGCTTTGAATCCATTGCTCATTTTTAGATACAGAAATAAAATATCTGTTAAACATTACTTAAAGTCACACCAGATAGCTTACCTTGTACGATTTAAAACACTTTGCCCTCTTGCAAATACTACTACTGTATGTATAGATCTAGGTTAACACTTTACTTACTCCCATCTCTTATCTAGGGTTAGTATCTAGAAACTGGCTATATAGTATAAAATTAAGGTTGGGCTTGTTCCAACCGGGATTCAGGGGCTGTAAACTAAGCTAGAGCCAGGCCGGAGCCGGTCATAAGACCGATCCGAGTGGCATCTGACGGGCCCAGGGACTTTTGCTCAGGTTTACAGTACAGCGAAAGCCAGATCCAACTCCGGCAACATTTTGGAAATGTTTACGAAAGAAGTGCCAAAAATGTCGAAAAATCAGACTCTCTTACCCATTAATGCATAAAAACAATTACTAAAGCAAATTTTATTACAAGGCTTAGGCTTAGGCTTAGGCTTAGGCTTAGGCTTAGGCTTAGGCTTAGGCTTAGGCTTGAGGCTTAGGCTTGGGCTTAGGCTTAGGCTTAGGCTTAGGCTTGGGCAGGCTTGGGCTTAGGCTTAGGCTTAGGCTTAGGCTTAGGCTTGGGGCCTAGGCCAGGCTTGGGCTTGGGCTTGAGGCAGGCTTGGAGGCTTAGGCTTAGGCTTAGGCTTAGGCTTGGGCTTGGAGGCTTGGCAGGCTTGGGCTTGGGCCAGGCTTGGCAGGCTTGGGCTTGGAGGCAGGCTTGGGCAGGCTTGGAGGCTTGAGGCTTGGAGGCAGGCTTGGAGGCTTAGGCTTAGGCTTAGGCTTAGGCTTAGGGCAGGCAGGCTTGGGCCAGGCTTAGGGCTTGGAGGCAGGCTTGGGCTTAGGCTTGGGCTTGGGCAGGCTTGGGGGCTTAGGCTTAGGCTTGGGCTTGGAGCTAGGCTTAGGCTTGGCCAGGCTTGAGGCTTAGGCTTGAGGCTTGGGGCCCAGGCTTAGGCTTGGGGCCAGGCTTGGGCTTGGGGCCAGGCGGCCAGGCTTGGGCTTGGGCTTGGGGCTTAGGCTGGGGGCTTGGGGCGGGCCCAGGCTTGAGGCTTGGGCTTGGGCTTGGAGCTTGGAGGCTAGGCCAGGCTTGGGCTTGGGCTTGGGCAGGCCCAGGCTTGGGGCAGGCTGGAGGCTTGGGCTTGGGCTTAGGCTTGGAAGCGGGGCTTGGGCGGGCTTGGAGGCTGGGGCTTGGCCAGGCTGCAGGCTTGGAGGCTGGAGCCAGGCTTGGGCTTGGGCTTGGGCGGCCAGGCAGGCAGGCTTGGGCTTAGGCTTGGGCTTGGAAGCAGGCAGGCAGGCAGCTTGGTTAGGCTTAGGCACCAGCTCCAAGCCCCAAGCCAGCCCAAGCCTCTAAGCCTAAGCCTAAGCCTAGCTAGGCCTAAGCCCAAGCCCAAGCCTAAGCCTAAGCCTAAGCCTAAGCCTAAGCCTAAGCCTAAGCCTAAGCCTAAGCCTAAGCCTAAGCCTAAGCCTAAGCCTAAGCCTAAGCCTAAGCCCTAAGCCTAAGCCCTAAGCCTAAGCCTAAGCCTAAGCCTAAGCCTAAGCCTAAGCCTAAGCCTAAGCCTAAGCCCTAAGCCTAAGCCTAAGCCTAAGCCTAAGCCTAAGCCCTAAGCCTAAGCCTAAGCCTAAGCCTAAGCCTAAGCCTAAGCCTAAGCCCTAGGCCTAAGCCTGGGGCCTCAGGCCTAAGCCTGGGCCTGGCCTAGGCCTGGGCCTAGGCCTGAGGCCTAGGCCTGGGCCTAGGCCTGGGCCCAAGCCTGGGGCCTGAAGCCTAGGCCTAGGCCTGAGCCTGGGCCTAGGCCTGAGCCTAGGCCTCAGGCCTGGGCCCAAGCCTGAAGCCCGAAGCCTGAGGCCTAAGCCTAGGCCTAGGCCTAAGGCCTGGCCTAAGCCTGGCAGGCCTGAAGCCTGGCCCAGGCCTGGCCAGGCCTGGCCAGGCCTAAGGCCCAGGCCTAGGCCTGAAGCCTGAAGCCTAGGCCCAAGCCTGAAGCCTAAGCCTAAGCCTAAGCCTAAGCCTAAGCCTAAGCCTAAGCCTAAGCCTAAGCCTAAGCCTAAGCCTAGGCCTAAGCCTAAGCCTAAGCCTAAGCCTAAGCCTAAGCCTGAGCCTAAGCCCTAAGCCTAAGCCTAAGCCCAAGCCTAAGCCCAAGCCTAAGCCTAAGCCTAAGCCTAAGCCTAAGCCTAAGCCTAAGCCTAAGCCTAAGCCTAAGCCTAAGCCTAAGCCTAAGCCTAAGCCTAAGCCTTGTAATAAAATTTGCTTTAGTAATTGTTTTTATGCATTAATGGGTAAGAGAGTCTGATTTTTCGACATTTTTGGCACTTCTTTCGTAAACATTTCCAAAATGTTGCCGGAGTTGGATCTGGCTTTCGCTGTACTGTAAACCTGAGCAAAAGTCCCTGGGCCCGTCAGATGCCACTCGGATCGGTCTTATGACCGGCTCCGGCCTGGCTCTAGCTTAGTTTACAGCCCCTGAATCCCGGTTGGAACAAGCCCAACCTTAATTTTATACTATATAGCCAGTTTCTAGATACTAACCCTAGATAAGAGATGGGAGTAAGTAAAGTGTTAACCTAGATCTATACATACAGTAGTAGTATTTGCAAGAGGGCAAAGTGTTTTAAATCGTACAAGGTAAGCTATCTGGTGTGACTTTAAGTAATGTTTAACAGATATTTTATTTCTGTATCTAAAAATGAGCAATGGATTCAAAGCGACCATAACTGATGGAGCTGATTCTTTGTTGGGGTTCTACATAAAAGTGACAACATCAAAAAATGAAGGGAAACTAATCAAAGAATCATCTCCATCATTATGGTCACTCAGTTATGAACTTCCAAAGTAAACTCATTCGAAAACCCCGGATTGTGATACCCATACGAGGTGTTAACAAAAGCGCCAAATTTTTTGTGCCGAGTATCATTTGCGCTTTTCAGGGTAAGCCTGCATTTTTTTCTTCCGTCATCCTAGATGACGTGGGCGACAAGTGCTGTGCGACGATTTTGGTGAAGCTCTTGTTGAGTACGGATGGCGTCGAGAATGCAGAAAGAGAAACGTGAACCCATTCGATTCGATCTTGGAAATGATAAAAAACTTATCCAATGTAGAAATGTTTTTGTCGCCAAACCTTGTTTTTTATTGTTAAAGTGGTTGCTAATTCTTTAGAGGTGTTTCCTAAAGTTTCTAGAAAAAATCGCAAAAATTTTTGCCTTGGGGGAGCAAAGCAAAAAAAAGTCAAAAATTTTTCTAAAAACGCGGCAGATGTCGAAATTCGTAATCAGCATGAAAAATGGGACCAAAAAAATGTTATTTTAACATGGTTTGGGGGGGGGGGGAAAAACTGCAGTTGCGCCCTTTTCAATACATTTTTCTACAAATTTGATTGATTTATTTTTAATATATTTTCTCGTCGACGATGCCTGCTATTTTGACGTCTTCATCGGATCTGAAAATAGCATGAGATCGATATAGAGAGCAAAAGCCCAACCGGGGGTACAAAAATTACTGTTTTTGCGGTCTACATACATAGGTTTTTGAGTAGGCTCAAGTTTGAAAAAGCGATGTTTACAAACTGCCCCGCCCCCAAACTACTATAGCACCAAGTTATCGCATGAATGATTTTGAAAGAAATCAAGCACCCGGTCTTTTTGTGTGTCAAAGTACGGTAGGCTATCCAAATTGCCCCTTTCACCGTACTCGATCTTTTCTCACCAATCAATTGATGGGTGTTTCTTTCTTTTCCTCTCTTCTGCTTTTTTCCTGTAGGAGAATTGGAGAAAAACCTTTGTGAACAAAAGATACCTATTTTCATTGCCTTAATCTCTCAATGCTTCAAAGTTCCCTCTAATCCCCAGAGAAAATCACCTTTTTCACTCATTACAAAATTTATTGTATTTTAATCCAAACAAGTAATCCCGCCTTTTTTCTCTGTTCAGCCAATCTTCTTTCGTTTTCGAGAGTTTTTTTTTACTGATTTCTGATTGTAATATTTTTATTTTCAGGTAATGAAACGAGCAAACAGTGAGAATTCGGGAGGAAGTACGGCTGAAAGCAGCGGACACAACACTCCGGAAAATGACGAACCCGGTGTGAGTACTTTTATTTTACGGTTATATTATGAATAGTTTTATGTTTATTCCCTACATAGCAAAATGCTAAATTATTAAAATTACGACGTAGGTTTATTCAAAACGCTATCGTAATAACTCGTTTTTTACGTCGTGATCACACCTAACATATCGTAAGAATACCTGTGTCTACCTATGTTACCTATGCTTAAGCGAAATGTAGGTAGCAAATTAGACTAAAAGATATTATTAATTCTTTGAAATGTAGACGTTTATTGCAAATCTGTTTAAAGTGCATTCCACTTTTGCGAGAAATATTTTGGGAAAAGACTTATGTTTTGATTCGGAGCACTTTCCTTATCACTTAAATCTGGGACGTGTTTCCACTTTCTCCACAGTTTCTTTCCAAAAATTCAAATTTATTTTAATAGCTATTTTAAAAGCCGTTTAACGTATTAGTTTTTTTGCAGATTCTTGCTTTAGTTTCCTCCAACAAAACGGCTACTCGCAAGGTCTGAAGAAAGAGGTGACAGTGACACAGAAGAAATACGACAAAAGTGAGCATTTTTTCTTAAAAGTAGCATTTATAACAATTATTGTTTACGATTTTCTTAAGAATGAATGGTTGTGGACGAGTGAATGGTGAAGCAATTGAAGAAGATCGAATCGCTATTCTTGATTCTGGAGCCCAATATGGAAAAGTATGTGCCTTTCTAAATCAACTCACTAAATTCATAAATTGAGGTTATTGATCGACGTGTTCGTGAGCAAAATGTCTTCTCGGAAATGTTCCCCCTTGCCACAACTGCCAAACAAATATGCGAAACGGGAAAATTCAAGTAAATTTTTAAAAAGCAAAAAGTTAAAAAAAATTTTAGAGGAATCATTATTTCTGGAGGGCCTAATTCAGTGTATGCTCCCGGTGCGCCAACGGTATGTGTTCAAAGGAAATGATAATAATAACCACTTTTTAGGTTGACCCAGCGATATTTTCTTGTGGTTTGCCGGTGTTTGGCATTTGTTACGGATTTCAGGTACTTTATGCATATTTTTAAAAATTATTTATTTAGTTGTTAAATAAATGGGCTGGTGGTGGAGTGAGTCGAGAAAAAGTACGGGAAGATGGTCAAACAGAAGTACGAATCGAGAAGGATTCACCAATTTTTGAAAAACTGGAATCAACAGAAAGGGTAAGATTTTGTTTAGAAGTAAATAAACTTTGGATTAGATCTTAGACTACAATACTTTAAGATTGATTTAGGTATTGCTTACGCATGGAGATTCGGTGAGTCCAGCCACGGTTGCTTCAGGATTCCGAATTATTGCTTCAAGTGGACAACATGTTGCCGGTATTCTATTAATTAAGACGAATCTTTCATCAATACTTTTCTAGGTATTGCACATGAGAAAGAGCATCTATATGGAGTGCAATTTCATCCCGAAGTCGATCTAACTCTTCACGGCCGACAAATTTTTCACAATTTTCTCTACAACATTTGCAAGTGTAAAGGAGGGTTCGTGTTCTTGTCTAGAATGCTAAAAGAGACGTTTTTAGTTTCACTATGCGAAGTCGGGAACAAATTTGTATTGATGAAATACGGCAAACTGTTGGAGAAGAAAATAAAGTTTTGGTCTGTTTTTGTTTACTTGAAAAATTCAACTTGTCTCTAGGTGCTCGTTTCTGGTGGAGTTGACTCTGCTGTCTGTGCTGCTTTATTACACAAATCACTTGGAAAAGACCGTGTTACAGCTATTCACGTTGACAATGGGTACATTTTAATGAATTAATGGATTGATCAATTGTAATTCTTCAGTTTTATGCGCTACAACGAATCCGATTCGGTAATCAAAAGTTTGAATGCGTTGGATTTGAATGTGCACAGTAAGTTTTAGTCTATTTCAATAATATATATCGTTTAGGGTATAATTCGTGGCCAGAATTTTTTCTGGTACCGTGAATTGTGATCGAAAGGGACCAAAGCTTGATCAAACCATTGATCCTGAGACAAAAAGGCAAATCATTGGCAACACTTTTATGCGAGTAAAAGATCGAGTGATGGACGAGGTTTTTTAAGAAGATAATCAAATTAGATTCGAAGTTTTAGTTAAATTTGAAGCAGCATGAATATTTTCTTGCCCAAGGAACTCTTCGACCCGATTTGATAGAAAGTAACTTTTGCTTGGGTTAAATACATCGCAAATGTTGTTTTAGGTGCTTCGTCTCTTGCAAGTGGACACGCGGATACAATTAAAACGCATCACAACGACACGGCTCTTGTCCGAGAACTTCGCAAAACGGTTAATGAGGGATCAAATATTTAATTCATCAATGTTTAGGGTCGTGTAATTGAACCATTAAAGGATTTCCACAAAGATGAAGTCAGAGAATTGGGTAGCAGTCTTGGCCTTCCCGATCATATTGTGCACAGGTCAAACAAAGCTTTTCTTTATATTTTTCAATTTAGGCATCCATTCCCGGGTCCAGGACTTGCGATTCGAATAATTTGTGCAGATAGACCCTATCGATGTGCTGACTTTGATGAAACCTCTATAAAACTAAACATATTGGCCAATCTTGGGAGAGAATATCAAGTAGGTTTATTCTATTTTTATGAACTAATTTCATTCAGAGTAACGGCGAAAGAGCATTCCGTGATGATATTTGTACGTCACTCGAAGGATGGGATCTTTCTTTGTTGACAAATTCACTTGATGAGATCCACACTACTCTACTTCCAATTAAATCGGTTGGTGTGCAAGGGGATAGCAGGTTAACATATTTGTTTGAAAAATAATTGTAAAATTTAATAGATCTTACTCATATGTGGCAGCACTCTCTTCTTCAGCAAAACCGATTCCATGGATTCTATTTGAAAAGATCGCTTCATTGGTGCCTAAAATTTTGCATAATGTTAACAGGTTATTAAAACGCTATTTGATTTGAGCAAATTGTTTAGGATTGTTTATGTTTTTGGAGATCCAATTTTATATCCAATTGAGAACATTACCAAGACTCACCTCACGAGAGAATCGGTTCAAAAATTGCAACTGGTTAGTAGGGAATTAAAATAAAAGAATTGGAATGTACATATTTAGGCTGACCATTTGGCGACGGATGCACTGTTTGGACGTGATGAAAACGGAGAGAAGGACAAATATTTGAATGATGTCTCGAAAGTGGTTCAACAGGTATATAGTTTTAATAAATGTTGCACTGAACCGGTTCAAATGTTACTGGAGTTATCTAAATATTGATCTTTTTAGATGCCAGTGGTCATGCTTCCCGTTCATTTTGATCGAGATCCATTTACTCAGCCGAATTCCTATCAGCATTCTTTTTGTGTTCGCCCGTTTATTACAGCCGATTTCATGACTGGAGTGGCAGCTCTACCAGGAAGAGATATACCAGAAGAGGTACTTGTTTTTACGCAAAACTGCACTTTTTATGTGAACTTTAGAATCTTTTTGCAATGGCAGAACAAATTAAACGATTAGTGCCAGGGACTTCTCGTGTGATGATCGATCTGACGAGTAAACCACCGGGTACGACTGAGTGGGAATAACTTTTTTCTCTCGAACTTTTATTTATTATCCGGGCTATCTTTTTCATTTTAAATATTTTTTTGTGATAAAAGATCTCCTATACATTTAGCAGATTTCTATTAGAATCTTGTTTGTGATTTATCACTTTGCCTTAGCATTTATTTTCGACAATCATTTATTCTTATGTGATATTTTTGCACGGCTAGTTAATTTTATTATGATGATATTTTGCCATTTTAGAGTAATAAATAGTTGTTTTGCTTAAAACAAAATAGGAAAACCGCACAATTGTAGTACATTGTACATGCAATAGTTCTTTCAGCCATAGTTTTATTAGCCGCACCTGTATTATGTTGGCAAGAAAGTTCGTAGAAAAAGTTTGCACGGTGATTTTTCAAAGGCTAAAGCATGTATTTATTCGAGATAACCGCCATTTTTAAGAATTCACATTCTGCCATTTATCGGGCAAAGCGCGGATTCCTTTCCCCCAAAAATTCCGCGGAACCAGTTTTCGACCTCAGCTTGGCCCCCGAAGTGCTTATTGGCGAGTTCTGCAGCTTGCTTCCGGAAAAGATAAAAATCAGAAGGGGCAAGGTCTGGACTAAAGGGATGAGGGTGATTCTCCCACCCTAGCTCCCTTCAATTTTTCTTTTGTGAGTGGCAAAATGAGGTCTGGCGTGGTCATGCAAAAGAACTTTTCAAAACAAAAGCAAAACTTTTCCCGTGTTTGGCCGTTTTTTTGTGATTTCATCGACCACTATCCAACTGTATAGTATACAGAGATGCAGTAACAGTCGTACTTTCAGGCAGCAATTCTCAGTAAACAACTCCTTCGATATCGCACCAAATGCATAACATTATCTTCTTCTAGTGGAGTTCTGGCTTCAGCTCAGGTTTTGCTTTTCCCCCGGGTCTAACCAATTGCTTGCGTCTTCGATAGTTGAAATATAATATCTACTTTTCATCAACAGTGAGAACATGTGGAATAAAAGAATATCGGTTGTTCTTAAAAGATTGGCAAGAGCTGTTTCATCGAAATCGCTGCTGGGATCCGCCCTCGGCTCATCTTCCAAAGAAAAGTCACCTTACTTGAAACTATGATACCATTTGTATACCGTTGCTAGACCTATTGGGCCTTGCCCATAAACAGTATGAATTGCTTCATGAACCTCCTTGACTGGAACCTTTTTTTTGGCGAAGAACAAAATGAAATGTCGAAGATGATGAAATTTATTTGGGAACTTTTTCTTTTTGCGTTGAGTTGGTTTATGCTCGCCCACTCTGACACTGCCTAGGGCCGCTGCTGCTTGTAGTGAATTTCAAAGTAGGAATCAAGTTTTTTTTTATTGGAATTTGCTAAAGTTTTTAGAAACTATGGAAAAAGCATAAAAATTTCAAATTCTGGGCTGGGATGAAAAATTTTTGTGTATTGCGTAACGCAATTCAACCGCTTACCCTCCAAATGTGAGACTGAGCACCCCGATGAATGAAAGTACGTAGTTTTAGAACAGCGAACTCAAAAAACTAGATCTCAAACGGGCTTCTTGGAAATTTCTTTAAAAAAAGTTATATGAAAAACGTTTTCATAACTTTTTTATGGGGAGATAACTTTTTCACTGTTAAGACTTGAGTTTGTTTTCACAGGCAACCGGTTCCAAATACGATTTTTTTTGATGTTTTCAACACCGCTAATTCTGACTATCGACATTCCAGGAAAGTTTAATAATTTTATTAACAAATAAAGAATCAAGCGACAATTCAATTCAAATTTCTTCCTCAATTGTTGCGGATTCGATCGGCAGAGCCTAAAATTTTTAATATAAAAATTTAAAAGTAAAAGAGCATCTCGAATAGGTTTTCCAGTCTAAGCAAACGTGAACCAAGGTTCTTCATCCTATCGGCAAATGATTGCAACAAATACTCCATGATTTTCAGCCGTGATTCAAAACAAATAGAAGTTGTAGGCGATTCCACCTAGACATAAGTATAATAGCAAAACTCAATTTCAAACAACTAACCATCAAAGATTTCGTCGAAGTGGAAGGGCCCCTCAAGGTATTAGCAGGATCATCATTGACAGACTAAACAGGAGAAAATTAGCTAATTTGAAACAACTGGTCATCGATTTCATCAGAGTCAAAGGGCTCTTCGAGGTATACGCATGGTCAACAAGAGACTAGATAGAAAAAAGTTTGAGCTTGAAACAACGACAAACGAAAGTATCGATTTCGCCGCCAATTTTACCAAGCGCTGGAGTATTTCCCAAGACATCATAAATTATGTAATCAATTTCGTTCCACTTGGACCTGTTAATCAAAAAATAAGAAAAAATTTAACCCTACCTAGGGGTGTTTGTTTGAACTTTTCGTGTTGAGCCTTGACGACGATTAGCAATGTGGTCCAAGGTTATTGTCGGCTCATTTCCCAGCTTGAACATAATCGAATTTAACTCCACGAGGATTTGATTTTTTGCATTCTTGAGTCTAAAAACAAAAACAAAACAAAAAATTCAAAAAGTTTAAACCTTTTCACTTCCACAACACCCTTTGAATCGTGTAGAGCGTTTGATGTTCCTTTGAATACCACCTTTTGTGCAGAACAAGAGAAACGTCAAAAGACATTTTACTTAAAAAATTTGCTTTGAAATAGAATAAACTGAACCTGAAGTTTTTCTTTCTTCTTTTACTTTCTTTGATTCTATTTCGGGCTCATCATCACTTTCAATTTCAAACATCACGCTTTGCGCTTTTGCTTGCAACCATTCCTAAAAATAGATTTATTATCACTGGTTAATAAAAATGAAAGATGATATTCGAACCAAATAGGCGATTAAAGCTGACTGATATAGAACTCCCTAGGATTTACATGATTTAAAGGTGGCTTCAGAGAAATCAAACGAGGGCCAGCGCTATTAATAATCAAGGGTCGAACTTTAAATTCTAGTATAAGGTTGTGCAAAATGAAACAAGCAACAACAATTGAGGGGGCAAGACTTGTGGGTACTCTTAATGAATTTTGTAAAATTTTGAACGTTTTTTGAAAACACCAAAAAGTTGTTCAATAATCGTTCTCTGCTTTCTCGCAATTTTGTTGAACCTTTGCTCTTTGAGATTTTGTAGATTCCTGATAAGCGAAATACACACATTCGAATTAGCATAGCCTTTATCGATTGATTTGCTCTTTCCACTCGATATGAAGATGACGTTTGGAATGCAGCAGAGTCGTGTTTGGCACCGGCATTTGTCGCATCAACATATAAGCACCGTCCTTTTCCATCGCTTATCACTTGAATATTTAGATTGTACCCACTTCGACGTGCTCTGTAAAGATGCACATGAGATCGTGGTCGGTCGATTAAAATCAAACTTCCATCTAGAACGCCCAAGACGCTCGGTAATTGATTTCCGAATGCCTTCGTGCTTTTTCGCTTTTGGGCATTCGTTTTTGGGTAAGAAATGAATTTTTTTCAGAATCTTCGACTTTATCCAAGCAGCTATCACCTCATGGGCCACGTTTGAAACAGCTGATTGGCATAATTCAACTCCATCCCCAATTGCGTCTTGACATGAATTGGAGGCTAGGTATCGCAAAGTAGCTGCCACACGGACCATACGGACATGGATTGAATTCTCTTTGTTTCTTAAATGTGGCCGAAGAATTTGCACGATCCGTTTGAAAGCTTCTGAAGAGCATCGGTGCCGTCTTACAAATTGACTCCTCGAGAGGCGAAATTTGCGAATCGGATCGCTAAGTTCAAGCCACACTTTTGCCATTCCTAAAAATAGAAATATAATTAGCTATTGCAATAAAAATAAGTAATAAGAAAAATAAATAAAATACTAAAACAAGGTTTATTCTTAAATTAACAAATCATAAAATGAAAATTTCGCGCGTTTTATGACCCCTATGAATTTTTTTATTGCCCCGTAACTTTTTAAAGCCCCCATAACTTCGTTTATATGACCCCCATGAAACTCCGATTTCATCCCAGCCCTGAGCGTTATTTTTTAAAATATGAGAAGAGAAAATATGAGGCTATTTTTGCAATTTTTAGCATCGCGAAAAATACGCTTCGATAAAACCCGCAAAAAATTTTTTGAAAAATCAGCAACAATCATTGTTTAAGTCCATAAAATCTGCAATCAACTACAACCATATCAAAGATTAGAAACCTAATTTCGAAAACCTAGAAATTTTATATAAGCACTTAGCCAAAAATAGCAGCGGTCCTGAGGGGACGAGCATAAACTAATTCAACGCAAAAGTTCCCAAGTAAATTTTATTAAAAAATACCGACTGGGGCTACCAGTGGTGAATTTATCGCATACACGAAATATATCAATCACAATACAACGACACACACAATACTAGGCTATATCTTAACTTAACCCACGTCATGACAGACGGCTCCCTAACCCTAAGCTCAATGGGGAACTAAATAGCTTTTTTGGTGGTGAAGGGAAGATGACGATGAAGGAGTGGCTTGTCACTTTAAAGAACTGGGGCCACAACCACCAGACTGCCCTCCAGAAAACCTCTCAACCCGAAGGGAAAGGAAATCCGAAGGGGGTGACCATGTCGCATGTGGGGTTCGAACCCTCGACCTTCCGATTAAGATAAAAGACACTTAACCAGTCAGCCACACGTGCTCTTGATATATTTATTTAAAGGAGACTTCAAGCTTCCAAAAGATGTATAACATTTGGTACATTACGAGTGAGATTTGTATAGTATCTGTATATGAAGCACTCAGATGCCTCCATAATTCTGTGCCACCCTGTAATATTTTTGTTTCAAGAAAGTCATGCTTCTGTTTGTTGCAGAAAGCACATCATTTTCTAGATTTTTCTGCAAAATTGCGTGCCCAATAACCAATTACCCGTTAACATTTTTTTGCATTTATTTGTACATTAACATGAAAAAACACCCGTTAACGTTGTTTTAAATGAGACTCAATCGGATTTACGAACAAATCAATAAATGGATACAAAAGGAAAAACAGTAAAAAAAATAACTCGTTGAGATCGGAAAAAGACCGGTAAATCGAGAGAACTTAACGGGATAACGCGAATATATATAAAGATGAAGCCATGGAGATATAGGCCAAGGTTTATGGTAGCACGATAGCTTACTTCAGAGCGCCTATTCGAGTCGGCGTTCGGGAAAAGTCCACAAGTAAAGAATCGATGTTTGATGATAATTTGATAATTTGAATGATAATTTGTAACTACAGTAATATCTTTCTAAAACGTATCGACTAGCGAAAACTATTGTAATGTTGTCTCTGATGTTTATCTAAATCTCTCCACTTTTGGTATCCTTTTGGAAACCCTCACATAATTAGATCAAAAAAGCAGCTAGATTGAATAAAAATAGAGACAAGATTAAGGTAGTCGAGAAAGTTGACACGTTTTAGAAAATGGATCATCAGGAAGATAGCCGTTTTAAAATTAAAGATAAACCAGACCAAATGCAAAATTTGTTCGTCTTCAAAATGGTTTTTTCAACCGGAAATCTTAAAGCGAGCAGGGATTGTTTTGTTTTTCTGTATTCACAAATTGACTTCATCATATTCAACAAAACGATATTGATGACCAATTGGAAGTGATGGACCGAAATATTCTGTTGTATCGATTGAACGACATTCTGAGATTGTACCAGGAAAACGACTCTGCAAAAAAGAACAGTTGCTGAAAAATATTCTGGAAGCGCAATCTCTTCTTCTTTTCAATAGATTTTCCGGAAAAATGTTGACTATCCCTTATATTAAAAGATCTTCATTTTGCCCCATCAGTCTTATCAGTCAAATATCTTCATTTTACATCGTCGATTTTTTTTGCACTATAGTAAACCCATTTGGCAATATGTTTTAAAACTAAAAAGTCTAGAATCGTCACAATTTGTGCCGCAATCCTCACCGAAAACGATGTACTTTTGTATGGACCCCAATAATTGTTTCGAAGCCGTGCAAAAAGAACGGAGAACGTCTGGCGATATTGAGTAGAAATACCTGAAATCGGTTTGGATTTTGATTGAGTTAGTGCATTGGGAAACTGACATGGATACAAAACAAAACACATCGAGCCATTGATCAGAGAGAGAAGATCGAAAAAATCGCCCAAATGCGAGTAGAGATAGCGATTCACATCTTCTGTATAAAGCGCATTCAAAAGGGCGAGAAGACCTCAAAATATTCACCCTTTTTGTTTAATCGCTTAAATGCAGGACTAAATTTTTAGGGCTCATACATATTAAGTTGTTTTTTTTGGAGAATTCCTTTACCTTGGGGCATTTCCGTTGTTGTAAAGATGACGAGAAGGAGAATCAAAAGCATAGTCGTTCGATCGGATTGGGCACTTCGACTCTGAAATAATCGTGATTATTGTGCCAACCGGCATCTATTTAGCGCACATATCATATTGCGTGCCCCGGCTACCGTAGCCGAGTTGAGTTATTTCCCATTTCCACCTTTTTCACTCTCTGAATGAAGTTAGCCTGACAATGTAACAGCACTTGTTTACCCGGTTGTTCATTTTTCTCCCACATTCATGCTATCGTTTTGTTTTTGTTGTTTTCAATAGATTGGCTTAATTACCTAAATTTAAGGTGTCAACTTGATCGCTTTGTGGATAAAGTAGTTGTTTTCAATTGCGCACGTCGTCAATAAGGTGTCTCAGAGCAAGAGCTTTAGTCAATTGCTCTAACTATAATACCCTTATCGCGACAATGATGTCAGCTTATTGATACATAAAAAGAAGTATCGAGAATTTGGCTCTTTACCCATCATTTTATTATATATATTCTTCCAATTCATTTTATCATATCCAACCTGATATGCTTGTTTTGAGGCGATCTTCTCATGCGCGATTTTATTCAAATGCAATTTATACAATAAACTAACAGTGAAAACCATTAAAAGAAGACATGGAATAACCTTAAATAAACTTTTAATTTATAATTTGTCGGATATCATTTACCTTGAAGAACATTCCAGTTAGCCAAAGATTGAGAATGAAAATTTGACATCTAATATCATTTTCTTGTGGAAGAGCCACCTGAAAGAATCAGTGAATTTTGAGGAAATTTTTCTTTTGTAGTTCTTTTACCTTAAATTCTCCGGGAGTTACCGATTCGACAATTTGATGCACATAAAAAGTGGGAACAATCAGGATTGCCATCAACAAACTGATTACAATGCAAATACGGCTAAATGAGCAACTGATTGTATAGTACTGTGTATAGGATAGGGTCCTCTAATGCCTACAAGTAATCCAAAAGCATTTTTTCCTGGCCTGGACTTGGCCTACAGACCGTAGGACCCGGTTTGAACAACCCTGCTAATATGTACCTTGTAAAACATGCCAACATTGAATAAAATAGCAAGATTACAGTAGTCTAGAAAGTTTACACGTTTAGAAAACTGATTGTGAACTCAGAAGAAAGGAATAAACTTTATGTAAAGATTGGAATACAGCTCTTTTTTAAAAACGAACGATGCCATTTGTGGTCTCATCATTTTCGATTGAATTCTCGATATTGCTATCAAACGAATGAATGCAGTAGCAACAGAAAGATACATAGAAATCGAATGAAGAGAGATTGATAAAACGACATGAGCTGAAGAAATCGAGGATTGTTATTGTTGGTATCGTAATGCTTACCCAATAGATAGCAAATCCAAAGATATTGATAACCGAATGGAGGTGTTGATGAATCGATGAAAAGACCAAAGCAAATCAAATATAACAGATAATCGACCATTGTAATTGTATCGAAAATCGCCATGAAAGCAAGCTGAAATTAACAGTTTGACAGCAATCTTGAATGAGATGTCCTCTAAACGAACCAATCGATTGACGGCACTTCTTTTCATTATAGGTCGAGTCAATATTGTTATATGAAGAACATTGGCCATTACACCAAAAACACAAATGAACAGTGAAATATTGTGATGAACTTTTCCATAAGCACTGAATTTGATTGATACGTTGCATTTAAAGGAGGTCGCAAAAAAGAGACCTTTACAAACGGATTTTTTGAAAAAGTGGCGAGAGGTGGCATTCCTGGTGTCAAAACTGTTTATTCTGTGTCTCAATTTTTTGACTTTTTGTGAGAATTTTTTGGTGATATGGACTCCCCTATTCGTGAAATTTTTTTACCACGATGGTCACCACCCCCATCTGGGCCACCATCATGAGACTTTTGCCATAAAATTAAAACTTGCTATTACTATTGCATAGTAAATACCATTAGGATAACTACAAATTTAAACCATACACTTTATTGATCAGCGTTTCTTTGGAAAAACGGGACACTTCTTTAAAAAAAGGTGAGTTGAAAACCTATTATTTATGACAGATTATATAATGTAGATGAAGAAAGTTTTTTGACTAAAAATCTTAGTTTATATAATAACTCTAGCATAACACCACGACGCCAGTAGCAAATTTTAATTTTATGGCAAAAGTCTGATGGTGGTGACCATGCTGGCAAAAAAATTTCATGAATAGGGGGGAGTTGCCCATATAATCAAAAAATTCTCACAAAAAGACAAAAAAATGAGACAGAGAAGAAACGGTTTTGACACCAGGTACGCCCTTAAACTTTTTCAATAAAATCCGTTTGTAAAGGCCTCTTTTTTTGGGACACCCTGTATTTGTGCTCAGATATCAGAATATCAGCCTATGCACAAATATATTGACATGAAATGCAACTCACGCAGAGAAAGCTTCAAGTGTATCGAAAAATCGCTGAGTGGAATTGCTTTGTTCATCGAAAAGCTTCCCTCCACCACTTCCACATTCAGGTACCACTTTTGTCATTGTGATTGTTCTGGAAACCTGCACAAAGTCTTATAGATTGAGAAAAATCGATTCTTTCGGATAAAACTATTTCTACAAAAGAAAAAGACTTGTTATCCAAAAAGCACAATGTCCCGAAAAATAAGTAGAAGTGAGAAAAAATGGATTGAAAAAAAAGGTTCCCACGAAAATTTCTCCTCTCAACAAAGTATTCCTTCAGAAAAATGAAAAGACAAAAGGTTATTAGGAATTCTTTTTGGAGGAAAGAAAATCCTGAAAACACAAAAACATTTCTTGTGAAAGCCTTTGATACAAAAGTTTTCAGAGTTTCTATTTTTTAATTAAAAATGAAAGTGGAAATGGTTTGTAAATGAATTTATGACTTTTATGTATCCATGATATCTTCCAAAATCTGTGAAGATCGCTTGCAAATAGAAAAATCTTGGGAATCCTTATTCTTATTTCAAATGTGTGACTAATTGGTTAAGAAAAGAACTTTTACGTTAAGAGAATGATCTCAGTTTTCAAAAGAAGAAAGAAAACTTTAATAATCTCTGATTCACGAGAAAAAATTAGTTCAAAATCAGATTTTCTCACAGAAATAAGGTTAAATTTTATTATATACCTAGGCAAAAAAACCCATTCTTTTGTTAAATTCTCTTTTGTTTGTAATCGGATACTTCATCAACATCTCCACGAATCTTCACCTTTTATGCCTAAAAAGCAATTCTTAAATGCAAAATTGCAAATTTTGTTAGAGAACTATGTTTCTGTATATAAATATAATATATTGCGCATAATTTTCAAGTTTTCTCAAATGAAAATCCAGTGAGGGGAAACAGCATTTTAAACGAGTCGGTAGACATGAAAGTGAGTTAAAATTGAATAAACAAATGGTCATAATAACCATGGAAATTAGAGGATTTGAACAGTCTCTGGTTTTAAAAAAAATTGGATTCCAAAATGGAAATCTTACAAGCACGCGCACTTTTATGTGAAATGGGGGATGAGGTGGCAAATTAGAGAGAAAAATGAACAAAACAAAAACTATCGTTGGGGGATTCTGACTAAAAATTGTATGTGTGCAAAAATTCGAGAAAATGTTAATGTGAAAGAGAAAGAAACAAAAGAAAAAGGGGAAGAGGGAATGGATGTGAATTTGAGTGTGAAAGTTTAGTCATTCTTTGAAAAGAAAATTTAGGATTTGGGATTGAGGAAAAAAGAACAAAGAATTATCCAAATATTATTGAAATGAAAAGCCTTTGTGCCGGAAAAATAAAAAAAGAGAAATGTTCTCAGCGGGATTTGTATCGAAAAGAAATCGGGAAGTGTTCTTGGAATGAAAGCAAATGAAAAAAATTTTCTGGAACATTTGTGAAAGAAAATGATTCATTCAGAATGCGCAAATTTCGTAAGTGTTAATTTTAGAATAAATTACCTGGCCCCACCAGAAGCCAGCAATGGGCTTGGCTTCTGGCCTGGCTTGCAGGCATTGGAAGATCTCCAGTATCATTTGATATTAAAACTTTTTTTTATGAGAGGTTCAGTTCTTTGATTAAATTGATCAAAGGAAGCTAAATCTCTTTTCGGGGAAATTCTGAAGTGAAAACAGTCGGGTCAGAACAAAGCTCAATTTTGCGCAAATAAGGTCAAATAAGTCTTTATTAAACTAAAATTTTAGCAAATTGGATTATACCTAGATTCCCATCATTGTTCAGAAAGAAATGTCGTCAGGAAAGGAAAAAATAGGAGGAAATTAGGGATTGCAAAGTGGAGAAGATAGAATAAAACAGAAAAAAGAAAAGAAAAAGAGAGGAATCTCGACTCTAGTCATTTCCGATAAATGAATAAATGAACCGAGCAAGTTAGCGATTAAATGTAACAAAAAATAGAGATCGATTTAATCGAAAGGATCGAAATGAGTCATTTTAATGAGTTCAATAGTCTTTAATGATTTGAATAGTGGGTTTGGCATAAAAAAGCAATAAGAAGACCTTTTGATTCGATAGTTCCAAACGCTCTTTTGAAGCGGGACCGTCTTTAAATTCCTTCAAATGCTTTTTGCTTCAAATGCTTCAAATGCTAAATTTCTTCAAATCAAAAACGATATTTGATACCAGATTTTGTCCAAATTATCTTTTTTAGATTTTTTGATTCAAACCTATAATTTCGTTTTCCCTTTTCATGTTGACCTTTACTGTTAATTACTCGTCCTAAATTAACGGGAGAAACTCGACAAAATTACAACCTTTACCTAAAACATTTGAATTTTGCTCTCAATTTTTTGGTGTTCGATTTTGTAAGTGCACCCCGAGATTTAAAAATGGAAACAAATTTTACGATTTATTGCACAAAAACCAGTTTTTGTGTGTGTGAACTGTAATAGTTAAAATACTCGTCATAAACGGAAAATACAAAATGAATAAAGTGTGAATTATGTCATAAATAAGTAGAACAAAATGAATTGTAGAATAATATATGGGAAACTACCTGAACAACAAATGAATCACAAACAAGCACCAATCAATCACGAAACACAAACACTTTCACTTTTGATTTTAAGCCTCATCTTCATCGATGAGTTGTTGACGATCGATTTCTGTCGTATCCGCACCACAGAAGTTAAAGCAGCAACTGGAATTGTTTTTTGATAAGTGAAAAGCAATCTTTTGATGCCTCGGAGTTGTTCCAAAGGCAAGTTCAGTGTCAGGTCAGAAGCCATGTCCTGGTCTGGCTTCTAACTTTGCCTTGTTTGGCCACGTTTTGCTACGGGCTTGACCTGACGTTACTGCAGACCTGGACCTAGACCTAGCTTCTGGTTAGGTTCTGACCTTGCATTTACAGGGACTAGAACCCGTTTGAACAACCCTGCTTTTGTTATCACTTTATATATCTCTTTACATACGTGGTCAACGGATTGTCTTCTCCCATTCGTGGAATGATATGACGACGAGTGAAAGGACCGAAGAAAATGTCGTTATAGACAAACATTCCAAGAAGCAACAATGCAAAACCGAGGATCTGAAAAGTAATTCTTGGAAAAAAAGTAATTTCTTTCTTCAACGCTTGCTTTCTCATTGAATTCATTAGCACTGCATTTTTTTTGAAAATGTCTGAGAAATTTGTTATCTCAAAAACCTCGCGCCTCCGCACTGGTGACAAACTAACCCTTCTCTTTTTTATTACTTTTGAGTGTATTATTTTCACTCCCAAAACTGACCTGGACTGGAATGAATTTTTCATCAAAGAATGGAATTGAAACAATCCAAATGATCAATGTGCGCACTGAATCGAGAACCATTCTTGTTGTTGCCGAGAGCTCTTTAGTGACCGATACTCCGGCGAAGTTGAAAAATGCAATGCTAAAATTAAATGAGCATACCTAAGCATGTACAGCACGTGTATACCTGACAATTGTGCCACCAAGAGCCACGGCAATTAGCGGGCATTCCCCAATTTCTTTCATTGCAAAGATAACATCTTCGAGACGTCCCTCAGGATTTGTCGAAAAAGTGTTCGGCACGTGAATGAAATACATCGGAAACATCAAAGCACCCAAGATCGTCATCCCAAATAAACCTTAAAATAGGTTTTTAAGTTATTTTTGATTTTGTATGTGTAATGAAATGACTCTTAAGAAGTCTTACCTTCAAGACCGACAGCGAAAAGAGCTGGCACATCGTATTGCTGGAGATATTTTTGCTCGTAAACCATTTGGATAGCGACGATAATCTGAGCCATAATGATGAGAAGATTGCCGGTGATGATCCCATTTGTGTCATCGGTTGTCGAGTCGTCATAAACAATGTCAGTCACTCCAACAACGACAAGTCCCAGTGTCACAAAAAGCATGCCGAACCATTTGAATGGTTGAAATCGATAACGAAGCATGCCAACTGAGAGAAGTCCCGTAAAGATAATGACAGCTCCTCGTAACATTTGAAATGAAGAGGCGGTCGTTAGGTTGAGTCCAATGTACATGAGAGATGTTGCGATGATATCACAACAAGCAGGTGGAAGAAAAACGAGAGGATTGAATTGGGGAAGAGTTGGTTCTTCTGATAGATCCGTGATTGCTCCGTGTTCGCCTAAATCTCATTGATAGTTGAGCAATTGTCTTTTGTGGCTTATAAAATTAAACGTTTAACAAACTTAGACACTAAAACAAGCCTGTAATATTTGTGCGATTCCATTGGTATCGTTGAAATGCGTAGATCAGAAAGAACACAACCAAGCAAAGGAATTCGCCAAAGAACATACATGTTGCCTGAAAGATATTGACTTGTTAAAATTACTCAGTAGTAAATCACTCAGTAAAATTTAACATATTTTATGCAGTTTGTCGTTGATGGGTCCTTACCTGCAAAAATGGATGATTAAATTTGACGCTTTCTCCTGGAGGCTTCAGGCTATCAGCCCATCTAGAAAAAAGTTGTGTCAGTGAAAAAGGGTAAAAAGCAAACTTGGCACAAATTGTATTGAGTGATCCGGTAACGACCATCAAAACCGATACAAACAATGCAAATGCAGGACCTCTTGATCGATCAGCCATTGCCTTCAAATTAAAAGTTAAGAAAAAACAGCATTCAAAGAGAAAACTTTAAAAAAAATAGAAATGGATTAAAGGGAAAAATGTGCTGTATTGACCGGTGTGGGGGAAAAGAAATTATCAGGAAACGAGACAAAAAAAGGAGTTGAGCGGGAAATTTGTGATGAAGAAGAAAAGAAAGGGAAAAAGAAAGGGCAATGTTCTTTGATTGTGAGGAAATTCAAGAAGTGACTAGAAGAAACACAATCTACAGTTGTGAAAAGGTCAGAAGACATTCATAGCTCTAGAACTTGATGTACTTCTTGTTAATAATGTGCATACTGTTCATTAGCTTCAAGCAGGACTGGACAAAGACCTACGATTTTTTCCGTTTAACCCTAATCCCGAGAAAAAATAAGGCTGGCCATAAAAGAATGAAAGAAGAAATGATTGTGTTGATTCATTTAGATCCTTTCCTATCTTTTCTTTTCTTTTCTCTGCATGTCTATCATTTTACCGAAACGCCATTGAACAGACAGCGAGAGTTCTTGACAAAACAAAAGAGTCATCACATAACACACCATTCATCCATCATTACGATCACAGCAAATCTCGAAATTGAACAAAAATTAGATTGATTCTTACTTAAAAAACATAGAAGCAACTTTTATTTCTTAAGAAATTATAGATAACATCCAGAAGCAGAAAAGCTCGATAGGACTGTTCTGTTCAGGCTACATACGCAAAAAGCAATACCAATCTCAAAATTACAATGATTTATTTTAAAATATTGAAAATGGCTTTGAGGATATTATCGATTTGTCTTGTGATTTGTGACTGGGAATATTATTGTTTATGAATGCCTATGAATCACAATTTGGAAATGTTTTTGTGTAAAAACAAAGAACAAAGAAAATGTGATGTGATTGTTTATGAGTGGTGAAAGATTTGTTCTTGTTTGTATGTTTCCATTGTTTCCTATCGACTCGAATTCAATGTGCTTTTCCCGTTTTACCCATTCCTCCCGTTATTCTTGTTCAATTCTGATGTAAAGTGAGAAGAACATTGAGGGTCAATCCGATTTTATTATGGTACTGATCTTTTTTATGATTTTAAATGAAAATAAAAGTACCAACTAAATGTAAACTGAGTGTCTAGTTTTGGTTATTTAAAAATTTAATTTTACGATAATTTGAATATATTATCAATTTTGAAATGCGTTTCAAAAAAGGGCAAAAACAAATTTAACAACTTGTTCATGATGATTAGCTAATAATAAGGCTCAGCTCACTAGCCAAGTTTCAGAGTAATTAGACTATTGATTTACCGGATCCACGTGTATGTGTTCATGTTGGATATCCGTATATAAGAACTGCTAAAATAATTTTTGAACTAAACTTCAGCGTTTGGTTTTTCTTCAGCGTGTCAAGACGGATCCTTTCATTGATACAATTTGAACGATGTTCAATCGACAACTCAGTTTGAAGATAGGGAAATTTACAATGACATTTTACAGTAACAACATCTGAACAACCTTCTAAATCTGTAATTTTGTAATTCTTTAATGATTTTGTAAATCTGTAAATCAACCTAGTAAAAATAAAGCTTTTAAACGAAGGCATTGCTTTCTACTTTATATCATTTTCGTTGTTCGCAAGAAAACAATCTTCTTAAGATGGTGAGTGTTTAACTTTGTCAAGTGACAGCTGCTCTTGATGAAAAAAAACGTTTCCAGGGATTTTTTGTAAGAGAACGTTGGAGAATGACCCCGATGCAGAAAAGCGAAAATAAAGAAAGGAAGAAAGAAAAGAAATGAGGGAAAAGTCGGATGGACACTGGTGTTGGGGTGTAAAGTTCCCCCTAGTTGGGAAAAGGGGAAGCGGATAAAGCAAAGAGAAAATGAAAGGCAAGGAAAGGCAAGGAACTTAACACTAACGATCGATCTGAACTTTCCTCTTCACAAACAGCCCCACTAATCCTGGATACAGTAAAATTCCCAATAGAAGTAATTTTCCGGAGCGCCCAAGGCCTTAAGCAGAAATTAGTTTCTCTCCTGGCTTCTGATTTTGCCTGACCGGGCTTTTCTATGTGATAAAGGTAAAGGTTGTAATTACCCTGGATAGTGATTTAGGAAAACTCGTGAAACTCTATGAAAACTTTAACCTGATCATACTGTAATTGACAATGTGAGTGGCTTTTAGTTGTGGTGCATAGATCTTTCGTAAAATTGCTTTGATTTTGATAAAGTTGATTCTTTTCGCAATCAATTTCTTATGAAAAATCTTCATTGGTTCATTGATTCTTTAACTTTATCACATCACTTCTTATTCATTTGATCCCTAGAACTTTCGAGAAAAGCAATACAGCATTGAAGGATGGAAGAGAGAAGAGGGATATGGGGCTATGGGCGGGGTCACTGAAGGGGTTGAGATGGGTGATCGGTTTGCTCGAGCTCGGCTCCTTCATTCCTCGATTTCCGCCACCTGCCGTGTGCCGGACATCTCACTCCATTCTTCCTCGTTCAACCATACAATTCTTGAAAATGTCGGTCGATCCAGCTATTGTTGCCAAAATCGATGAAGGCTATGCCAAACTTCAAGGAGCCAAGGATTGCCATTCTTTGCTCAAGAAGTACCTCACCAAAGAGGTACTCATTTCATTTTAAGCAATCAACTCAATATTGTTTCAGGTTGTCGACAACTGCAAGAACAAGAAGACCAAGCTCGGAGCTTCCCTCCTTGATGTGATCCAATCCGGAGTTGCCAACTTGGATTCGGGAGTCGGTAATGAGTGACGAAGATTTCTCTTGGAATATCAAAATTAGGTGTCTATGCTCCGGATGCGGAGGCGTACACTCTCTTCAAGCCTCTTTTTGATCCACTCATCCAAGATTACCACAACGGATTTGCCCCCAACCAGAAACAGCCAGCCACTGATTTGGGAGAGGGAAAGACCCATCTTCTTCCCGATCTTGACCCTGAGGGAAAATACATCAATTCGACTCGTGTTCGTTGTGGACGTTCTCTTGAAGGATATCCATTCAACCCATGTCTCACTGAGGCCAACTATCTTGAAATGGAGAAAAAAGTCAAGAGCATCTTCACCAATATCAAGGATGAGGAACTTCAGGTAAGAGAAAAAAGAAATAAATATATATATTGAAATCTAGGGAACCTATTATCCTTTGGATGGAATGACCAAGGAAGTTCAATCTCAACTCATTGCTGATCATTTCCTTTTCAAGGAAGGAGATCGTTTCCTTCAGGTAGAGATCAATGTCTTCTTTGAATAATATAAAATAATCAATTCAGACAGCTAATGCTTGCCGTTATTGGCCAAAGGGACGTGGAATCTACCACAACAAGAACAAGACTTTCCTTGTTTGGGTGAATGAGGAAGATCACCTCCGAATCATCTCCATGCAAAATGGAGGAAATGTTGGACAGGTTGGGTGAATTGAAATGTTAAAACGAAAAATGTTAAAGAACAACAATACCAAAACCTAAACGATTTCAGGTGCTCGAGCGTTTGATCAAGGGAGTGAAAATCGTTCAATCTCAAGTTCCATTCTCTCGTGATGAACGCCTTGGATGGCTCACTTTCTGCCCATCAAATTTGGGAACCACTGTTCGTGCCTCGGTTCACATCAGATTGCCAAAGATCTCTGCAAAACCCGATTTCAAGAAAATCTGTGACGGCTTGAAGCTTCAAATTCGCGGTCAGTAGCCGATGCGTGTAAATGAAAACATATTGTCGTTTGTAAGGTAATGAAACAAATTTTTTTTCAGGTATTCACGGTGAGCACTCTGAATCGGTTGGAGGAGTCTATGACATCTCAAACAAGGTTAAATAATGATAAAAAGAGATATAACAAAGAAGAGTTTAGGCTCGTCTTGGATTGACCGAATTCGAGGCTGTGAAACAAATGTATGATGGAATCAAACATTTGATCGAACTTGAGAAGAAAGCTTAGATTAAAGGGATACTCCCAGATCTAAGGCCGGTTATCGTAACATTTGTAATGAGGTGTTTTTATGTAAATTTTGTCTAATAAAAATATTCAAGGAAAGAAACGAAACGAAAAATGAAAGAAAGAAATGGCACATAGCACAGACAGAAATGTTAAAATAAAACGAAGAACACATTTTTAAAGCATGCCAACTTGCTAAAGCTACCATAATCTTACTTCAAATCTTAAAGCCTTTTTTCTAAAATACTATTTTTGTTTAGAGTACTGCTTCTCAGCGGTGTTTCTTTTCCGTGTGACCATGATGATGCAAAAATAATGAACATCAATTTATTTTGTTGATTTAAATAACTTATGATCATGTTTGCTTTTCATTTCATTCAATTATCCAATTCGGGATAATTGAATGAAACGCCATCACGATCATTTGAATACGCGACCTCGTGTTGGAGAACAGTCCCATGGAGTACTCTTTTCTCATCTTTGCCTAAGACTTTAGCTGATCTCTAATTGTTCACTTCTCGGGTCTTTACTGCTGATGAGTTAGGGACGTGACGTACTTTCCACTCCCCATTCCCCTTCCCCCTCCCCATTCCTCTTCCCCCTCCGCACTCCAGTTCGACTGAATCGTTCAACCCCTTCCCTCCAGCTCAACTGTACCTTACCTTTTCAGAGTTTAAAAATTTTTAACGGATTTGATTGATAGATGTAATTTTTTATTACCTTCAATTTGACCCTTTTGGTTCAATTCCCCTTCCTAAAACCAATTTTCCCAACATCATTTTTCCTTTTACAACTAAACTTTTTGAGATTAAACGCTAATGTTATTAGGCATAGCTTTAAAATACATTTTCATCACAAAATAAAGCACATCTAATCACTCGGAAGCTTAGGGGAGCCGAACCAATAACCCCTCTAGCACCAGACTGATAGACAGCGCCACTAACCACTCGGCCACGCGTATAAAGATTCTGAAATTCAGTCGGAAATTCTGAAAGCAAAAACAGCCCAATTAACCCCCAAAACTAATTAGATTTTTGGAAATTACAAAATTTTACATATAATAGGGAAATTTTCAGACCAACTGGCTTAGCCGTTTTTTTCTAAAATCGCATAACAGACAGACACACACAGACATACTCTCTCCTATAACAAGTCGAGATGATGTGAATTCAGCTAAACCTCCTCACATCCATGCATGCATCCACGTCTCTTTCCCTTCTCAGTCATCTTCCATCACCGTGGGTCCAATATGGATCAAGCTCGATGATTCGCGTCATTTATTTGCATATCTGATTCTTTGATGTCACAAGTTTTTGCTTGTACCGTATGGTCAATCTAAAGTAAAAAGCGACATTGTATTACACTAGCAAAACTGCTCAACAATTGCTTATTTCTCTGAAAAAACACCAACCTCTTTTCAACTCATGGGGGTAACGAAGTTAAACCGTGACTTCGTTACCGTACCCTAAGCGCGTCGCGCGTTCCTTTAAAAGGCGGCGAAAGCGCCATTTCTCTGGTTTTTTCTAAGAGCTCGCCTCTTTGGTTGGTTTAGAATTTGTTGCAATGATCTCGATAACCAATAAGTATCGTTCTAACAACTCTCACAGTACTCTTTTCTTATTTCATAATCTATTATGCAAAAAATAGGACTGTTTTGATGTATAGTATTTATTATATATAACAAAGCAAAAATGTCTCGTGATCCCTTTTAAACCTTTAATCTCATCAAGGATTCCTTTGCTTTTTGCAATTTTTCTCGATCAAATGTTGGAGGAGAAGTTTCGATCAATTTCGAGATTGCCTGAATTGGAGATAAATTTGAATTACATCAGAAATGAATACATTAGTGAAAACGATCAGATCGATATCTCGATATCCTTTCAACATTTTCATTCCATTCATTTCTGGATTCTCAATGTTGAAATGCCAAAGATTCGACGGGGATTCCACCGATTTCCATTCTTCAGTCAGAGTTGGTCGACTGAAAATTACACTTTTTTGACAAAACTCACAAGTGACGGTCACAAATAATGCACTTTTTCAATTCAGAAGACAATAAAAACTTCAGATTTCCACCCACCCATACTGCGCAAAATTCGTCCACATTTTCCCATACCAATCGGCTAATTCGAAATCGAATGGTTGTGTTCGATTTTGTGAAATGGCCGACTCCCAGACACCATCGTACATAAAAACATAGGGAAGTTCTGTCGAATGGGGAACTGCTAAAAGGAGACAAAATTGCTTCTGGCTTTAACTTTCATAGATTTATCCGATTCGCATGATTTTTGTGTCAATCGATAGGAGATGACATCAAAATCACGTAGATTTGAGATTTCCCCAACTCACGTCTATATCCTCCCAATTTCTTGGTCACTTCATCGGCTTGTTCTGAATGTGAGATTCTCGAGCCATACGTTTGCTCATAAAGATAGATCTCTTTATTCCCCGCTGCACTGTACATTATCGCATCTTGGACGGCGAATTGAGCAAAAGAGGCAGCCGTGAAAAACTACAAAAAAGATATTGGGATTTAGATATTTATGTTTAAAACCTAAAACATCCCTGTACTGGTTTTTTAACCAAATATATTGTAAAATTTTAATTGCTCATCATTTACCGTACAACTGTCTATCCACCATGCAGCCGCATCGCTATCATTTGTCCCTTTTGCCACGTAACTCTGAAGTGTATTTGACAAAATGGATATCTGCTCTTCTAATACAAACCTTCTTCACGATATTCCAAACATCATCAATTCTATCGCCATAAATTGTTCCCCATGCATCAAAAACCAATTTAACGAAATTTGCGGAGAAATATTCGAATGGAATCCCCTCTTCACTCATTTGGTAATACCCTGCAATCGATTCTTGCCTGTTCTCCCGGGAGCTTAAACGGGTAGTCATACTTTGAAGGTTTATAACTTTGCCCAGAGGTTATACAGGATGCGATCAAAATAACCGGCGGGACATACTTTTTGCCATAATAGCGCGAAAAAGCATTTATCCACGCTTCTTTTCATGTTTATGCATTTTTTTATTCTTTTTCTATATGTTTCAATTATTTTTTTGATAAATAAGTGATTTAGAAATGAAGTTGGGACAAAAAGAAAAGAGGGTACCCATCTTGCAAATGTCCATGTCTCAGCGTGAGGGGTACCGCGAAAAAGCTGGAAGCACCGCATAAAACAGTGTCAGATGTGAGGAAAAATTTTGCCACACGTAAGGACTTGTCCGACAAGCCAGAAAAAGATCGAAAAAATCCTTGCGAACCCCAAAGAACATCAAAGTGCTTCTGTATTATTAACTTTTTATTTTTAGTTTTAAAAAGAACACTTCGGGCTTCCGAATGCTATAAAATAGCCTTTGATAGAACTATCCTATTCTGAGAAAACTATATAAAGAGTCAAGAATATTATTATCTCTAAACAAAATTATGAACTTTCAAAGTGTTGCTACCCATTTTAAAACGTGAATATTTCAGAATTTACATGTACTCGCGAATTCATCTCTCATATTCCCAATAATCATCGGAATCATTGGCCTCTTTTTGTTCAGTTTTTCGGGTGTATCCGGCAAATAACATTTATCCAACAAAAGTCGCCAACCGAATAAAGTTCCCTGAAATATTTTTGGATATGGTTTTCCATTTGTCAAACCTTATCCATATTGACCCAAGCACTCGGCTCAGTTTTCTCCATGCAGCTTTTCAAATCGGCGAAATCCCCGTTGTTCCATTGTTGATCGGTGAAATTGCAAAGCTAGAATTTGAAAAAGATGATAAAACTCTTGAAATTTTAGGTATACTGTAGCTGGGGAATGAAATAGAATGGAGGGGGAAATAGACGGAAAGGGGGTTTTGATTAGAATATTTATGGTAGATACAATTTGACTATTTTACTTGAAACGCTCTATCTTGACTCATATTGAGTGTTCCAAGTGATCCCTCCAATGAAGTGAAAAGAGCACCCGATTCCATGATTCCCTGCTGAAATAAACCTAAAAAAAGTATTATGAACGAGTTATAGAAGTTCATGGGAAATCAACTTTGTGTGACATTTTCTTTCAAACCTTGACTCAGTGGTGAATAAGTGTGCGCGGAGACGGAAATACTGCCAGCCGATTGGCCAAAGATCGTCACCGAATACGGATTTCCGCCAAAATAATCAATGTTATTTTGAACCCATCTCAGAGCTTCGACCTAGAAAAACCTTTGAAAATCCAATTCGATTTTGGCTCTTAAGCGGAATCTGAGCTGGGTAGAGTCAAAATTCCAGATCCGGAAATCCGCCCAGTCCTGGTTTTTTTTCGGAAACCGAGGTTTTTGAATGAGTTTTAAGAATAAAATTATTCCTAACTTTTTATACACAAAGTTTTAAAGCAAATTTTTTTGTGCTTTCGAATGATATAAAATAGAGTTTTATTGGATCAGAAAATCCTGAGAAAATCGAGAGAGAAAAGGTGCTCAATTTATACGGCACTGTTTTCTCAACTTGGCTGCTGTTTGGGAGTGAAACAATGGGTTACAGGATGTAAAATTTGTCGAAAAATATAGCCAAAATTGGAGCAAAAAGATACCCGGAGGTTTCGATTGAAGCTATTCATTTTATTAAGTCCTCTCGGGAATGTTTGGTCAAACTGATTTTATATCATTCGAAAGGCTGAAGTGTCCTCTTTAAAGCTTTGATAAAAAGTTGAGAATATTATCATTTCTGATCAAAATTATGAAGCTTCAAAACGCGGCTACCCATTTTAAAAGGCTTACTTGATCGAGCATTCCCCGATTTGCCGGGAACTCATCGGTGCTTGTCGTGAAAAAACCGGGGATATTTAGGCGATATTGAATTGTCACAACAACCACTCCACGGGAGACAAGATTTCGCACAATACCCTGAAAATGATTGGATTTAGGGTTATTTTTTGGCTTACTTTAACAGGGAATTGTGCGGCACATCCCCCCGGTGAACGATCCCCCGTGAATCCACACCATTACCGGGTATTTGTGTACTGCGTTTGCCTATTGAATTCAAGATTCAGAAAAGACATAGAAACAAACATTTGGAGTGATGACATTGAGATAAAGACAATCCTCACTTTGCACAGAACAAGCCGACATATCTGGTTGAACACAGGCAGCTCTGTGAAAATGAAAGAACCATATCAAACTTTGAACTCATTTCCTACTTAAATTTTGTTGCATTCACGCGTCGATTCGGATATTCCATTATTGGCACTGGCATCTGAAAGGATTATTATTTCAAAAAGACTCTGATCAAGTCAAACTTGAAATCGTTTTTCCCCAACAGGAGGCTCAGCAAATGGAATCCCCATGAAAACATCGGCTTCTCCATACCATAATGAAGAGAGATTGTTCCCATAATTGACATGAAAACCCTAGAAATGAGAAATGACTAAGGATTTGTACATGATGAGAGAAAATTGCTGCATAACTTGAAAATCTCAAAAAAATTAATCCATTCAAAATACCCGATAACCCGACAAGTTTCATATTCTCTGCCATCATTACCCCCACAGATCCCATTGGAGTTTCCACAAAGAGATCCTGCGCGAATCCCAGAGAAAATAAAACGAAGAAAGTAATTGATTGAATTGATGACATGATTCTCGTTATTGAACCCAATCCAATAAGTTTCCCGTGTCAAAATTTTCCCTTTTCCCTTTTTTTATCAGTTTATTGCGATTTTTAACGAGCCGGATCCTTTGAAAAATCTGTGAAGAAACACATAAAACTCAATTGAAAATCAGAACTAAAAAACGGTTACGTTTTTTGAATTTTTAACATTGAAGACAAAATGTTATCTTTATTCTCTGATTTTCTTTAGATTCAAAGACTAAATTGATCAAGAAAAGCAAAAAAACAACTAAATTTCACAACTCAAAATGCTCGGCAGAGATAAGCTTAATTCAAAAAGCCATCCGGAGTACGGTAGCTAAACGCGTCTTTTAGAAACTTTCCAATTCAAAGTACATCATTGAATCTCAGTAAGCCTAAGAACACCGTGGTAAAATTCTATTTTGAGTACGGTAGTTTTTGGGATGAGTTACTTCTTACTTCATTAGAGCATCTTTTAGTACATTGGCGTGTATAAGTGTGACTCACAAGTAGAATCCCCCACAGACCGGGGCTGATCGGCTGATGGGGAGGATCATCCTCCCCTCCCCTGTCCCCCTCACATGTCCCTTTCCCTGTCCTATTCCTATTCTTCCATTCCTCCATTTCTCATCCATCACCGATTTGTCCCCCATTCTTTTTTCAATTGTTGACTGACCATTTTTCCGTCAAAATAACTCCCACACGCTTATTTACGAGATTTCTCCCAATTTATCACAGCTCGTTGGTTTATGTGAATGTTTTAGATTCGGTCTTGGGTTGTTGTCAATTTTTCTATTAAATTAACTTCTATTCCTTTTGCTTTCGAGGGAAAGACAAGGTTTGGTCTGGCTTTACTGTGGTTTACAAATACTTGGGCCAAGCCAGGCCTGGACCGGCCTGGCTTGCAAGTCATAGGACCCAGTTGGAACAACCCTAAGCAAAAAGCGCGGACAGCTTTGCGGCGCCGAATAACTCAATCCACTTTTATCACCTGCTTCTCAATCCTTGCAAATCCCCTCCAAAATGATCCTCATTCTCCTTCTCATTCTCTTCTTTTCCACAAAAGTTCCTCGTTTCTTTTTTCATCATTTTTTCTTTTCCTTTCTCATCATCAATTTGATGTCTTTTCTTCGCTTTTTCTCGATTTTCCCATTTTTCTTTAACTTTTCCAATGAGTTCTTGTGCTGTTCAACTGTTCATTTACTCCCAGTCGCACTGGTCCAATTCAACATTGCTTCTTTTCTTTTGCAAACTTGCATCTGAGGTTTAATTTTGGTCCTTGCAAAGTTTGCAAAGAAGTTGTTTATCTTGCTTGTAAAGTGATAACCTGGAAGTATCAAAATACACATTGCTTTACACACTCAAGAGGGCATTCGTGCAGAATGGAGATTTTTTGATCTTTTCTCTCTTTTTCCCATTCTCAAGTTGCTCATCATTCCCATCAAAATGTGAGGGTGTCCCTTCCGTTATGTCCCATCATGTCTATCCGGTGTCCCTCAATGTCTATCCCGTGCAGAGTTGTTCCAAAAATCTTGTCCAAGTTAAAGCCAAAGCCATTGCCCGAGCTTGGCCTTGACCTGGGTTTTTTTGGGAAGCTAAGCCAAAATCAAAGCAAGGGTAGCAATTGCCTTGTCTTGCCTTGCCACGGCTTGGTTTGGGATCTCTGGCAAGCTAACGAAAGCCATGCCGAAAGCGAAATTCGTGTAGAAAAACCAGACCAGGGTTAAGCAAAGGTTAAGAGATTGGCCAGGACCTGGCTCACAATCAGGCTAAAAATTGGTCCTAAGAAAAGCCCCTTGTCCCCTCTTGCCCCCCCCCCCCTCTTTGTGTCCCTATCTTCTCCCGTCGCATTCTCTCTTTCTCATCCAAAGGTCAATCTCTTTCTCCATTCTATCCATTCTATTTCGAATCTTTGCCATTTAATGTTCTTTTCCATTTTCTCCTCATTTCTTGTGTAAGAATCCATTTTCTTTATTTCTCCCTTTTTCCCCCAAGAGAACAGACTTATTTTGAGTCGGCCGGCGATTTCTGATCGGATTTATCGCCGTCTTATCGGCAGCCTAAAACGTTAACGATAAACTTTCACCATTTCCAGCTTTCTCCTTGTTCAAGCTAACACGTTAACTGCTGCTCTCAATGCAAACCTTTTCAGTAGATCTGTCCCCTAACCAGTTAACATGCAAATTTAACCTCCTAACTTGCATTTTTACATGTTTTGCTACGATATTGAATAAACTTAGGCTAGAATAAATTTATTTTAGCCTAACAGAGCTTAATCTAGCATCTCTTCATATACTTGCCTACATTTTAATCGCTAATGTTCTAACTATGAGGTACAAATGTCTCTATTGTGATTGAGTTGTGGAGGTGAAAAAAAAGAAAGAAAGAAAAGAGTTCACCTGAGACTCTTTTCCTGACACCCAAAAACTCGTTGATGAGTGAGTGATTGTACTGAGAAATATTTGGAGGAAAATGAGGGTGAAAAACGGAAAAGAAATGGGAAATGAGAGACCTTTTAACCAAAAGTTTTTCCAGGAAGATGTAGTTGTAAAACTTTGAAGTGATTGAGAGATTTAATACCCATGCTTTATTTTCATAAACAATATCTTTGCAAATTGTTCTTTCTCGTCTCGATTCTTTGTGCTTGTCCTTTTTTTGGAGTTATCACGGCCATTTTGAATGAATAACCATGCTTTAAAGGTCCATAACTTTGTCTAGAGATAAAATATTTTTGAATTTTTATATTTTTTATATTAATCTTGACTTTGGAAATCCGACCACTCAAACCGTGAAATTCTCTATCTCTGTTTGACTTTCCTTGGCTTTGCCTAATCACATACTTGCCCCAAAAACCTCATTCTAATCATTTCTTCTTTATTTTCCCTTTTCAAATGATCGATGATAATATTTCTGTTATTGAATAGCTGAAGGCTATTATCTTTCGATGAAAACTAATGTATTCGAGGAAAATAATCATAAATCATACTGCTTTGATGAGATAAAAGAGAACTAAATTCTTCGTTTCTCAATGTTTCGAAAGATTTACTTTATTTAAAATACCGATTCTATTTTCAGAAAAGAGATCAATTCATTCAATTTCCCCATTCAAACTGGTTCTCCTCGCCGTCACAATGCTCAGTCCGGCGATGCTCAAATCGATGGGACGCCGGTTGGGGAGATAAATAGAAATTGACAGATATTGAGAATATCAACACATACCGTAACCATTCTAATAGAAGGCTTCGATTCCACTCTATTTCATGCCCCAGTTACAGTATACCCAAAGATCAAGATCTTCTAAAAAATGAGTGTTTTTTATGGATTTTCATGCGGTTTTCCATGTCAATATTTTTTTAGCCTATAACTATTATATAAAGCATTTGGGAGTCTTTTAAAAAAACATTTTGTTATCCGAGAGTTGAAAAAAAGCAAGAAAATGAAAAACTTTTGTCCAAAGGGACTATTTGAATGTTTAAGGTAATATAATACTCCAAGGAAATACAAATATCATCTATGAATTCATCATTTTCCAGTACTTCCCGAGAAGTGAACCTTCCCCTCGATGGTCCTCGTTCCAGAGATTCCAAGGGAAATCTTCTACCGCTCCTCGAAGAAGAAGAGGTCATCCATGTTCGTTTTTAAAGATTAAATCACTAATTTTATCAACATTTGATCTGTTAATTGGCTCCTACAAGCTTTTCGGATATTGGGTACATTGAGATGAAAGGGATTGATCTGATTGTGTGATGGAAAACGTGTACGACAATTAATCACTGAATAAAAAGGGAATTGAGAGGAAAGATTTAGGAAAAAGAGGGGAAATTGAGGAGGAAAAGGACAAAACGATTGGAAATCAGAGGAAAGATTATTTGGAAAAGTAAAGTACTGAAATATCAGTTTCCGTAACCGGAATCAAACCCTCGATCTTTCGAACATTTAGCCAAGACTGCTCGGTCAAAATACTTGAACACACCAAATAACGAGGTTTCAAAGGCTTCTTCTAAATTTTTAAAATTCTATTCTTCTAAACTTCTAAATTTAGATTTTAAATGTCTAAAGATAGTATTTATAGAAAACACTTCGGGCTTGCGAATGATAAAAAATACAGTTTCATTGAGCTATCCAATGCTGAGAAAACAAAAAAAAAGAGAGAAAAGATCTTCAAGTTATACCGCAATATTCTATCAATATGGCTGCTGTTTGGGAGTAAAACAATGGGTTACAGAATGTAAAATTTGTCGAAAAATATAGCCAAATTCAAGGGGAAAATTGGTCCCAAAAATTTAGGCATAGTAATGCCTAAAGCGAGCACATCACCAGTCATTTTCACAGGCCTTCTTTTGTTTTGTAGATGATTCAAAAAGATGATATTTAGCTGTAAATTTGTAACTGGGGGTTTTTGGGGTCGGCGAGTCGATTGGAGTTATTCATTTTATTGAGTCTTCTCGGGATTGTCTGGTCAAATCGAGTCTATTTTATATTGTTCGAAAGCCTAAAGTGTCTTCTTTAAAACAGTATAAAGTCCAGAATAATATTATCTCTAAATTATTGACCTTCAAAGTTCAAAATTGCTCATTCAAAAACCGCGGATAATTCCCCAGATGTCCCCCGAAACCCTAGATAACAGGCAAGAGCCGAGAAAATTAATTGTAAGACGTAATGCAAAAGATTTTCCGAGATATTATGTTTTATCTAACGATAATAAGGCTAATATTAAGCCAAGTGTTTGTCCGAGAATTTTTAAAAGCAAAATGTGTAAGTTGAGACGACGAGGAAGTTTCGAGAAAAATCGAGGAAATCATCTGTAATTTCAGACACAAAAGCTTTTTTTTCAGTACAATGGTCGTCGACGAGCCTCAAATCATTCGATTCTCGATTTTGATGGAGATAGTGAGTATTTGATTGATTGATCCATTGATTGATTCCAAATTATTCATTTCAAACTGTATTTAGCCGCTGTCATGCTTCGCGGGGTCTTCGAGCAGGTGAGAAAATACAGAAATCGCATGAGAAAGATCAACTTTAAGACTCCCATGAAAAATGATCGGATTCTTTATATACTCGAGGCAGTTCACAGAATAATAAAGATAAAATAGTCCGTCCATTCACAAACAAATCTAGCTGGATCTACCAGCTCGGTCAGCTTCGAATGTAACTCAATCCTCTTATGAATGGACGGGCCAGTTTTATCTCCATTGAGTTCCATTAGATAGCCTAGTCATTTTTATATCAAAATATAGAAAAAACAAACAAAAATATCAATTCTGAACAAAGATATGAGCGCAAGAAGCACTACTCTAAATGCCCGGAAACTAGACAGGAGTCTATCTATCTACTATATATAAAAGAGCAGTGTCTGTTCGTCTGACTGTCTGTACGGGCATTTTCCTCGGCCGTTTTTGAACAATAAAGCTAAAACCTCTTTAAAAAAACCTTAGAATATATTGTAGTTGTGCTATTTAAAAAATCAAACTTGGGTGTTTCACCAAAAATATCCGAGAATCGAGCCCGGACCGCGTGGTTCGTAGACAAGCTCGCTCCCGACTACATTACGGCGACAAAGCATTCGGTCAGAAAAAGCCGCTGTTAGGCGAGTTTTTCGGCTGGTACTGTGATATAAACCGATTTGTTGGCTGAAATTGCCCTTCAGGAGGCCCTTCCAAGTCGATCGGGAAATCGTCGAGCATCGGTGATTGCAATGAATGCAAAACAAGATCGAGAAAGAAGAGGATCGCTGACTGCAAATGTTAAGGTGAAGAAAAAAATAGAAAAGAAAAAGAAGATATGGATAAGAGATTACACTCATCTATCAAATAATACTTTTCTAAAGCTTCCCAACTTTTGAAAGCTACCGTAATCTTGTTTCAACTACTCAAAACAAAAGTTCCATTAAAGTTGATCGATAATTCCGTGAATGTAATCTCTTAAACATTTTTTTTTGTTGCCCATTGTGGTCTTTTTGTGATGATCGATGTCATGTCTTTGCGTGAAATGACACATGTTTTTCCGTCTTTATAAGTCGAAAAATCTTATTTTTTGTCCAAGTCTATTATAATCCAATTTCAATATATTATCTTGTTTTTGGTTTTACTTGTTTATCTATTCGGGAAAAAGAAAGAAGAAATATTATCCTTTGGTCAAGCAAAAAGGAAAAATGTTTTGAAAAGTGTGGTGATCAGTTTGGATCGAATTTCAGAGCTTTTTATCCATTGGGCAATTCTTGACAAATAAACAACTTTGACGTTGAAATAACACTCACAGTTTAATGGGTTATATATGATTTTTGATGAGTTAAGAAAATAGTATTAGGTTGGCAAGAAAGTTCTCGGAAAAAGTTTACACGATGATTTCTCAAAAACCAAGCCATGAATTCTCCCCAGATTTTTTTAATAAACTTGACTATATTTCAAAAAGTTTTTAACAAAAAAAGCAGATTGGGCTTTAGGTAAAAAAATAAGAGATTTCTTCAACTGAAGTGACTTGGTCACTTTTTGAGTGACCAGCCTTTAGACAAGTTTTTAATGGGTTAATGGATAGGCAAGGGGTCCCATTCAAAACCTAAAATCAAGTACTTAAAATAGGGAAAATTTGTGACTAAGGCAAATCTTATCTAATACTTTAACTTTTCAGAATCATCTATTTTAGCAAACACTCAGTGCCAAGAAGATGAAACCAAAAAATCTATTTTTTTAAAAATACAGCTTCTCTGTAGAAAATTTTTGGCCAAAAATAGAGATTATAGAGCGTATTGCTCATTTATGCTAGCTTTACCTCATAAGGAATCGTTTTTCTCGTGCAAAAAGTAAGTTGAATTTAAGCTGGAAAATAACAATTTTTCAAAAATCTCTAAAATTTTAAGGGAAAGCTGTACTCACTTTTTTTACGAGTAATTTCTTGGAGTCGACTTGTAAATAATAGAAGAAAATGTTCTTGAATTGGTAGATTCGCTTTTAAGAAATTCCAGTCAAACTTTTTCCGAGAACTTTCTTTCCAACCTAATAAATACGTGAAATCAATTTAAGTTCATCAAGTTTAGTTTAGACTTGAAGTACGACTGAACACAAGTCTTCAATTCTAGCTGATCCTTAATATACCAGAATTCTTCTATTCTTTCATTCTTATAATCCAAGAATATACGGTAAATTAGACTTTCAATTTTAATTTTGGAGCATCTTTTGCGTGAAAATTCTCACCTTTTCCTCAAATGATCTCAAGAGTTCGCAAAAAATTTGAGATAATTTCTCACCTCTGAAGGGCCAACTGTTTTGATTGGACGAAGGATTAAAGAAGCAAACGAAATGAGAATATAAAGGAAAAGCTTTGAAAAAGGGGAAACAACTGACGTTCTTGATCAAAAAATGGATTTTTCTTGATCGATTTCACTCAATCTCAAGAAAAAGGAGAGACAAAAAGATCCACGAGAATCACAGGATATCTCTTAGATCAATTCGGGAATTGAAAAGGGATACGATAGAATGAAAGATTGCAATAAAAAAGAAGATTGAAAGATTGAAAGAGGACTGGGTCTTTCTCCAATTCTCTCGACAACAATCACCCATCTTTGCTCAATTCTTTTCAAATTCTTCTCCAATTCTTCTTTGAAATATCCGACAAATTGTTCAAATTGTTCAATTGTTCAAACTTTTGCAGAGTATCTCTTGGCAAATTGCGCTTTCATTTCCTTTCCCAAATTCCCAAATCCTAATCCAAAATCAGAATTTGTCAAATAAATGGGCAAACGCACGAAAATCGGTTTGAAATTTTGAACTGCATTCTTTAATTACCTTAAAATATGCTTTGCGGCAGCTATGGATAGTGAATTTGAATTTGGGACGCATTTATTTTCGAAATCAAAGACAAATTGCATTTCGATTTTTGTTTGATTGATTAGTGTTGATTTGTGATCATCGAAAACGTGGGGAAACGACGGGTTTTTGGCCACCCAAAAAGACAAGAAGTGATCGACATGTTGGGCCAATGATAGAAAAAATGAACGAAAGAAAAGAAAATCAGAGGATAAGATAGATCACCGACCATTTCTTTGCTTTGTTCTCTCTTTTCTTTCATCAGTTGCTCCCCTTTTGACCTCTTTCCTTTCGTTCCCATAAACTCGAATTGACTTTTCCCATTGACCTTTCAATTTTTGTTTTTAAATTTGTTACTTCCTCTCCGGAGTCTACTTCACAGACTATTTGGAAATGACTTGAATGGGCAGTCAAGCATCAAATTTTTTTAGCTTTTTATAGAGACAACATTGTAGAGACAATTCTTCTATTAGCCTCAAAAGGCTAGGCCCAAAAAAGGCAAATGACTGCAAGCTTCTGTTGATTCGCTCAATTCAGCTTTAACTTTTGATTTTTCAAAGTTATTTATCTCTATTGTTATAAAACTTGTAGTGTTTTCTATTAAAATATATAAAAATTACTCTTGTCTCTGTCAAAATTTATGAGCATTTCTGGGTTGATTACCCAATCACAAGTCCCTTACTGTAAAAAGCCTCAAAACTATACAAGAATCAAGTTCTTTTTGCTCTAGGATATGTATACTTTAGAGTACGAACTTTGCTCTTCAATTTTTGAATCTAACTTTAGAATTAAATTCCAGCAAAAATCCTTTCTTTTTTTTAAATCGCTGAAAACAATAAGGAACCTCCTTTTCCCTCACTTTCAAAGGAGATCCCATTTATTTCCCCCTTAATCACCCTTCTTTTCCTCTAACTTTTTAGAGCTTGATCTCTTTTTTGATATCTTTTCCATTTCCGTCAAAACATCAATCCATTTTCAATTCTAGAATGTTTTCCAAGCGTGGCTCTTTCTACAGTAATTCCGCCTTGAGCGATTTGATGAAAGAAGATTTGAGAAGGAAAAGTATAAGGGATAAAGAAAAGAAAATATTGGAGGGAATGCGAGAAAAATATGAAAAAGGAGAAGAAAAGGAGAAATTTGAAAGAAATGATAGAGGAAATGGACATGGAAATGGACATGGAAATGGAGGGGATTTGTTGAAAGAGCTAAAATCTTCAAGGAAATGGAGTGTGCTGTTGAAAGAGAGACAGGAAGCCGATTATCAGAAAACGACAAATGTATGTGGTGCATGAATTGTTTGTGTTATCTATGTATCGAATATCTTTATCCACTTGTAAATTGTCTCTTTCAGATCCAACCCCATCAATACACCGAAGATCCAACGGTTGCGTGGGAAATGCTGAAAGCGAAACGACCCGTGAAAAGAGTTATTCAGGTGGGGAAATTGAATTTTTTCAATTTTTTTGACACATTCACAACGGTACGACCTATACTAATGACAATTTTTCAGATGAAACCGGAGACACCAATTCGCGTGGATCACGTGAGATTCGTGTGTATCGGATGCACGCACGGACAACCATTACCCGCATTGCCTGGTTGGATAATGTTAATTCAAATTATCCATTCAAAATCTGTATAGAAAATCCTATGTGATGAACAAATTGTTTAGATGGAGACGTTTTGATAGTCACCGGCGATTTCACCTCATGCGGTCTGCCGAAAGAGGTCAAGAATTTCAACGCTCAATTGGGTGAGTTGCAGAAAAAAACTTTGTGAAACCTTAGATTTCAGATTTCAGATTTCAGATTTCTTTTAAAACATAAAACTTTTATATTCATTTTTTCACGTTTTAAGCTTCAACTCGTCATGCGTATCGAATTCTCATCGCCGGTAATCACGAATGCACATTTGATGAGAGTTTCCTAAAGTCGCAAAGTAAGTATATTGCAAAAAATTTTTGAGAAAATCAAATCAAATTCCAGAACGAGACATCGGCGAGGCGAAAGAGGAAGCCCTCAAACAGGCATTACTCTCAGCATTGCATTCGGCGAAAATGCAAACACCAAAACAATTGATAACGAACGGAATTTATCTACAAGACGACTTGATTGAACTCTTTGGAATTACCATTTATGGGACACCCTGGTGACAATAAAAAATCCAGCACTTTGATAATACTTTTTGTAGGCAACCCCGCGTCGACAATTGGGCCTTCAATCTACCGCGTGGACAAGCGCTTTTAGATAAATGGAATCAAATACCAACTGGTGTTGATGTGCTCATCACACATACACCACCACTTGGTAAAGATCGCATTTGATGGGACTTTTAAAAACAAATACCGTCATAGATAGAAAGTGCTCCGACTTTGGATAGACTCTTTAAAGTATGCCCGTAGCCTGAATCGAATCTCCATTAGGGCCAGTTCGAGTTAAAATCGTTAAAAGTTAGAAACAAGGCTACAGTATAAAGAGAAAGTGGGGGCACTTTTTAGCAAACTTAACGGAAGAATTAACTGATTAGCAATCAAAGCTGAATATCGATGCCTGTCGCTAAGAATACTGTAACTTATCAAAGGTTTAAACTTTAAGCAATCGTACCTTTTCAGGTCACGGCGATCTAATGGCAAATGGGCAAAGGATGGGCTGTGTGGAATTGTTGAATACGGTGGCGAAACGAGTGAAACCGAAATATCACGTATACGGACATATTCATGAAGGTTTGATTGGAAAGGGGGAAAAAGTGTAATAATATAATTCAGGTTATGGTTGTTCATCGGATGGATACACGAAATTCATCAATTGTTGTGCAACTGATGCCAATTTAGATCTCGTCAACAATCCCGTCATTTTCGATATTCCGGTAAATGATAAAGCATCAAGAATTGTTTGGAAACGATCTTTCCAGGTCCATCCAACGACAAAGCAATACTATTTGAACAATATCAAGAAAATCACGAAAAGAGTTGCAAAAGAATTGGAAAAGAAATGATTCATTGCCGTTTTTTGTTCATTTTCCCTATTTTTAATGATCTCATTCATATCAAAATCGTGTTTTTCCCGGATTTTCTCTTTTTTTGCACATCGCACTTCTCTTCTTTCTTGATTTCGCTTTTTTTCCATGTACAAAGATAATAAACTATGGTTTTACCAGAAATTAGTGAGAAAGCAGTAACAGTGCAAAAAACTATGATAGGATATCATACCAAGAGTGGTTTGATACTAAGGTAAACGCATAAATATAGTTGGTTACGCTAGTGAGTATCCCAATTACATTGAGAGTGTGTTCTTCTTGTTTAATGCACTTTCCAAAAAACACCTATTCTACTATAAGCATCGTTTACATTCTTCAGAATATCTAATCTTTTCTCTCAATCTCTTTGTGTCAAATAGGTGTGCAAATATGTCTGTGGAAAAGAAAGAGAGATGCGGTGGGAAAGGGAAAGGAAAGGGTGTCCAGGGTGTCCACTGCCAGCAATCTCCATCTTGCATTCTAACGAGAATCAGTCAACCGATATCCCCTCTTTCCCCTACTCCATTCATTCCATGCACACATGTCAACAACCATTTACATGATTGCACCCAAACCCGGGATTTTTGACGAAATTTAACTCGAGCTTTAGCAAATGAATTCATTTGGAAACACTGTGACCCAAGTGTATTTGTAACTTTTGGTACTGATTTTATGAGACTCACGAGCTTCCTTTTCACTTTTTACTCTATAGCTATCCACTTTTTCTCTGGTCAATTTGAATGAGAAGAGAAAAAAAACGGGAATGGAGTCTATTCTATGGGAATCTTAAGGTTAAACCTTATCTAATTATTCAGAAGTCAGCACGGAGTTCTTTGGGAAAATGCCCATGTAGAGGAGAAGAGCCTGATCGCGATCTTTTGCCGTCACAACGTGTTCCTTCAAAAAATGAGTCGACCTGGAGAAAACAATGTATCTTTTGCTAGTTTTATGGCCAATCTATTAATAGACTTGCTCATCGGACAAGTTAGTGCAGAAAGGAAATAAAATCAACTGAATAACTTTAAATTTGTGGGAAATTTTAAACCCATTTTGTTGTTTTTGCATTAACTTGTCCAATAGCACCTATTTCAGAACAGAAAACCCAATACCCAAACGCGTTGTTGATGTGAGGGAAATTGAAAAGAATCTCTGAAACTATCAAGCAAAAAAACCTGGTTTGCTGAATCAGAGAAAGCATCTTTGATCTTTTCGATACAATTAGATTGATAGAAAGTTGTTTGTTCGGATCTTTCACCGCCACCTCCTTGATTTGTATGCTTACTACGCCGGAAGCTGATAAGGATCAAAGAATTCTTTGAAATGGAATCGAATAATAAAACGCAAAAATAAAATGATGTAAAAAACGAACAGTGAACAGCTAAGGATAACGAAAATTTATTCAAAATAAATGCAGAGTTCGTAATGTTCTTTAAATATCAAGAATGCTCAAATATCAAAACATAAATAGCCGTTGATCGTTATTTCACCGTCTATGCAAACAATTAATTTATTGGAAAAGGATCGAAAGCCCAACAGGAATTCGTTATTAAAGATTTTTCGGTATTTGAATTGTTAGAAAACAAATGAGCTACCGAGTATAAATTGTTCGGTGAGCTGAATCGGTCACTCAATCATTCGAGCTCTTCTCAAAGATGTTTAGCTCCCAGTTGCTTATGGTGGTCGGCTTGGCCGCTTCGATCGTTTGTTGCGTACGTCAAAATATCGCTATTATTTTTATTTTCAAAATATCGTCATTACCCATGTTCTGTTTCTATTAGGCATAAAACTATATAAATAATTAAAAAAAATTTTTTTACAAGAGCTATTTAATTTCAGTGCCCGCCTTCGTGTCCCTCTGGATGGACCTACCTAGAGAAAACCACCAGCTGCTATAAAGTTTGTTTTTGAAAACTCGAATTTCCAGTTTACAATGAATTCTTAGTATACTTTTCGTCAAAAATTTCGAAAATAAAAACTTTTCTCATTTGTAGGTAATCAAAAAAGAGGGTGGACTTGATCAAAGTGAAGCGCAGGCCCTTTGTGTCTCACTTGGCTCGAACTTGACCTCAATTCACTCCGATGAGGAACATGATTTTATTAACGGTGATTAGTTACTATCAATGCTATAGCTTTTTGGTGTATTAGACTGGCCGACTAGTAATGGTCACCGTTTTGCCTTTTTTTTCTAAAAATTCACTATGAGTCGAGGCAGAATGATAAAAGAATGTGTTTACTCTAACATTATTATTGGGGATCAAAAATTGATGTTATGTATGTATAGAGACCGTTACTCCGGTTTTTCAAATAGCGTTTTTGTCTCTTGCGAATAGTTTTTTAAAAATAACTTGAAATACGTGTTTTTCACCACAGATTTATCCTAGGATGTTGAAAAAAAAATAAATTAGGATAGCTCTACACGTCAAAACTAAAAATGGGACCCTGTATTGGTGAAATGGCCCAAAAAACGTTCGTGCTCTCTTTGCAACAGCCCCTCCCAAGCCAGGATGATCAGATTTCAATGAAATTTGGTATATAGGCTTTTGAAAGGTGGAGAAATCGTTTCTGCAAGTTTTAAGGTAATATGAAAAACATGAAAATTGTAGCTTTTTAAAGCTATTTTATAAATTTTTAGACATCGCCGAAACGAGCGTGAATGTGAGCACTTGGCTGATGACGATGACTGGAGGAGTTCGAGTGAGTTAGCGCAACAATGCTTATACCGTATTCTTTCTAATAGTAGTGCACCGTTCCGCTCCGAGTTGATGACTATTTTACGGTTTCTAAGTTTTCGCAGAAGCTCAACGCTCTAATCCCCCACAAGATCTCATCGTCAGCTACATTTTCCGACCCCACATCGATAGGGACTGATAAGCGCTTTTCGAGATTTCGAGCAATTTAGGCAACGCCCAGGGTGCACTACTATTAGAGAGAATACGGTAACTGGAAATAAAGTGAATTTCCTGAATTGCAATGTGAATAGCTAAACTTATATTTAGACTGGTGGTAAAGCGACTGATTGGAAATGGATTGATGGAACCCCATTCGATTACACGAATTGGGCCCCAAAGATGCCGGATAACGACTGGCAAACGGCGTTGCAGGTGAGAAATGATCATGGAAAAAGCTTTTAGAACATGTTTTTAAAATCTACAAAATGCTATGATAGTAACAACTTGAATGACTTTCTATTGATCCGATATTCAAAAACAACTCTGAAAATTCCTAAACTGCTAGATCCGACGCTACTTTTCTGCTTAATAATGATTTTTCACTTTATTTTACTCACAATCATAGTTTCCCTTTTCAGGTGTACACTGCGGTGGGATATCCCAGCTGGGATTCAGCTTCTCTCGGACCGTATTCGACCTCTCATCGTCACTGGGATGACATCCGAGCTGATAAAAAGTTCATCAACGCTGTCTGCAAGAGACCGGCCACTCGTCAATAGAAAAGCTCGTATTGAACGGAATATTTTGTTGAATAAAAGTTGGTGAATTGATTGAAGATTGTGATTAACTTGACCTCTGACCGTTTTTTTCGTAAACCAACCCAGTTCTAGCAAAATAATCACTCTTCAAGCGGTTAACCTTCGGCATCTGGGCATAGAGATTTCTGCTTATCCTCTCCCTCCATCTCGCTTCCCGAGTTAAACACAAGATTTGCGTATCTAAACATATCCCAAGGTTTTGTTTTTGCACTACTCTTTAACAACACTCTCTTACTTAAATCCTGACCATATTAACGTACATTATATTTAATTATTAATCGGAAACACAATTTTTCCGACTTCTGACCTTTCTTGTGGCTGATAATCAAAGAACTAACTTTAAAATCACCAAGCTAACTTCATTGCTGAAAAGATATTGGAGAAACCGCTTGATGGTGAATGTACGATCGTGTTCAACTTCTCGCGAAAGCCATTTGAGACCTGGAAGCGCTAAATTAGAAAGACTTTATTTATTAAGACTAGGAGACTGTATATTGGTTAATTCAGCTGGTTGCCGATAGAAGCTTGCTGACACTATCTGCTAAGGGATTATTTTTTGTGCTAAACTTTCAGCCAAATAATTTTTTATGTGTTATTTTGTTAAAATGCAAATTTTTTTTATTGTTTCAAAAAGGGTCAAAAAAGGGAAAAAACGGCAAAAATAGCCAAAAATCGTCGTTTTTGAGCACTTTCAGATGCCCGAAAACCCTTAAATTTCAACGAATTTCCACAAACTAAAAGCTTATTCCCACTAAATCGAATACGGAGAATCTTTTTGCTGAACATTATCATGCTCTAAAACGCCTCAGGAAAAAGTTGTAAAACTATACTTTTATTTTCATGCATTTTTAAGTGCCTCAAAGTTTTTTCAGAAAACTCGAAAACTGTTTAATAGATGTATATTGAACTATATTTTACTTTACTTTTGAAAGTAAGTTAAAATAATGCACAAGAGAGAAGACACGAAATAATTCCCTCGGTGCTATTTAATTGTCCGCCACTGTACATGCCTTTTGAGAAAACTAATCTGATTTTAAATTTTACTTACAGAATAACTCAAAAGAATTGAAGCGCTCGCATTTGACTGTGGAATTTGCGATAGTTGCCGCGGGGAATCAGATGAAAGAAGTGAGTAGAAATAGTTGATAAGGCCATAAAAATGAATAAAATAAAAATATTCAACTATTTTAGCCAAAAAAATTTTTTTATTAAAAAAACGGTAGATTAGAAAAATGAACTCATCACCAAACCTCTCTGTAGATCGATTTCATCTCGCTGCGCATGTCAATGCATCAAACGCTCATCAATAAGATTCACCTAGTGATTGGCAGGTTTGTGTCAAAGCTTCGGGAAATTAGATACTTATTGTAAAATTTTATCCTTCTCAAGCTCTAACAAATCAAAGTTTAAATTCTGCTCAAAGCTGATGAAATGGATCTTCATCGTGATCAGCTAAAAAGAACCTCTCTCATCGTGATCAGCTACAAAAGAGCCTCTCTCGTCGTGATCAGCGACGAAAAGGAGCAGATCGCTGTCATCGATTCACATTATCACAAACAAGAAGGTCAGTTTACAAAAAAAAATTGTTAAAAATCGTGAATTTTAATCTAAAACTCACGAATTTCACTCTATTCTATAACTCCATGAACTCTCTAGACATCTTTACCTCAATTTGCATAGGAAGCTTTTTTTTAAAAGTTTTATGAACAACGTTTTACATTAATAGAAGAACAACTTACGAAGCTTTTAACATTAAAAACATAGTCACTTTAGGTCATAGCCACTACCTAAAGCTCATTACAGGAGCCGTAATCGCGACAAGTTCCTTCCGAAATCTGAAGTGGTTTTGTGAATTTTTTTGCTCGGAAATTCTACTGTGACTACTGTAAGCATCGTTTACATTCTTTAGAATATCCAATCTTTTCTCTCAATTTCTTTGTGTCAAATAGGTGTGCAAATATGTCTGTGGAAAAGAAAGAAGAGATGGGGTGGGAAAGGGAAAGGAAAGGGTGTCCCGCGTGTCCACTGCCAGAAATCTTCATCTTGCATTCTAACGAGAATCAGTCAACCGATATCCCCTCTTTCCCCTACTCCATTCATTCCATGCACACATGTCAACAACCATTTACATGATTGAACCCAAACCCGGGATTTTTGACGAAATTTAACTCGAGCTTTAACAAATGAATTCATTTGGAAACACTGTGATCCAAGTGTATTTGTAACTTTTGATACTGATTTTATGAGACGCACGAGCTTTTATGCCACTTTTTCTCGAGTACAGGTCAGGTATTGCATCGTATCCTTCCTCATTTTCGATATAAAAAGCGGAGATTTTCTCTTTCATTGGAGCTTTTATTCAGTTTTTATTCTTAATCTCGAACTTGATTGATCACTGTGATTTGTTTTCTTCTAGACGAATCAATTCAGTGATCAATTATGTGAGTGAGAAGAAAAGAAAAAAACGGGAATGGAATGGGAAGGGAAGGAAAGGGAAGATGTGGTGGGGAAGTGGCCGTCACTCTTCAATGGGTCTTCTTCTGTCTTTTCCCCTTTCCTCCCCCTTTCCTCATTTTTGTCCATACCGGATCCCCTTTCTTTCCCAATTCCATTCCTTTCTATTGCCCGATTCCGCATCCGCGTCGTTCTCTCTTTCAGGTTTCCCACTTCTTCCCTTCCAATCGATTTCTGATTTCACAACTTTTCAAAGCTTTGTTGAAACATTGAGTTTCATTCTTAAAGTCCCAGTGTGACTGCGGAATTTATGAAGTTTGACAATTAAAATGATTAAAAATGAAAGAACTGGTTATAAGATTTGTAAACACTTTTGAGTATTTAACATTGGACTAACCCTTTCAGTTGCCTAGAATTGCTCGGAAATATTTGGCTCCCCCGGTTTCACCATCTGCTAAATTTAGCAAAAATTAACTTTATGATTTAGCTAAATTTAGCTAAATTCAGTCAAATTTTGCTCAACAGCCAATGGGGTATCTTGTAAAAGTTACTAAATCGTTTTTTTTATCCCGGGCCTAGATCTGCATGTCTTTTTATGAAACCCTAAACGTATTTAGGTTCAAAATACTCAGAAAAAACTTTCTAACAAAAATGGTTGAGTAAAATTATAAGTTGCGCACTGGAGCTAAAAATTGAACTTTGCTAAATGCTAAATTGGTGTTTTTTTGGTGAAACCGGGTGAACTTTTATATCATTTGAAAGTCTGAAGGGTCCTCTTAGAAAGAACTAGTATAAAGGTTAAGAATACTGTATCTCTGAACAAAGTTATGAACCTTCAGAGTGTGGCTACCCCTTCTAAACCTTCCCTTTCTACCGTAACCTTGTTTCGAGCTGTGCACATATCGCTAAAGCGCCTTACAAAGTTTAGACTTCGATAACGATAAGATGACAGTAAATGGTGATTCATAGACAGAGAAATCTGGTTAATGTTCATGAGTCCCAGTGAAAAAAAGACTGTCAGAATTAGGGTCTTCTTCTTTTTTTTCCCAAACCAGTTAACTGATGATGATTCAGCGATCTTCAGTCGTCAATTTATCTCGCGACTCATTTTCTCGATCATTTCCCCAAACAAACAAATCACCGATTCCATTCATTTGTGCAACTGAGGCCATAACACTGCGTCATTTTTGTTTGGAGCTAAATTTCTCTACTTAAACTTTAAATTTTTTTCATATTGGCATTCTCATCGTGTAACTGAGATCAAGACCTACAATTCGAGACAAAAAACCTAAAAAATGGTGCAATGAGTGGCTTTAGAATTCATTTGTCATTTGAGTGTCATGGCCCCATACAATTTCTTCATTCAATCTGTATTCAATGCTTATTTTGTTTCTAACACCTTCAACACGTTTTCCCCGTCATCGTTTCCGCATGCATCATCGCGAGTTTTTCCCCTCGATTTTCGTCAACCATTTGGGACAACAAGGACGCTTTTTGAGGGAGAACAGAGAGTGAATTTGTGAGATTGTTTGTACAGTCCTCGTCTCTTTTCTCCTTTTTTCTTTTGATTGGTCTCCTCTTCTCTTTCTCTGCTTTTTCTCTTCTATTTCTTTTGTCGGACATTGTCCACTCGTCAGATTAGGCTCATTGTTCCCGCGGTCTTTTTTGCGTAAGAAACACATCTCTGAATACTGACTTTGAAATGATAGCTAGAGAACGGGGCAGGTTGTGAGGGTCCTTTAGTAAAAGTTTAGAAGAAAGGTTTGCTTTTGACTTCGTGATCACTGTTTTGTCTGTTTTGTCTAACGCAGGATATGCAGAGCTTTCTCTACTGTCTAAACAATTGGATCAGTAATTCCTTAGGATACTTACTTGAGAATCGAATTACGGTGATACACTAGAATGTGTTTCTCTGAACTTGAAGTATGCAACAAAAGACAAATTGGCTTCACAGGATCTGCTTACTTAGTATGAATAGTAGGTAATGCCGGTTTTTGCATTTATCGTTAAACTTTGTATTTACAAATCACCGGGAAAACCGTAGATCCGTAGATCTAGGAAAACCGTAGATCTTTTTTCCTGGTCAACTTGCATTTAAAATATGATTTTTCCGTACTTTATGATACTTTGGCTTGTTTCTCTCTAAAGATTTGCTTTCCTAACACTGACTGGCCGGATCTGACTTTTTAAAATCTTCGGTTCAGATATTCGTCCAGCCTTGATTCCTAAGGTCTCACAAGAACTATAAACGAGTTGAACTGACAATGAGATGAGGGAAGGGGAGTGGAGTGTTCCAAACAAGGAGAGAACAGTAGCCCCACCCTCCCCGCCCCTCCTCCACCTCTCCCCTCCATTCCCCATCTATTCCCCAACCTCTCTTCTCAACACTATTTACCCAACGGGCATGGTGCTCGACGATGAGAAGGGGAAATTCAACACAAAACACCCTCTCTTTCCCCTTTGATTCCCCATCTCTCTCCCCCTTTCCCTCTTTTCCCTCATCATCAACACCATCAGCAGCCAGGCCCACTAAATGATTTGCACCTCTTTTCACTTTATTACATCTTTTGGCTCTTTTCAATTACTCACCTTCCTCAACTGAGACTGATCTCAGCGCCACTCATCCATCCTCTCATCAATCTCCTATTCTCACCCAAAACACATCTCAATTTCATCTTCCATATTTTTTCAATGTCCATCCACTTGACCATGACATTTCTTGGGTTTCGATTTGTGAATTTGTTCATTTGAATTTCAACACAGACTCTCTTTTTTTCAAATCTGCAACCAACTATTTTTTTCACAATAGCCACTTTTATGGAAATTGCCTTTTGCAGAATATTCATTATATGAAAATTGGTCTTTAACTTTACACCATCAATTTATTCCAAATATCGACAAAACCTCTCAAATCCCAAAACGAGAATCTAAAAAGGAAAAGAAACAAAGAATTGGTTGAGAATTGCTTGCTTGCAATTGTTTGTGTTGATTTCTCCGAAAGAGCTCTCTCCCAAAACGGGGAAATCCATCGAAATCCGCGAAAATCATCAACGAGAATCGACTCTCGAGAAGTTTTCCCCTTTTCTCTCTTTTTCACACATCTCTTTTCTTTTATTCCCGGATTTGATATTTTGAGAAAGATTGATGCTGATTCGATCAACAGAGCAAGCTGATCACAAAGATTTGAAGACTCAAAGAATCCTAAAGGATGACACCTGAAAATCCTATGATTGACAGGATATTGATTCTAAAAATAGATCAAACGTTTTTCTTTTTTAGATTCGGGTGCTCCTTTCGGGAAATCCACTTTCAAGCCAGTTTCAATTTGATCAGTCTGATTTTGGTCTCAATCGATGACGGGTTTACAAGACTTAGTCAATGACACCAAAATTAGACTGAAGCTGGCGGGAGCTAGAATTTGGCGGGCAGATTAAGGTAGTTTGTCTAAAATGGGTGTCTTTTAGAAAACATAATAACTCCAGATTCAATCATAAGGTTTTCAAATTTTTGGATTATAGTTTCTAAGTCTTAAAATGCTATTGTCAAGTATCACAATGGCTGGTTTACAAAATTATGTGACCTTATAGTGAAATCGGGATTTTTTGAAGGGAAAAGGGTTTGAAGGAGACTTCCCTCACTCGACGAGAACCTACCCACCCCTCATCCACCAACCCCAATTTGCCTTCAGCCTCACCCCTTCTTCTTCTTCTCTTTCACACACTTCACTCACTCCTTTTTCTTTTTTCGTTTTTCTTTTTTCTTCCATCAACAATCGGCAACTTGAAAACAAAGATTTTCCCCCTCTCATTCACCTCATCTTCTTTTTTTTCCTTTTCTCACTTCAAAAAAAAGCGCTGAAGGGAACAAGCTCCACATTTCTTTCCCAAACTATGGATTGGAAAACGATTTTGGTACAATACAATTACCATTTAGTAAAAAATTGAGCTAGCTTTAGGTTATACTTAAGTCCAGGTTGTACCAGCCCACACAGCCAATTTTGTGGCGGTTGATGTTTTTGTCATCGGAAAATTGCTTTGGAAAGTTATTTTCCGGAAGATTTGTCGAATAATCGGGTGATTTTCCCATTTTTGTCTCTTTTCCTCAATCTAACCAATCGAAACCAATCCATTTCATCTCTCCCCAATAAACCCCAGCTGCCTCTTCTTTTTCCAAAGCACAGATTCGTAAAACGTTCACTTTTGATACAATTTCAATTCTCATTTCCAAGTTTTCATAAACATTCTCAAATGATTTCTCCTTTTTTCAGGAATGCTTTGGAGGGAAATCTTCCCGCTAATCGCCGCCTTTTTTGCGGTCACTTTTGCACAAGAAGATCATTCCGAAGTAAATAAACTATTAGATACAAGCCCTATGCCCTAAATTGTTTTATTATTTTAACGATTTTTCTATTTTTTTTTTCCAGGAATGTCGTGCCGCAATGCAATCATGTGAAGATGATCTCGATTGCAATAATCTTCTCGGCCCACTCGCTGCTGCATGGTTTGTCAAAAAGTTTAAGAAAATCTATTATTTTGAAATTTATTTTTTCTACCATTCATCAACATTTTTGGCTTTTTCCATTTTTCAACAAAAATTAATATATCATATTATTTTTCTGTGCTAAATAGGGGTAAACGTGGATGTTTTTCTGTTTTTGGGCGTTTGTTTGGATGGCCATTGGGATGCATTCACAAAATAAAAAAGTGAAAAAGGGAGATCGAGATCCACGTGTGTTAACAGATTCCCTTTTTGTCATTCTTCTCTTTTCTGAAATAAGCAGGGTTTGGACCAGGACTAGAGCCACATCAGGCTAAGCCATTATATAAGTTTGTTCTTGTTTAAGCCTGGAATACCCAGATCTTTTCATTCTTCAGGAAGTTCCTTTCCCTTTCCAAAAATAGTACCATTTTCTTGCAACTTCTCCACACAAAGCGTCACTTCGTGGGTGAAATTTGAGCCTTTTTTCTAGAAAACACACTTTTTTTTCTTCTAATTCAATCATTTCTTTCAAAAATTGGCATAGGACACGAAAATTCTGATTAATCTCATTAAATATGAGTATCATCATCTTCTTCAAATTTATCTAAACATTTGTTCTTTCATGGAATTACAGTGCGTTTTCTAAAAAGTGGGCAATTTGGGAAAAGCTAGCGTAATCTTTTTTCAGATTTTTTTCCGTTCTACTTATTCCTGATTCTGATGAGGCATCAAACTGTGAATTGAAAAGGATCAAAATTAGGTACGGACAAAATCAGAAAAAGATTACGGTAGCTTTCCTCAGTTGTACACTTTTTAGAAAACGCATTCTACATGGCATAGTCTTGCCAGTTTCCTTTCTTTCAAAACTTGTCATGGTTTTCTTTCCTTTCTCCCTTTCCCTCGCAAATCGCTATGCCAAGTGGCTGCGTTTTTGTGGGGTAAATTAGGGGTCCTTCTTCTTTTCTTTTCTTTTTTTTCTCTTTTCACTTATACTTTCTCTACTTGAGGAAAAGTCACCTCTTCAGATGAATCTGTCATCGGGGAAAAAACGGGAGACATAATTGAGATGAATTACCCTTGGGTTGTAAGTCTAAGAAAAAAGAAAAGAGTTAGTCTTCGAAGCGGTTAATGTTAACTTGAATAGGTTAAGTTTTGAATTGATCAATTCTAAAACTTGGCCCATTCTTCTACAAAATTGGGTACAATAACTGAGACCTGTGCAAGTATAATCCAGATAAATCATAAGTTGAATGCAATTTTTTTTACTAAATGCTAATTGTATGGGCTCGTACGCTTTGTCATATGGGGATAGAAACGGTTTTGCGTAAGAGTTGCTCTCGCCAAAATGATCCACAAATGTGTAAGTTTCGCAAAAAGACGCGAAAATGAATGTGCTTATGTTTTTGGAATGTGATTGATGCGGAATGAAAACATGAAAGCTGATCGGGGCAAAAACATTGAGCAGATGGGAAAAGAAAAGAGGAAAAAGAAGGAGATGCAGGGGAACCCGTTCTTGTCTTTTTTGAGTGCCTAGGTGAGAATGGGAGATCGTCATCGTTTGGTGAAGGTTTTGAGTTTTGCAAAATTCAATTTAAATGAAAACCAACATATCCCTTTCATTTTTATCATAAACTCTCCAATAAAAGTCCCTTCAGACAAAAGTTTTTCATTTGCTCGGCTTCAGGCACATGGCCTCTAGGGAGATAGGACAGAACCCGGACTTGGTTTCACTCTTTTTTCTTCAATTTGCTTGAATTACCCAAGTTTTTAGAGAGTTTTGTGATGACCGTATTGGCTTAGAATTTAAAGTTGCTCAAAAACTAATAATGGATTCAGATTCTCTATCCCAGAATGCCTCCGGTTACAAATTTTCAGGTCTACAGCTAACATAGATAGCTGTCATCCGAAACGGCAGCCAAGACAAAAATGGCTTTGTCGTGTTAAATAATAGCTATAGGCTAAGCAAAGATGAATGACTCTTCAAGAGTTAAGCATACTGTAGCTGGGGCACGGAAAAGAATTCTGGAGGAGATTGGAGAAAATAGGAGTTCTCTATTAGAATAAATACTGTATTGGTTGACTTTTCTTTGCCTCTCTCAACCACTCCGATCCCCTTCTCATCATCATTTCCCCTTCAGGGTCTTTTCCTTTCTTTTTCAGCTTGAAGTTTGTCTTCAACTCGAGGCGATAATCGAGTGTGTAAGCCCACGAAACACAAACTGATTTTGGGAAAGAGAACTGAAAAAAATTCTCGATTTTCGATTAAACTTTGATTTAGCTCAGAAGAGTTGGTTTTAAATTAATTGAAAACGTTTAAAAAGAACATTTGAAGAGGTAAAAGCAAAGAAAAAGAACGAAAAAGAAAGAAAGGAAGAACGGCTTTGTATGCAAATCGACTGGATTTGGGGCACACATTGCCTCTAGGGGGAAAGATCAAGGAGGAAAAGGAAAAGGGATTTCCGTTTGAGGGATTTACTCCTAATTCACCCTCGTCCTACCCCTAGATCATTTCGAAAAAAGAAAGGGAAAATTTTTTGATGAAATTGTGAGCTTAGAATAGCATACATAGGGACTTGCTCTTTATTGAAATTATCAAAGATCTCCCTAGCCATCTTGGCATCAATCACATCTAGAATACTACAGTTCGATGTAAATTGTTGTTTCAAGCACAACATCATTTTTCCATCAATTGCCAATAATCCCCCTCATTGAAATGGTGAATTCCCCTTGTTCTTTTTCCTTTTTCTGCATATCTTTTTACGAATCGGCATTCTTTTGAACATTCCTCTTTTTTCTTTTCCTTTCCTGAAGCGGTCTCTTCACTTTTCTTATGCAAAAATCCCTCCACTCAACACCACTTTTTACAGCATCTTTCATTGTTGCCTTCCTCCGACCCAAAAAGGCAATCAGCTGAAACATCTCTTGGCAATCATTTAGAAAGAAAATCTAGGAATGCAAAATCGAAATGATATTAGATTTTCACTAAAAAAATGATCTTCAGTTCAACCCTCACTTGCCAGCCACAGTGTCGATCGGCGGTGATGAATCTCTATCAAAATAAACTCGGACGAGTCCTTTTGAAGTCGGTTTTGAAAACATTTGTCTATATATCTTTTATTTTTGATTTTACAAATCTTTTCAGAACTGATGGTTCGTGTGTTCACGGAAGAGACGAGCTTCGACAGTGCAATTTCATGCCAAACGGAGATGTTGTGCATTGTGGAATCGCGAAGCTGGCGTGCGAAGGGGATTTACAGGTTTGACTTTGAACTAGTTCAATGAGCAATTCTTAAAACTGCGTCTGAGTAAGCATTTGTGACCAACAATTGGGGAAAAGATATGGGAAATGGATGAATCCGTTGGGAATAGGAAAGAATGGGCGAGTTGAGAAGAAGAGCCATTCATTCTTCTTTTACGACAGCAAAAGAACATGAAAGTTGGTTGTACTACGCAAGAAGTTGTCATTCACAAATATCCACAAATTGAGGGGAAACAAAGGGGAGATTTATTTATAAAAAGGACATTTCAGTGTCAATCAAAACTCCAAGTGTACATGTCAGAATGTGAAGCTGAGACGGCAAAAGGCGAATGCTCGACGAAATGCCACGGATTTTTGAAACAAGTAAGAAATTTTGTAATCGAATATATAAATTATATAATGGGTATAATACAAATATTTAAGTTAACGACCGTTCCCTATGGGAAACTCTTCGAGAAATGCACGTGCACGGAAAGAGAAGATCAATTATGCCGGAAGATGAGAGACGAAATTCTTCAACCATGCGTCAATGTGAGTAGGGAAAATTTGAAAAAGATTAAAGAAATAGCTGAAAGAAAAATATTTGCACCGATAATTTTTTGCTGGATTAAAGTATGTATTCAACTAAAGTTTATAGTACGTGCTAACGAAAGTATCTCTCTGATTTTAAATAGGCTAAATATTCAAGTATCAAATTGAAAGTCAGATCTCTGGTAGAAGATCAAATTTTGGCGAGATTTTTCGGGCAAGCAGCACCCGATTAACAGAACAGGTTCTAGGATCAACCCTGTTGTCATGAATCATGGCTTGGCCTGGCCTAGGGCCAAAGTCTAAGACCAGGTCATGGCTTATGCCCCTGAGGATTAGTCTCTACCCTACGGATCAATGAATCCGGTACTAACAAGAAGCCAAGCAAGTACCTAGTCCGGAATCAGATTCAAAGTAATATGTGGATGAATCTGGCATCCCAGGTTTACATGAATATACAAGCTCTAGCATAATATTGAAAATATCTCAATATTCAGCCGAAACCCACCGCCGATCCCACATCTCCATCTGGCCATTCCACTCCTCGTCCTCCAACTCGATCTCGTCCATCTTCTTCCGATATCGATCCCTCATCATCAAATATCGTTTTCCCGTCACTTATCCTTTGTGCTCTTTTGGCTACTCGTGTCTTGTATTTATTACAAGAGTTCTAATTTTATTTTTCTAATATCTTTCATATGCCTATTCCTTAAAGGAATAGCGATCGTAGTTCAATCCTAAATCACTCCAAAAATCACAATTTTTCTACGGTGCTTATTTTTATTTTTTCATTTTAAAGTTTGAACTCTTTTTAATTTTAGTGTCAACCCCGGTTTAAATATATTTATTTTGTTTTTGCTTTACTCTCCATTTTATATCACAAATCTAGTCTGTACATAGAGAAAGTTTACAATTTTATATTAAAAACCGAAAATACTTAGTGAATTCTAGTTAAAATCTACAGATGTTTTCTGTGATTTCTCCTCATCGATTCGTTGATTTTTTTCTTTCAAAAAGCTTTGAAGTCAAAGCGTTTTTTTGGTGTGTTCCCTTTCTCGTGACGAGTGTGTTGCTCATTTGCTTTTTAAAATAAATATTTATTTATCCGCCCGTTGAGATCGGATGTTTCTGGACAAAAAAAAACAGCGAGGTTAAAATGTTTATTCAAAATTAAATATGCACGATTTCCTCATGTTGCTCCAAAGCTCGGCCGGCCCATTGTGGATTGGAGAGCATGAGCTAAAGAAGTGAGAAATACAACATATAAAGTGGTATCTGCAAATATATCTGTTCACTAAAGGACTCAAAATAAAGATTAACGTAATGCTGACCATAAACGTTAACAATGTGAGCAGCCACATGAAGGGAGCGATGAATGGATCAATGCCGAGAGATATGCAACGCTTCGAACACACGAAGATCTCCATCTGTTTGGGTCGATACTAAAAAATAGTATTAAAACTTTAACGTAAGAAACAAACCTCTTTCTCCAATCTCTTGTTGTATCCAGAACAACCCAATCTGTTCTTTGCGTCACGAATTAGTCGAGTCCATGCGAAAGGTAAAACAACATCAATGGAAGCGTCGTCGTCGATCGAATGGGCGATCGATGAAGGGAAAGTTGACGAGAGATTTTCTGGCCCGAGTACACACGTTGATCTCCAACCGCCACCTAAACAAAAATATATACTTTATCGGAATATAGGAGTTATTAAATGACTAGAAGTAGTATGAATCACGCATTGATTTAAGAATTGAGTATCGAATAAATGTAGCACTTGTTTTATAGAATGCTGCGTTAAACTACGAATAGTTTTAACAGAGAATCAGCTCTTTAAAATCAGTTTTAATAAAGGTTAGACATTAATTCTTAACACAAACACGCACCACTCCAGACACAATACGCTCGATCATCGCCGGTCCAATTCTTGAAGATAAATCTAAAGTTTCTCTTTCACTCAAACGAATCAAAGTGTAAATTTCTCACCCTAATGCGAGATCATTTTCACAAAGCTCCTCTCGCAATTGAAGCAATTGTAGAACATCCCTACTAAAAATCAAATTAACGATCTTTACTGAAATCACGCACTCTTTCAACCGAATCATTTCCAAACGTTTCAGCGCTTCGATTTGTGGAACCGATTGACGCATTTGCTCGAAGTAAACCCTAAAAGATGTTGAAAAATGTTTAAAAAAATGCAAAAATCAAAGAAACCTTTGTCTTTCCCCGCAAGATAGTGATTTCGTGCAAATGATCCCATCATCAAGAACATTACGATTTCTCTGATATCGATAGGAACTTATTATATCCTGAAAGTTAAAAAAATTAATATTTTGCGAGCGAAAACCCACGATCTGAACGAGTAGCAAAAGAACTGTTAAGCGCATCATAGAGAAGAAAAATAAGGAAAAAAAAATAAAGAATGATTTATTTTTGCGTATTTTTCGTTTTATACGCCAACGTTAAATGTAAATTTAAGATCGTATTCAAATTTCCGTCCTTTGCACGTAAATTTTCTGATTTCCGATGTAACTTTTGAATGGTTTGACAAACAAATTTTGCTTCGAGAATTAAAAATTTTTTTTCTATTCTGTAGAATTTGAGGAAATTGAGTTATGCCTTTTTCCTCAAAGCTGGGGGCACCATTTCCACGATAAAAATGGCATAAAATGTGAAGCGACCCTGATTTTTCTCCAAAATTTAAAATTCCAAACTCCAAAATTCCAAATGATTAGACTTACTATGATATAGTCTTGCAAGCACAATTTTATCGTTTATTTGCTTTTGTCAGGTATTAAAGAATGAAATCGGCTTTTCCGCTCGTAATCAGTTTCGGGCGAGTTTTTGGTTTGGAGGGATGTAGGGATAAAAGTTAGACCAATCTCAAGTTTAACTTTTTAGGAAATCAGAAACGTGGCAAGTCATACCCATCAACCCAATAGAATGCAATGTTCAAGATCAAATGAACAAATTTCATCCCAAGATCTGCAATTAGCATTTCACTTTCACCCATCCCCAACTCCTCAGTGGCCATTCCCCCAACTCCCCCAATTCTCCCTTCATCCTTTGCCTTTCAATTGATAAGACTCGGCTTAGACACACCGATTCCTTTTCTTTCTTTTCTTTTTCTCAAATGAAAGCACAAAATCACCGTCCGACATACACAAAAGTTTTATTAAACCAATATGTTTTTTTGTTCGCCATCGATTCTCAATGAGGCTCAGCATGCAATTTTTTGTTTTGAAACTGCTTATTTTCCGTTTCCTATTTTTTAAAACCTGCAAATGCAATATTTAATCCACTTTTTATAATAATTCCGAAAATCCGTTAGATTATTCAGTACAGTATTGTTAATTTGATTTAATTTTAAGTTTAATGGAAAAAACTGATCGTGGACAAAAAAGAATATTCTCAAATCTTTATTAATATTCAAATTTCTCACGCTTTTTTTATTGAATATCTTTTTGTGAATCAATTTCCCATTTCAGAACCATCCTCAACTTGATGTCCATTCGAATATTTCTTTTGCTTTTCCTCCATTTTTCCCTTTTTTCCCCGATCTCCTCGAATCCAAGTCTCTTCTCCGACGAGGTAACCATTTTAATTTAATTTTATCTTTTGCTTACCTAATTCAATTTGATTTCCAATTACTCAAAAAACCATTTTTTGTCACCTGACCCAAAAAACACCCCAAAGACTCGTAAAAATTGTTATCAATTTTCATGTTTTCCCAAGAAACACAATGTTCAATGAAATTTGAGCCTTGTTTTTCTGCATCGGCAAATTTTGAATTCTAAAATATTTTGGCTATTACTAAAACTCGTGGTATGCAAATTTAACGCTTTTGAATCAGGAAAGATTATTTTTAAATAGTGCACCAGGTGGCTTGCGCTCTTGCACCAAAGGGGTTTATAAAAATTTCACATAAAATTCAGCGACAAGTTTTTCAAGTGCAAATTCCAATTCTCGAATTGATTGACACCTTTTTGAAGAAGTAAAATTTTGAGAAAGCGCTTATCAAAAGAAAAAGCTCGCTGCGGAGGCTAACTGTCACATTATGGGCGCCTTTTTTTCAGAAGGTCAGAATTCTTTTCCATAAAGCTGTCAAGCATGGGGAAAATTTTGTCAAAAAATGGGAAAGAGTCATTTTGAAATCGCACTTTGACCCTGAGAAGTTCAAATAAAAACACAAAACATATCTAAATATTAATCCGTTTGATATGTTAGTCGAAAGGTTTGTTAGATCAGATCAGGCCAGAACTCGCCAGACCTGGCTTACCTGACTTGGTCAGGAAAAATGCTTTTAGAACAACCCTGGATTTGACTCGTTTCCAACAGTGAAACTAAAATGGAAGTGATTTTGCAGTTAGAATATGACGCGGATGAATCGACGCATCTCGGCTCTCTGTTCACCCATTTTCTTCCCGATTCTCAATCGCAACTCATTCTCGATTTGGATTTGTTCAAGGTGGCTTTAAAAATGAAATTCGAACGTGGAAATTTCAAGCTTACAGTTATTCCCTTAAAGGGGGTATTAATCGCGGCCGGGTGACCATAAAAATTTTTTTACGCCAACCACCTGTTTTTTTTATTTTAATATCGCTGATTTAATTATAAAGAATAAAAATCACCCGGCTAGGTGATTTGATGGGTTTACAAATTTTTGGAGACGCTGCAAGGCTCGCGTAGTTCATCTACAAGGTAAGTGCGAAAGTAAAGCAAAGTCAGGCATTATGTTTTTTTGTTTTCTTTAGCCTTCGACTACATTTTGGTTTTTAACATCTCTAGATGCCTTTTCAAGATGGAGTATTTTAGAAAGCAAAAGATCATAGCTAACTAGGTTATGGTTTCTAAATACTCTTGTTTTTCGAAAGCCAAGAAAACAGTTAGGAAACAAAGAAAACCACAACGAATGGAAAAAGATCTAATTGCGTCAACAAAGCGCTGAAGATGGGGGGACCAGTCATTCTGTTGAGGATGCGCTGGAAATTGACTAAGATAGGAGCCAACTGAGAAACTGCTGTACTTGAGCGAAGAGAAAGTGAGCAAGAGGAAGAATATAGATTAACAACTTATTTGTATTGTTTTTTGTGCTTTTTATTTTGTTTTTAAATTTATCTGCAATTAAAACTCGATCGATCTAGACTGTGCTGAGGTGTCTGAGTGACGATCTTGTTTTTTTCCAAGCCTTGCAACGTCTCCAAAAAGTTGTAAACCCATCAAATCACTCTAGCCGAGTGATTTTTATTCTTTTTATAATTAAATCAGCGATATTAAAATAAAAAAACAGGTGGTTGGCGTAAAAAATTTTTTATGGTCACCCGGCCGCGATTAATACCCCCCTTTAAAGGAGAGGTGAAACTGAAGACCCAATCTTTCTGGATTTAAAAACTGTGAATAATCTACAGTATACCCAAAGCTTGCTTTTGAGCGGTTTGCGCTATATCTGCCTTTTGATTATTTAACAAAGATAAATGATAAAAAAAAGACAAAGAGAAGAAATTCTTCCTGATGAAAGCACTTTTTCAAAGCTTTATTTTAAGTAAATTATCTCCAATTTAGCAAACAAGTCGCCTCTGTTTGCAAATAGGTCTATAAGTGTAGAAATTTGGGCCAGATCGTTTTCACATTTACTAGAGATCACACTAAATTATGAATATGTTAGAATATATTGCTGCCTTTAACAATTTTCAATGGAGATTGGGTCTTAATTTTCGTATTCTCTTTAAATTTTCCCCTTTCAGCATTTCTTTGACTATTCGGGCGCTTATCAAGAGGCGATTTTCGAGGGAGATGTCGATTTTGTGAAATACGCAATACAAGTATTTGATCGATTGAAGGATTATGATGTGTCGGCTGGTTTGATTTACAATATATTGGTTCTTTGATACGGTTGCGTTTTCTAAAAAGTGGAAAAAATTACCGTTATCTTTCTTGCATTTAATCTCAAACTAGAATCAAAATTAAAGTAGAATAGACAAAATTTTGAAGGAAAGATTATGGTAGTTTTTCCCAAATTAGCCACCTTTTAGAAAGCGCTTAGTCAAGGAGTAGCTGGTGTTTTAACTTTAACCCAAAGCTTTAAATCTATAACTGATTACTATAGCTGACTACTGTAGCGCAGCCATCATTTAGGCTGCCTCGCTGATATGTTTCATTTGGGATGGACGGCTGTCGAGTACGCGACGCACGTTAAAGAGCATCGGTGAGGAGAATTTGAAGAATTTATTTTAAGAACAAATTTTAAGTTGAAAAGCGTTCAATCTGGAGTGTAAAACATCCAAAAATCTGACTGAAATCTGAATGATTTTCAGAAATTGCACCGATTGCAAGTGCACGCCGCTCTTTTTACAGAAGAAAAACGATAGGAGCTGGATTTTTAATGGTAAGTTTGATCTATAATACTAATTTGTCTATTTCTTTTTTATTTGAGTACTCGATTCGATGGGTAAAGTGCCAGCCGGGATCTTGGGAGGCAACAATTTGTGGGTTGGCTCGTTCCCGACATGTCGAAAGATTTCCGTCAAAAAGAATCAACAAGGGTAGAAATGAAGACCCAACTACCGATATTAGAATTGATATTCAGCCAACGATGGATCGGAAAATACTGTTTGGCGCATTTGGATGCATACTATCGAGATAATCCGCTGAAATGGGCTGTGGCCACGGGAAGTGCCCCGGATGCACATTGTTTGTGAGTGATACTTGCGAACGAGCACTCAAAAGCGTGACCGGTTACCGTAATCCGTTCGGTAGTTGCTCTGAAACGTGCTTCAGTTGCCGTAACTCATACAAGATGTTACCGTAACCCACAGCTCCGCCCCGAATCTCTCAACCTATTTCCATATGTCTAATCTCTGTATTATCTTCTTTCTTTCTTCTTCCCCCTTCTCTTCCCTCTTTCTCTTGGCAAGTTAAGATACCGGATAGCTCAGTGGTCAGAGCAATTGCTCGGAAAGTAAAAGGTCGATGGTTCAATCCCCTCTCCGGAAATCGACTTTTTCTTGCCAATTCCTTCACTTCTTTATGATACTTGGTGTATATGTAGTTTTTACGACATCGTAACTAGGTTACGGTAACATCTATTACGGGCTATGTGCTATGAGTTACAGTACTCGGGACGTGTTTTATAGAGCGGCTATCCGAGTCAGAGTTCAGCTACTGTAACCATACCGTTATCCGGGTCGGTTTGTGGTATAAATTTAAACCTAGATATTTACAGTTTATTTTGCATACTGTACTGTACAAATTATTTTGCATACTGTACAAATCCCCTTTAGCACTAACGATTCCATGGATTCCACCGAAAAAGAAAGCGATCAGAAATGTTTCGATCTCCTTTCTCTTCTCAATTTTGGTCTCTGTGTTCCATCGACATGCACCGAATATGATGTGAAGAAAATGGTGAAATTCGGTGGGTTTTTCTGAAAATGAATACAAATAACCGGCTCTCATTTTAGCGTATGGACTTGTGGAAGCGGCAGTTGGGCGAGATCTTGTTTGTGATGTGCATGTTGAATGTAGAAGTGGTGAAAGAGAAAGAAGATTAGCTGAAAGTCCCCTATCACAATGTGCACGGTGAGTAGCTGACGAACAAAAGGCAACCAAGTTACCGTAACCCTCTTGGGTTGATAGAGGCTTTACAAAAGTACTCAAGTCACCGCAATCCCGTGGCTTGCAGGTATCTAGTTTGTATTGTTGGAGCGCTTAAGTTAACGTGAGTCTTGAATGTGGCTTGGATAGGATAGCGTTGCCGTAATCCTGTTTGATCCGCGAAGTTGTCTAGGATACGGTTCTAGCAAGACAGAACCATTGTCATCTTGTAAATTAAGCGCTTAAGTTACCGCGCTTGCTTGGACCTTCCTAGATACGGTAGCTATGTTGTTTGTTAGCGGGACAGACCCATCTTATAATTTATGAACGCTTAACTTACTAAGATTAGGATACGGTAGCTATAGTGTACTTTAAACGCTGCGCACTCGTAACCAGCTTACGTTCAAATACAAGAAATGTTCCCGAATTTTCAGTTATCTTCTCTCATTCATTTCAATCATGCTAATCTTTGGTACTTCATATGATTATCTCATCATTCAAAAACAAGTGAAAACCCTTCCAGAAAAGGAGAAAAAAGAATATCGAGAAAAACAACGTAAGTAAAGAGATTCTGTGCCTTACTATTAGCCAGCAATATTAGTCACCAATTTCAGACTCATTTCTCAAATTCATTTTGGCTTTCTCGATATACACGAATGGGCAACAAATCTTGAAAACGGATCATGGAGGAAAAACCGATCAAATTGATTGTTTACATGGGATGAGGTACGGGAATTATAGTTTATAGATATGCCTCGTGGGGACTAAACTACCGTAATCCCAAATGCTTTTACGGTAACCCTGGAACACACTGATGCATACCCCAGTGTGCCCAGTAACAGTACCGTGCGTTAGCTAGAGCTGACTCCAGATCCAAACCTGGCCTTTGTACATTTTGTGTTCCAGATTCCTCTCGATGGCGTGGATCATTCTTGGGCACACCTATTATTACATTGGAACGAGTCTAACAATGGGTAAAGCTTACATAAACTGTATCTAGATATGATATTTTAGTCTAATATCCAATATCCAATATCTTTCTTATTTTCAGACAACCTCGTCCCTTCACTCGTCTCTTTTCCACAAATGTTCTACACTCAAGTCATCGTTCAAGCTCCATTAGCTGTCGACTCATTCTTCTATTTAAGGTTCGACAAATTGAATAATCAAAGAAATATCTATAATCTAAACTCGTATTGTATCTAAACTTTTCATTATTTTGTTTTCCTTAAGTTTAGCGGTCTTCTCTCTTCATATATGATGTTCAAAAAGCTATGGAAAAACAAAGAATTGCCGACATTGAAAAACCCATTACTATGGCTGATGATTTATGTGAGAAGATATTTAAGGCAAGTTAAACAGTTGGAAATATTATTGACGATTTCTTCAGAATCACTCCCACTTATGTTTTCATCATGTTGCTCGATGTCACCGTTTTCTCATATTTCACAGATGGTTCGTTGATCGAGTTTTTGAACCGTTTTCTAAAACATGCCCCACTTTCTCCTTCTACCGTATTTGGGCAGGCTCATGCTTTAAAGCGTCTACCAGAGTCAGAATTCAAAAGAATTTGCGGATAACTTATCTGTAGCTAACAAAAGTTAAAAGATAGATATCAATATTCTTGTCTGTCTTAGATAAGTTTTAATTCTTCGTCAAATTTCCATTTCCTAGGTCCTTTCTGGCGACCAATCGAGAAAACGGGCTGCCGGATTGCTTGGTGGACAAATCTGATCTACATGAACAATTTCTTGTTACAAGATGAAGAGTGTGTAAGTGCGGAGATATTATATCGAATAGAAAGACCCAGCAAACACTTTTCATCCTTTTCAGTGCATGGGTTGGACATGGTATCTCGCGAACGATTTCCAATTGCAAGTCTTCAGTCCGTTGATCTTGATCCCGTTATCGATGTGAGTATCTAGATATATCTAAATATAGAATAAATTCTTTAAAATATACATATCCTAATCCTTTTTTCTCAGTTCTCCAATTTGGGGCTTTGCAATCGCTGGCGGAATCATGGGTGCATCATCGATCATGCAGGTCACAAATTAGATAGAAAATATCCAGCTAAGATTTTTGTATCTTCCTGTAAGGTTAAATGTCTTACTGTTTGTATTCTAATATAACAGTTATTTTTGTTTCCAGGTGATTCTAATGATTATTCACGATTATCCACCTGCGCCGTTGTTGACGGCAAAGTTGCAAATGTAAGTTCGATTATTTGTAGGTTTATTGTAGATGATAATAGTAATACTGTAGTGTACACAAGAAATAAGAAAATTGAATAGTGGTCAAGTTACGTAATCTTGAAGCATATAATGAAATTCTAAACGGTGGGATAAAGCTATCGTAACCCCTGGTCTCAACGGTGGAGAAGTTATTTATACAAACATTTTGAAGCGTCGAAAAATTGGATTCCTACTGGAAAGATGTGTATGTTCGTCCATATGTTCGCTGTCAGCCATTCATCATTGGAATTCTTGTTGGATATCTTCTCATTCATTTCACAAGAAATCAAAAATCGTCGTTGAGATACAAGATGAATAAAGTAAAATGTTTAAATTTATCCCACAAATTTTCATTCTCAGAAGCATTTGCTCATTGGATGGACGATTTCGACGATTCTTGGGCTGTACAGTGTTTTTGGTGAGTTGAGAAAGCTTGTACTTTGAGGTTGTAAACGCTAATTTTTGGATTCAGTGAACCAGCGTGTTTCTTACTTTGAATGACTTCTTTTAGAAAACCCATAATTACTACCCATTTAGGGCTCTACAATTTCTCTCGTACCGGTGACATCTCAACTTGGTATTCTCTCATGTACGGGGCATTCGGTCGTCCAGCGTACGCTCTCGCAATCGCTTGGGTTTCTTTCGTTTGTGCGACAGGGAATGCTTGTAAGGGACATTAAATGAAGATCTTTATCTCATTTACCTGAATATCCTTTTGCAGCTTATGTCAACAATTTCCTTGGTTGGAAATTCTTCACCCCATTGTCTCGTATCACTTTCGATGCTTATCTCATTCATCCGATTTTACTTCAAATCTACAATTTCTCTCGCCCACAACCCTTCCATTTGACTACGTTTTTCCAAATGGTGAGTGGGATTTGATGAAAGATACAGTAATACTTTAAGAATGAGATGACTATAAACCAGATCAGTTTTGGCCATGGATCTTGCTTGCCTTGCCTGGCCTGACTTAAAAGATAAGCATTTTCTAGATGCGACACACATTTGAAGCGGTGATTGTCTCCTATTTTGCCGCTTTGTGTATCTCTTTGGGTGTCGAGGTGCCCACATCGATATTTGAGGCCAGGTTTGCGAAATTTAATGAAAGAATACTGTAAAAGAAGGATAAGAAATAAAATCTCGACCTCACTTATATTTTTCAAAAAATTCAGAACAATGCGAAGTCTCAATTCTCTTCTTCGACCAAAACGCAAAAGGGAAAACGAACAAGAAGGAGGAATTGAATTGGTGGATAAGAGCAAATTGGAGGAGAATCTGGAGATGAAAGCAAAAAATGAACAAAATGAAGAAGATATTCAATTCATCGAAGAAAGCGAACCATTGAATGGAACAAATAAAAATTGAGAGTAGGGTTTTGGAAATTGCGTAGTGATGACCCTGTGATTGGAGTGATTTTCGTGTTTTGTGCATAAATTTCGTGCTAACTTTCAAGAGTTCCACAGTGAACCAATCGAGAAAACACTTCAGAACTGAGAAAAATCGATTTAGATTTAGTTTCAGATTGTGAGCACAAAAATATTCTTGAATCAATACTCTTCTAACCTCGTACACAATCCAAATGTACAGGGGTGCGGTAAAAGTTTTTTTTGAAAAGAATATAACATTTACTGGCTTTTACTAGGCGGACCAACCATTACCTAACGGTTTTATAGCCTCTTAATTGATATAGATAGCTGAAATGTCATAAAAGATACGGTAATTTTTAGAATTTTCATAAATTTATTCACTGGCAGTTCACAAAGAGCACCAATCATTTTTCAAAAAAAAAAAAGAAAATCCGTCAAAATTTGGGTCATTTTAAAATGTGATGGCAAAACGGGATTTGTACAAAACGTAAATATAAAAAAGATATCCATAGATTATGCTTGATCTCAAAATTCCTTCAATGTCCTTGTCCATCGGGTTTAATCTGTCTCGTCAATCCATACGGGGTCATCCCTTTTTGTGAGGCACATTTATTCGTTCCATATTGAAGTGGGATCACTGTGTCACCTGGAATGTTTACAAATTTCCGAAATGTGCCCAACTTTCTCTTTCTATCGTAATCATGTCGCTACTTTTTATCCAATATAACGTAGATTTAGACTAAGTTACGGTATATGAAGCATTCTCTAGAGCACTTGCTCAATCTCAAATGCTCAGAACTCGTTTTCTAAAATTTGCCCTTTTCTCTCACTACCGTACTCATGATATTACGATAGTGGAACACGTTTTAAGAAAGTTGATTAGATTAGATGTACAAACTCTATACTTGAGCAAGTTTTGTTGGCAAATTCTGACTTCGACATCTATCAGTAAATGACGAGAACAAATTGGCAATTTTCAGATTTCTTGTCTTGTAGGTAATTCTTACTGAAAGCTTGAAAAATCTGACGTTACACTTAAAGTTCTCTTTTATATTTTTGTGCATTTCTAATGAAATCCAATCCTTAACCCACCACTCCTCATCGTGCAATCATCGAAACGTCTCGGATTTGCCTGCGCGATTTTGACGACCCATTGCGGGAACGGAACTGGGGCACCCTTGGCTTGAGCCTGGAAATTGAAAACTTGAAAAAAGAATAAGAAATCAAGTTTTTAACCGTCTAATGCAAGATTACAATCGTCTATTGCAAGAAAATTACACATTCTCTGAGAAATTTCCCGAAAACACTCACCACAGCCGTCAAGAATCGCAGACACTCGATCACCTGGAAAATCATAAAAATTTACTGGGCTTTGTTTAGAAAAGGATTTTCTGTATTTTCTAAACTGTATTTGTACCTTATACATTTGTTTATTCTCATAGAGATCCACGGTTTGAAAGAGTGAAATCTCGGCAACACCGAAATTTTTCGCAGCGTGGAGGAAATGGGAGATGTTCTCCATCTGAAAGCAAAAATATGAATGGCTCGAGATTAAAGTTGTCGATCAATATCAATTTTAAAGCCTTAAAGCTTTTAGGTAGATCAGAAACAAGAAATTTACATGGATGGCCCTTACAATCTGGCGTTTACTCTGTGTTCTCGTAAACGCGGTCGTTTGGCACAGTAGGCTCGTTAGCTTTACAATGAGTACATGAGAAAATTAAGGAAATCAAGCTATTTGAGGCTACGCTTTTCTGTGAGCACAAAGTAAAAGAAGCTGGATTTATTTGTTGGTTTACTTCCAAATTTTCAGCTCACCTTGTGAAATGGCATCTTCGGTCGCATATTGCACGGGATCACATCACGACCGTTCAAACGATTCATTAAACTGAAAAAAATGTTGCTTTTTCATTGTTAGGTAGGTTGATTTTAGCTCAAAAATGAATGACTGACACACAAAGCATCACTCCGTCTTTAAGCGCATCGCAAATATGCTGTGCGGTGGAGAACTCGGCCGGATCCGACTCGAAATTCATGCCGGTTGCCTGAAATGGGGAAAATAATTATTAGATTGCGGAAAAAAAGCGCGCTTTTTTGGTGTAATAATTTTTTTGCATTCTACAAGAAATAGCAACTATCAATCGGTAAGGTATTCTCCATTTTTATCGATAACTTTCCATCCCAAATCCTTGATTCCATTTGTGAAAAATTGGGAATTTTTGGAGCCAAAATAGTTGTTGACCGCTTTTTTGACTTGAGCATGATCACCGAACTTTTCTCCCATGATAAACTGTTTTAAGGACCGAAATAAAAAGTAATCTGACGAGGCTAAATTAGGAGAGCATGTGGAAGAAACTTCCAGTCCAGCTCATCAATTTTTTTCGTGAATGACTTTTGCAGTTTGCATTTTCGCGTTGTCGTCCAAAAATCGAATCTTTGATTGATTGAGCCCCAATTTCTTTAAAGCATCGTTAACTCTAGTGAATTGTTTTGAATAGAGATCAGCATCAATGTTTTCTCCTGGATTAGCTAACTCATAGTGCACCAAACCTTTTAAGCTCCACCAGCAATAGCATCATCATTCTTTCCATGAATATCAGGTTTAGGAGTGTTTTGAGGGGTTTGTCCGGGAGATAGTCATTGGTTCTTTCTTTTGACATTCCCGTAATTAATCCAAGCTTCATTAGGTATCAAACTCGAATCCCAAAAACCATCAGCTTTGCATTTATGGAGCAAAAAAGAACTGGCGTTGACACAAGTTGTTTTGTTATCTTGAGTCAGTTCGTGCGGGATCCATTTTTCACAGCAAATTTTTTTTTCCCGAGTTGGTGCAAATGGTTGTCGATTGTCTTCTGATCAACATTTCTGCAAGCTCGCGAGTCTTGAGTGTTGGGTTGAAGTCAATTTCAATTCCCCAGTGCGAAATTCAAAACGCGCATTACTTTTTTCTCAACCTAATCCATTGAATAACAAAATTTGAATTAAAATATTCTTTTGATGAATTAGATTCGATCGAATTCCCGAACTCACCTCTTCAATCCAAAACAAAACCTCGATCGCCTCTTCGAGATTGAAACGCGCTTGGTTCTGGAATTTCGAGTTGCGTTACGAATTAGCACCAAATATCTGGTATTTTTCCTGAATTTAGTATCACTTTGTTACGGGACTAGTCATAGATTTATTTCATAGGAATATTATATTTCTAATCATAAGCAGTGATTTTCTCTTTTTAGTTGTGAATTTCCACTTTACAATCTGACCTTTTTCTCGAGTTCCCTGCTCAGGCCGTAGCTCGGACCATGGTTTGCCATAATTGAAAAAGCTTTAGAGAATCAAAAAATTTAGCGTTGACACAGAAAGAATCTAAAATTGTTCAATAGATTATCGATCAGAGAAAAAAAATGACTGGAAAAGTTTGCGGGTATTCAAAAAAGAGTGGGGAGATGATGATTCAGCTGAAAGATAAACACAAATTTAGAAAAGGGAAAAGGGGAAACCATTCCGGAAAACCCCACCAAACAATGGGGAAACACAACAGTTTAGGAGGGGAAAGAAAGACTGGAAGATTGGATTATTTTGTGGATGTTTGGTCATCGATTTATAATATTTCGTTTATGTATGTTACTGAAGATCATTGATATGTACTAAACTTGTCCACGCACCTTTTCTGGTGCATTGCGGTTGACTTTCTTGTTTGACAAACTGATATAAAACAACAAAAATGGTTAAAAAGCACTAAAGGATTTTGAAATCTTAAAATATGATGAAGAAATGAAAAAGAAAGGAAAAAGAGAATGATGGGTTCAATCAATGAAAGGAAATCGGCAAGAAGGTGAGCTTGATTGAAACCTTGCGTTTTTCAGCCTCAACGTTTAGACATAAGTGACAATGGAAGAATGAATGAAAATCAATGAAATCGATGAAATCGATTGAAAAGATGGATGGGTGAAAGAAAATAGATTATATTTTAGCGAATATTTCTAAGCAGACGATTGAGATGAATTGCATATCTACTATATATAAAACAGAAGAGACGTCTGTATGTCTGTCTGTGCGCAGACGCAACACTCCGTAATTACGTTTGCTCTATCGGTTAAAAGGCAAAGTATTTAGCTTTTGCGCGCGATATTTTGTTCGCGGGGGTTTTCAACTATGGAGAATCTGATTTTTAGGTCCATTTTCAAAAAGGGGCGAGGCTTAACATGGGTTACGGTAGTTTTAGTCATTTGAATGGATTCCCCACCTCCCCAGTGGAAAATGCGAACAAATTGAGCGTTTTCCCCTGGTTTAAGGATGATTGGGCATGTTTGCATATCTGGTTTTGAACAAGCTGTAACAGGCAAGCCGCCAAAATTCAGTGACACAAAATGACTTTGTAAGGTTTTGTAATGTGGAAGACGAATTGAACTGAATTGAACATTCAAATGGATAATCAATCAGAGGGAAACAGGGAACAGAGGAAACCTTGAGAGATCAGTCTCTTTTCTTTTCTCTCTTTTTGATTCAAATAGCATTGTTTTCACGAAAATCCGATCCGATGAATGAATGAATGAATGAGAGAAATGAATGGAAAGAGAATGGAAGAGTCTGAATTGACAGGAAATCGCGGTGAAGGGAAAAGAAAGGCTAGGATTGGAGGAGTGAAGAAGAAAGACTCGAACAAGTGCCGGATCAAGTCCACAAATGAAAGAAAGTGAAAGGAGAGGGAACTATTTGGGAGAAGAAAAGGAAACGAGAATATTAAGACAAATACTTTAGAACATAACAAAAAGCGTTTTCAGGGACTACTAGGATAGGTCACAGGATTTACAAATAGTAAGAGGTACCTCTGTACTGGAGATGATTAGCGTTGGGTACTCTTCTGAGCCCTCGTTCAAATATATAAACCATGCTTTGCGTGGTTCTCACTTTGTCATCAATCAACTTTATTTTGAAAACAATTTGAGTACTTTAATCCATACCAATAATCAATGGCGTCATTTGTAGTTTCACGGAATACAAAATATCATTGCGTTACTGTAGAATGGCTTATTACTGTAGAACGTTATTGTAGAACCTTACTGTAGAACGTTACTGTAGAACTCAAACTACTTGTAAAAAAGAAGGCATGTACGCACGACTTTTAGGAAGCTATTTCAAATTTGTTCGTAGTTTTCAAATTGTTCTAAATAAAACAATAGGCTTTTAACATGTGTAAAGCTTAAATTATAGAAAAAAGTCTATTTCAAAAGAAAAAAAACTTTCGAAAAAAAAATCGCGGATTCGCCCTGTCGATCGTTGAATGGAAATTTGAGAATAGTCTGGATTTGCGGAAAAGGAAAAGAGGGAATGTTGCCTTTTTTGACCCGATTCTTTTACTCAATCGGAAAAAGTGCAAAAACGATTGATCTTGCAAAAAAATAAAAACGAAGTCGAAGAATATGAAACTTAAAAAGTGATCTTTATCGAAAGCTTGATCTTTAAGCTCTAGTGGATTCCTGACGTTATCTGCGCTACCCATATATTACATCCATTATATTGTGCTGCTTTTTATGAATTCATGCGTATTAATCCTAAGTCTTGCGCACTTTATTTCATGTCCTGAATAAAGTATCTATATAGAGCATTGAAATTCTCATGCGTGCGTCAGATGGAATGCGTTTACAGATTTTCAGCACAAGGTATACCATCCCTAAAGCAAATCTCGTCAAACTTTGGATCTCAAAAAAACATTAAGATTCCATCATTTTTGGTGTTCATTTGCAAAAACATGATATTTTAAAAGAAAAGGCCGAATTTTAATGAGCTTTTGGCGAATGAGCGAATTTTAATGAATTTTCATGCACTTCTGGGAATTCCAATCCTCCATTTTCACCTTAATCAATCGATTTCAAAAAAAATCAGAAAATAAAAAATAAAACAAGCTATGGAAATTTTCTTTGTGAAAATATGAAAACGAAAGCAATTTTTTTCACAGATTCCCGTCAGCAATTTGAGATGTTTTTGAGGAGAATATTTTGAAAACATTCCTCGTTTTGGATTGGGAAAAATAAGGAAAAGATTCGAATTTTTGTCTTGAAATTGTTTGTGGTCTCTTTGACAAAGAAAATGATGAGAATCCCAGAAAAAAAAATTGATTGCTTTATCCAAAAGTTGATTAAATCACTGTCAGAAATTTCAGAAATACGAAATATTGGATGTTCTCGATATCAGAAATCTCAATCTATCCATCCCATTCATTCAGATCGAACATATTTGGGGCGATCGGGAGAAAATCGGGGATTTCACCCCTTCTTCTGCCCTTCTTTTGCCCTTTCTTTGCCTTTTCTTCTTCTCATTCTTTATCCCTTTCCTTCCACCCATCCCATTTTAGGGAAATTTTCACGAACTTTCCATATTCACTGAGAAAATATCGATCGATTTCGGGGAGTATTTTCGAAGGAGATCTGCATTTAAGCTCTTGTTAACGCATACTTTCTGGTATAGCTCGAAGAAAACGAGAAATCGGTAGGCCAGGAAGTGTGCCTTTACTCGAGCACAACGTACGGATTCTCTGATTTTATTAGACTTTTCGAAGATTTCGTGCAGAAAAATTCTTTCACAATCAATGTGTTCATTTCTGCAACTTTGAGTACTTTTTATTTTGGCACCATACACATGAAAGCATTCAATGAATCGAAGAAACCCCAAAAGTAGAATTCGATCAAATTTTCCACGCGTTTCTCATCATCAAATCGAAATAGCAATCATTGTCAATCGAGGCGGAAATCGCGTTGTAGTAGTTGAAAAATTCCTCTTTCGTCACCTGAAACTCGATGATTCCAATCAACTTTCATTCATGCTTACTCAATGATTTTGTTACTCTATTTTACAGTTAGATATTGAGTTGACCCTTTAGATTAATATGGATTAATATGGATTACTGTAACTGTGGGGAAACAAGTGTGTCTAACTGGTGCATCCCAGTCATCCCCAAGGGCCAGCCCACGGCCTGGTCTAAAATAAGAAGCCAGAGCCGGACCCTGGCCTGACCTGTTCCGTAAAGTCAAAATATTAAATACGTAGCTTGGATTTCAGTTTATGGCCAGTTTCTACTTGCTCTTGAAGCGTTTATCCTTTTTTTCTCTTTTATTGACTCACTTTCCCATCTTGATGTCCTCCAATCTCGAAATGAGCCAAATACATGTTGAATATTTGTTCCTCAGTCTTCTCACCGGACAGGAATTTCGGGTGTTTCCGAGCGTTGAATACACCCTGAACGATATTTTTAAGTTATTTAATGAAGTTCATCTGATTGCCTTCATATCGGCGGCTGTAATAAAGCCATCCTTTGACTTGTCCATTTTCCCGAAAGCCAGATCGATCAGTTTGCGTCTCGTTTCGGACATTGGAGGCTGGAAATTATAAGAAAATTTGTATAAAATCGTATATAGATATATAGGGTGTCTCAAAAGTTCTGACACTTTTTGTAAACAGACATTTTGATTTTTAAAATTAACGCCGGATTATGAAAATTCAGATATTTTTATAGAATTTAAAATACCTGAGTTTTTAGAATTCGGCATTAGTTTTCCGTTTTTCGAGTCAAAAAGCTACTGTTTACAGAAAAGTATCAGAACTTTTGAGACACCGTGTAGACTCAAAATACGATATCAATTAGCAAAAGACACCCTCAACATAAACAAGAACTCGTCGAAATTGACCGATCCCGACTTGTTTGTATCGACTTGGGTGAAAAGGCTCGCACATTCCTCCAAGCTCAACGGCACCTCAAAGCCATTTTCAGTAAAGAATAAAAAAACCTCAAAAAAGACAGTACCTTTTATTCTATTTCCCTTTTAAATACAAATTTTTCCCCCTCACCTGACAATCGTGCATTCCTTTATTGAACTCATCCCGTGTCAGCTGTTTATTCCCATCATCGTCCATGATACGAAAACTTCTAAGCAAAGAAATATTCAAATCTTAAATATTTCCAATATTCATTCTCTATTATAAATTTATGATCGGATATATTTTTGCAAACCTTGAAAACTCCTTGATTCCCGTCGAGCCGCGAAGCAAGAGGGCAAGTTGAAGCTGCAAAATTGCAAAAAAATGAGTTTCTCATTGAAATTCAAAAGCTTTTTAGCGTGACTTCCTGTTTTTACTTTATTTCTATATTCCATCAACACTTTCACATACTCACTTTTCTCAGCGGATCGGTGCATAATCTCAATTCTTGTTTCCTTTGTCTTTTCAGCTCTTCCTCGGTCACATTTTGATCGGCCATTTGGAGAATCGGAGAGAAATCTGAAAAATAGGGTAAATGAAAGAAAGTATATCTAGTCAATCTTATGCAGCTTTTAAAATCTTAACTCAACATTTTTGACTACAATTTGCTAAAGAGTTAGGGAAAAAGTGGTGAAAGCACCCAAAAATTTATGTGTTTTGAGGAGGAGAGAATGCTAAAAAGAAAGGAAAAGGGGGACAATTTTGACCCCAAACAAAAAAGGCAAAAAGGAAAAGGGGAAGATCTATAAAATGGAGACCCAACCAGAAAAAAAAGGCTTTGAATGGAAAAAGAAAGAGGCTATTGGACAACTAGAAGCCGAGAAATGCAAAGAAAAGTTGTTGGAAAAACTCCCTGAAGTTTTTTTTTTTTAATTCGATGCAATGTTTTAATACTCATACATAGATATTTATAAAAAAGCCATTCACTGTCACCAGACTTGCTTACAATTATTAGATTGGCAAGTTATAAACGAACAAGTTATAAGCTTTGTTCAATGATTTCTAAGAATTCAAAAGATAGCGAAAAAAAAGATTTTTCGCGGGGTTTTTTTCTGCAAACAAACTACAATATTTTAGCGTAAACAACCTCTTTCAAATTTCTGAGCTCCTATTTTCCTGAAAAAAATCAGGACGAAAAATTTCTTATTTGCATAGCTATGCTCTACGATTTTAAACAAGGAAAATCAGCCGTTGAATCTCATCGTACAATTATTTCCGCTTTTGGAGATGGAAGTATTAGTGAAAATCAATGTCGAAAATGTTTCAACGCTTTCAAAGTGGCAACGAAAGTCTCCAGGATGAGCCGGATGAGAGGCACCCTCCAGGAGTGACTGATGTGGATTTGCTGGCAGAAATTGAAGAGGATCCAACACTCACTACACGAGAATTGGCAGAAATGTTCGATTTTTCTCATACAACAATAGAAATCTATTTCGATTGGGTCTATTTCGATAATAAAACACGAAAGAAACAATGGTTATCGTCAGGTCAAGCTCCTCAAACTACCCCAAACCCCGAGATTCATGGCAAGAAGATTATGCTTTGTTGCTGGTGGAATTCAAGAGGTTTGGTGTACTATGAGTTGGTGAATTCTATGCATAACATTGAAGCTGATCTCTACTCAAAACAGTTGATGAGAGTTAGTGACTCAGTGAAGAAATTGGGCATCAAGGTCCGTCGAAGGTTCGTTTTTTGCAAGACAACGCAAAACCGCACACAGCAAAAGTCACTCACAAAAAAACTCGACGAGCTTGGCTGGGAACTTCTACCACATGCGCCTTATTCACCCGACCTAGCACCCTCAGATTACGATTTGTTTCGATTGTTAAAGCAATTTCTCTATGGAAAACTTTTCGATGATCATGCACAAGTCAAAAACGCACTTGATTTCTACTTTGCTCAGAAGGACGCTCAGTTTTTTGAGAATGATATCAAGGAATTGCGCCAAAGATGGCAAGAAGTCATCGATAATAATACCTTTTGGATTAATGTTCTTTTTTGCGTTCTATGAAATAAACAAGTTGTTGCCTAAAACGATCGTTTATAACTTGTCAACCTAATATAATATTGCACAAATAACTAGGAGTCTTCCGTTTAAGGTACTAAGGCCTGTAAGCCAGCCAAAGGACCAGTTTTCTAGCAAACTTTGGACTAGACCAAAGACCAGACCCGGTTTGGCTGCTAGGCCCAATGCCAGAGTCGAGTCAGGATCAGGCCCAGATCAAGTCTAGGGCTGGGAGCTGGCTTGGGCCTGAGGTCAGAGTCAGGTTCAAGCCTGGCTTTTGACTGGGTCCAGGAACTTTTTGTGAGCTGGGCTAAACCAAAAGCCAGGCTAGAACCTGGCCTGGCTTTTGATTTTGATTTTGAAAAAAAAATTGAAGTAGTTCAAATCAAAATTTCATCAAGAATAGACTAAAGAAAATAAAAATCGTTGAACAAATCGTACAAAACCCAATTCGTCTTTTGATTTACAATCTAGCTGGAACCCATATTCTATACGAGAAGAAGGGGCACACAAACAATTTCTCATTTCACTTGTTGTCATGGAAATTTGGGGTGAGAAGGGAAAATTTGAGATCTTAATTAGTTACAGATAAACTTTAGCCTTTTTTTGAAAATTTCAACATTGGTTTTTGATAAAAGAAAGATTTTTGAAATAAAAGTTTTGTTTCCAAATTTTGAAAAGGCATGACTCTTTCTGGCAGACGGAAGTTTTTGTCTTGCAAGAAATAAAGGAAATTCCTTTAAGTGTCGGAAAGGGTGTGTTTATAAAAAGAACAAAGTACACTTCTTCGCAATTTCTCCCTCAAAAACTTACTACCGATCACTTGGAAACACGCTGAGCGATTCACGCATGACATTCTGAAAAATGTTTTGATAAATTAGAAGTTTGTGAGCAACTTGGGAAATGAAAAAAGCAGAAAAAAAAAACAAAGAAAGGAAGATGCAAATTTTGTTCTTCCTCTAGAAAACTCTGGAAATTCCCTCGAGAGAATCGAGGAGGGAAAAAAAGACGAAAAATCGACCCGGAATGTTCGGAATTCGAGAGAATTGAAGAACTCTGGGAATGATAAATTTAACATTAGCAAGAGTTTGGTAATTCAGTGAAAAAAACTATAATTTTGAAATTTATCTTGAGTTTATTTGCTATTAAATCCCCTTGCTTCCAAGTGTACATTTGTTTTTTGTTACTGTTACTGTTACTGTTTTTTGTTAATGGTTCTTGTCCGCTGCAAAAAATACTCAAAGTGTCTGAAAAATACAGCCAAAATTGGGGAAAAAATCTTTCCCAAAAATTTGGGCATAGCGGAAAGGCCCAAGGCGGTTTAGTCTGGTCTGGTCTATTTGATATCATTTGTACGTTTGTTTTTTGTACTCTGGTCTATTTGATATCATTTGAAAAGTCTGAAGTGTACTCTTTAAAACTAATTGAAAGTTAAAAATAATATAATCTCTCTACGAAGTTATGAACCTTCAAAGTGTAAGTACCCATTCAAAACCCAAGATAACGGATAAGAGCCAAATCTTCAAAGGGTCTTCACTGGATCTACAAAACGGATTGTGAAGTGCACTCAAATTGCCTTTACATAATTTTTGTAAGATACTATCAGAAAACAAAAAAAGTGCGGATTTGAAGCTCATGGAAGTTAATAAAAAATAATAAATAGCATTCAAAAATTGTTCAAAAACTAGCACTTACTAGTGAGTTCGTTCTCAAGTAGGAAAAAAATCGAAGCTTGTTTGCATTTGAAAAAATTAGCTTTTTGGAGGGAGGAGAAGGTCCAGACGGGGTTTTCAGCGCTCCCCAAAGAGAAAGGATGGGCTTTGGGCCAAAATAGGGAAATTGAAATGCGTACCCCTCAAGGGACAACCAAAAACCCCCATTGAGTATCTTGCTAAATGAGTGCTTTAAAGAAAAAGAAATACTGCATTCGCAAGTTGTGCTATACCAGACAATGAAGTAGATTATGTAACGGCAAAAACACACCAAAAAGTTTGCTGTTTGCTGTTCATATGGAACAGCAAAATACACCAAAAAGCTCAGCTACAAGAGTTCATTGTTTACAATGATGATGTTTAATTGTTTTTTTAAGCTTTTTATGGGGATTTGAAGAATTGAAATACTCAGTCAAGCGAAACAAAATGGTTGTGCAGTGCATGGCTTGTGTGACTGACTTCAAGACGAAGATGCCCGTTGATTCCTTTTTTTCGATCGATGTTTATTAATATTTCTGATTTTGGGCTGACAATATATTCAAATCACAACTTCTACCAGAGATGGCTATAACTTTACTTTAAATTTTTTATTGCCTTTAAAAACAATCGATCACTTTACTCGAGTCCAAATCACGGAATTTATCATTCCAACAGCATCATCATGGCATTTCCCTCGATCATTTCCTTCATCAAGTCAAATTTCAAACCGATTTTCCTTTGTCTTCAGAAAAGCTTTTCGCATTTTCTGTAATTGAATGAACAAATCGAATTTCGGAGTAAAAGAGCGAACTGTTCTGTGTCTCCTGTCCTCAGTTCCTTTATTTCCTCTATTTGTTGTCATAGTCACCATTTTCTTTTCCCCTAAATTACCCAATCTTTAAAATGTCAACTACAGAAATCACAAAGACTTCAACAATTTTGATTTCTTTTCTAAAACGCGCCTACGATACCGTAGCAAAAACGTTCTAACTATGTAGATTTTAAGTTAAATTTCTAGAGTGCACTCGAGAATGCCCAAAAACGGGAAAACTTTTTGATTTATTGATTATTTTTGATAGATTTTCTACATTACATTCGATAAAAAATAAAAAATGAAAACTTGCAAATTTAGTTGATATTTCTTTAAAATTTTCATATTCATTAGTCTAATTAAAAACACTTTCTCATCACACAAATTTCTACTGTAATTTTATTGTGGGAAATCGGAGTTTTCATGAAAATTCCCTCAAAAATAGTGGCACGTCAAAAATTTCGCGATTTGTACCTCATTCGGAGAATTGTTCCCTTATTTAAAATGATGAACTTTCCAAATTCCCATCTTTTTATGAAAGTTTCATAGTTTTTGAGTGATTTGGAGCTCTTTTTGGAGAGTTCTGAAGTTTGGTACTTTTTGGAAGCTTTCATTGTCGAATACAAATTCAATTGTAAAGGGTTAGAATAAATTCCTCTCTTTAATCAGGGCATTCTAATCGGACCCAACTATAAGGCTGGATCTGGTTCAGCTACTGCCAGGTTCAGGGTTTCGAAACCAGGCTTGAACCTGCCTCCATCTGGCTTCTAGTAGTCAGCCTCTCTGGCCTAGTCTTGCGAGAAGTCATTATCTGAGCCTGGCTCTCTAGATTTAGGTCCGATATCTCTACTGGTACTGGCTTTGGAAAATTGAAAAAACAACCCCTGTTTCTAATGAGCTTGATTTGCAATCATCGACCAATTCTCCCATATTTTTTGTACTTGTTCCGATTTCATTCCCATTTCCTGATTTCCCCGTCAACTTCGATTCCATTTCTTTATCATTTCCCATTTCTTTTCTCTAATTTTTTTCAATTTCTTTCCCGTTTTTCTGACGAAAAGCGACCAATTTGACGGAAAAAAAATCACCAGATTTTTCCTCTTTTTCTTCTTTTTTTTCTTAAAATTGGCCCCTTGGCACCGATGGGAATTCCACTGAAAACCGATCATTTTCTTTTTCAAATCAACTACTATTTTAGCCTCTTTGACCAATAAAAACCGTATCCTTGAATATTTCATTATCCCACTTTTAAGCTGCAGACTGGAGTTGGCTGGGAAATTTTGTCATATTTTGCATACAAGACCCAGGTCTGACTCTTGGCGAGTCCTGGGCCAGTAGTAAAAAGCCATTTCTGGTGTATACCAAATCAATCAAATCAAATCAAATTTATCTGGATTTAGTGGGATACACTTATCAAGTTCATTGGCACATCTCAAAGAGCATTAGTAATCTTGTTCGATAATGCAAAAAATACAAGTTAGACATGTGCCTGATCACTTTGACTTTTGAATATTCCTCATTTGCTCACGTCAATTTCCAAAAAAAACTCTCTTTCCCATCGATATCATTTCGATGACTTCTCTTTTTTCCGTTAATTTTCCCGATTTTTGTAGCCGCTCTATTGAGAAATGATTGTGAAAAGGGGAATTGAGAAAATTGCCCCTTCAGAATCGATTCAATTTCTTTTTCCCTCAGAAAAGCGGAAAATTATTTCTTCTGGCTTTAGTCATTACTTTTTTTTTCTTGTTAAGTTTAGGAATCTTTTGGTGGCATATTTGTAGGCACAATTCGGAAAAACGGGTATAATTTTGGTAACCTTTGTTTGGATACGGTAGGGAAGTACAGGCTATTTTATGGGGGAATACTCTCCCAAATCTGCAGTAAAGCCAGACCAGGACCTGACTTCTTGGCCGGGCCTGGCCTTGTCCAGAGGCTTACAATTGGAAAAACCCTACCAGGACGTAACTACTATATCGAGAAACCCTTCAGACAATCATCTTTCATGTGTACGTTGAACCCATCGAAACGCATCCTTCCTGGCGCATCAAAATCTTCATTCTTCACTCATCACCAATTTGATTTAAAATAGTGTACTTCGCATTTTCGAGAGCACAAAGTAAATACATTCGACAAAAGATTTTCAAAGAAAATCCAACTATTTTGTGAGCAATTCCAAGCTGATTAGATTGTGGTTTGTATTTGTAAATCTTTTTTCCGCAATTCCTCAGATTTTCCCTTCCCAAGGGAGGGATTTATTCAATGGAATAATTCTCAATTAGTTCTTTTTTATCAATTCTCTTTCTTTATCCAATTTGTTAAAAGGAAGTTTTGAGAGAAAAAGTGGTCTCTATTTCTTTTTTTTTTGTGCAAAAATTTGCACTACAAGATCAATGGACTCGACTGGAGCTTTGTTTGAATCCATTCCAATTACCCAATTCATTTTCAATTATAAAATCCAAAAAATTGTAGCATAAAGTGACTTTTTTGGATTAACGAATGGAGACAAATCTCGATCCACAAATACAATTCCGAGCAATTAGGGCGAACCAAATTCCGCCTTTCACAAATCTTTCATTATTTTTCTCTCATTTTCCCGTTTTTCTCATTCGCTTCATTTGAAAATCGTGCGAATGCGTAAGATTTTAATCTTATTTTTGCTTCATAAGGTTTTGTTTTGGAAAGAAATGTTTTGAGTCAGTGTTTTTTTGAAATGCAAATTTTCTGGGGCGATTTTTAGTGCTAATCTCACTACTGATTTATTCAAAAACTATAGTTTCGCTTGTAAAATCGATTTATTCAAGCCGTTTTAATTACCCAGTGTGAGAAGACTTGTCCCGAATGGGTCACTTTGGAAAAACTGCAAAACTCCATTTTTATTTTGAAATTAGTGATTGCAAGAAGAAAACTAAACAATAAATGAATTTTTTCAAATTTTCGTTTTAATGTCTTTCTTTCATCGATTTCCTTGTCCAAAATTCACCTGCACTTGTTTGTCTTCTTCTGAATGATCACTTCCCAGAATCGCCCACCTAATTCGATTATGATAGTACTTTTTTGAACTTTATCAATATTTTTAGATCATAAATTATCAATTTTCTGTAAATTCCCCGCTTTTCTAAATGTTCAACCGATGAGAGTGAAAATTTGAGCCAAATGGGCGCCTCCCTTTGCAAAACAAAAAAGAAAAAGGTAAGAAAATTGGAATTTTCAAAACTAAATTGATTTATAATCGATTTTTTTTTCGGAGTATTTGATGTTTCTTGATAATCTTTGATACGTTTATTCCTTCAGCAAGTCGGCTCATCGTGGGTGGGAAACGAAAACGAGAATCCCTTTGATTTGGGACTGAATAAAAGGGAAAGAGTTTGTCTACGAGAAACATATATGGTGAGTCGAATGAGGAAAGCTCTTACTTTCCCATTGTCTTATCGATCCATCGAAATCTGGACCGACACCAGTCCTGTAGAGTCTCCTATAGAACCGATTTTCCAGGCCAACTCAATCATTGGCTTTTGGTCTGAAAGTGAAGTCAGCTCAAGTTTGAAACTCGCTAATTTTTTGAAATTTTATGAATGTAGCAAAACTGAGTTATGATCTAGCGAAGATTAGATTTGTTTCTCTGAACAGCCCTGGTTTCAGTAATTTCTCAAAATCTCAATCGAAATGTTATAAAACAACAGTCAATTACCCATTTTTCTTACAGAGACTACACGATCCGAAAGAGATCGTCGGCATGATTTTTGCCGATATCGTCTTCGATTTGGAACCTGATTTGAAAAAGGTTTCATCGTAAAATTGTATAAAACCGAAGCCGTTTTCCTCAGGTTTTCGGTGTCGAGCGAGCGCCGAAAGCGACAATGTCGAAAATGCCGAAATTCGGCGGTCACATCGCGCGTTTCACCGAACTCCTCGATCAGGTGCCATACAATTTACAATCAAATAAAAAAATAAAGTTATAAATAGCCTATCTGAAATGTCAGCTCATTATAAGTACCTGGTTATGATTTTCTAAAAGATTTTCAGTTAACATCGATGCTTGGCTTCACAGATAATGTGGCTGGAGCGTGGCAATTGGTTCGGAAAACTGGCAGAAGTCATGTGAGTTGAAAAATTTGAGCTAAATTTTATTTTTGTAGCTAAATACAATCCATTTATTACTCTAAATACGGTCGATTTTCCTTGAGAACTTTTTCCGAACGCCGACTGACCTGTGTAGAGCCGGTCAAATTAACAATTTAACCGGCCAGACGCGCCCCAGCTACCGTAACCCAAGGTCAGGTCTTTTGATGGATCTCATCTAAAGTTCCCCTTGATTTTACGGTACTACGGATTACTGTAGCCTCTACTAATGCTACAACAACTCGACATGGGTTACGGTAATCGGGCCACGCTTTAAAACACCTACCCGAGTCGACTTGCGGCTACCGTTTGCAAGTGTCATTTTCCAGGTGAGGCAAACATTTCTCGAGCAAAATCAGAATCAATTGGGGAAAAATTATTTCCAACTTGTGATCGACAATTTCATCACCGAATTCATCCCATATGTAACTGGAGATAAGGTGAGCATTTGCTGAAATGATCGAATTTTGCAAATTCTGATATTTTAGGAAGAACCGATGCCCGAAAATGACAAGAAGAAAGTACGATTTGCTCAGAATTACACAACAGGCTATATCAATGATGTTTGGCAGAGGTGAGTGGGGAAACGATAATTGCGGGGAGGGTTTGTAAGCTAGGACAGGACTGGACAAAGTCAGAAGACAGATTCAGAGCTGACCCTGACCTTGCCCTTTGAAACAAACCTGACTGTGAGCGTACTCTACTGATAGTTTATAGTATTATCAAAATGTTTACCAGCAATCGAATCCATAAAAGTTCTCAGATTTTTCAACATTCTCCTTTCGCAAATGGTCGACTCATTCGAAATGGAGCGAACAAAACAAAGAAATGCACAATCGCAAAAAGCGCTCGCCCCGCATCAACATGTGGAACAAAGTGAAAGGAAAAAGAGGAAAATACAGGTAAAAGTTGATCAAAAACTACGCAAACTTATGCAAATTAAATGCAAATCGAGATCCTTGAACTTGCAATCTGTTTAAGAAACAAAGAATTTGCAGGAGAAAGCGAGCGAAATCGAGAATACGGCCGGCTCGAATGAGCCAAGGGAACCCGAGCAAATGTTTGAGGATCCTTTCTGAAGAAAATTCAAAATTAATCATTAAATATTCATTTGATTTCATCTCAAAATATCCCTTTTGATTTGTACAAAATCTGTTGCTTGCTCGCTTGCTTTTTTTCGCGAAAATTTCGCGAAAATTTTTGTTGCGTGTGTTCCCGATTGATTCCCAAATCGTACCGGTGCCAAATGAAAATAAAATTTATCGTCTCCATTTTTTTAATGGATTCACAAATATTTTTGCATTTTATTTCTGAATAAAGATTTGGGTAAAATGAGTAAAAAATTTATATAAGCTTTTCATTTCTATTCTCGAAATTCTTTTCTTTAAACCCCCAAATATCCGTCTCGTGCCGAGTGATTTCCCAAATTCTTGCATAAAATCGAGTGAATCTCGGTGAAATCCGGCCGTTTCGCCGTGTCGAATGCCCAACATTTCGAGGAGAGTTTTTGAATAAAATTTTTGGGGTTCAAATAAATTTCTATATCCATAGGTTATTTTGAAAATCTTTGCACCTTTGGATTCTCCATTCCCGAAAACAGGAAGAAATTTTCAGCTAAGTTCAGGCAAAAAAAAACTATTAATTTCAGCTGTTCAATCCACTGCACCGATGTACTGTAATTTGCGGATACAGCTACCTAAGTTGGGTTTTCAGAACTGATTTAGGGATTACTCAGCCCATTCGTAACGCTCACACTTCCAGAGACTCTGGCCGAAACGCTTCAAGGAGTATCAAAGGATTCAAGGAGCTCGGGTGAGTGCATTTATGTGATCGAATTATGATAGAATTTATAATAGAATGCATTATGATAGAATTTGTCCAGAACCCTGAAAAAGCGACAACTTTTTCATTTCAGGGTCAAACTTTGAAGGACTGGCTCGGAAGTCTTCAATCGAACATGCCGGCCTATTTAATTAGAGAGGCACTCACGAAAAATCCCCGAGAAATTTCATGTGAGTTGCAGAAATTCTCACTCTTCTGAGCTCTTTATTCAGATTCATTTCCCAAAAATTCGTCAACAAGGCGAAATGCCGATAAGGAGAACGATTGTGGATCTCGGAGTTGCGACGATTTTTACGGAAAAGGCCAATTTGAGGGATATCGCCACGTCGAACACTCACATTACGGATATTGTGCATAAAGCTTTTATCGTGGTGAGTCCAGAAAAAAAGCGTGTTAAAGGTAGCAATATTTTGAAGGTGAAATTGTTTTTTAAACATCCCGTTCTAGTTTTCGAAAGTCATGTTTAAGTTAATAATTCAAGTCAACTAGATTTTGTAATCCATTCGTGACGATGGCATTTTGGGCGTACAGTCGCGCAGTCGCTAACTGTTTTGCAGATAATTTGGTGAAAATTCAAAGATAAACTAAACTATGATAGCTCATTCGATAGCCCTGAATCTCCTCTTGAAACCTAGTACAAAGTTACCGAGAATTTTCTGCGAAATAAATAACTTGCCCTTAAAAACTTGAGTTAACATCAAAAATAATCTTTATTAGTACGGCCATATTGTTGTGAATGTGTTAAAATCGAAAACTTGTCGCTTTTCAGATCGCCGGTGAAAGTGATGTCCCCTCTCCTCCTCCAACTCGCTCCACCTCCACTCTTTCCCTTTCTTCATACCATTCATCCACTTCTTCATCCACTTTTCCTTCTCCCCGTCCACCCGTCATTGCCTTCTTTTTCTATTTACAATTCCATTGTTGAAATATTTTTTGTCCCTCCTTTTTTCGGTACTTTTACTTGCTCCCAATAAAATGTCATGAAATGAAATTTGTCAAGTCTAAATGATGACGCAAACTACCGATTCAGACGCACTCAGACATACTAATCCTACAATTCGAGATAAAAAATTTTCTGCATATTTCTGCATATGCATCGGCTGTTGCCAAAGCTGACCCAAATGTTCTACATTTTACAAAAATCTTCATGTTCAATGGTGTCTGATAAGTGTCTTTAGTGCAATCAAACGCATCATAAATGAGCACTTGAAAATAGCAGTACATTGGAAGCTCAATGCCGAGAATCAATGGGATTGCCTAAAACGAGATTAGATTTTAAAACCTGCGAACCAACCTGGACTAAAATGATCGACTTTGTTGATGCAATCGATAGAGGAAGCGTCATCAAAAGTGGTGACCGAATTGGAGAGGACTCGTCCAAGGTAAGCAGCACCTCGGAGTTTCGTGTACTTCTGCAAATTTTTGTTGATCGGGATTAGTTTTGAAATATGGATACATAAATTTGTGCTTAAAAAATCCCCCAAATAAAACTATGATTTGACTGTGTGGACTATAGGTGGTTTTGTGAAAAGGGAATGAGGGAAGGGGAATGGGATGGAAAAGAGAAAGTGGATTCACAAAGCCCGGGACCACCCACAACCTTTTAGACCACCCATCATGTTTCCTTTTCACAATTTTGCCCGAAAGCTTAAAGGGTTTTTCTATTAAAATGGATAAAAAGTAGAAAAACTTCAAAAATACACAAATTCCTTTTAGGCCACTAAAGTAGAGAACTTGATTGAAAAGGGGGAATGAGTTAAATTTTGATAAGTACAAGGTTATACAAAAATGGTAAAGTGAATTTCATCAATGATTACCTTGAAGGGTCTCATTCCTTACCTTTTTTATATCCTTGTACTTATCAAAATTTAACTCATTCCCTCTTTTCAATCAAATCCTCTCCTTCCGTGGTCAATTTTTCCACTGGCTGGCTGGTTTTTGTAAAATGTAGAACATTCATGTAAACTTCGGCAACAGCCTAAAAGGAATTTGTGCAATTTTTGAAACTTTTATACTTTTTTTTTCCACTTTAATAGAGAATTTACGGGGAAAGCTCTCAATTTTCGGGCAAAATTGCGAAAAGGAAACGTGATGGCTGGTCTAAAAGGCTGTTGGGTGGTCCCGGGGTTTGTGAATCCACTTTCTCTTTTCCATCCCATTCCCCTCCCGTCATTCCCTTTTCACAAAACTACCTATAGTCCACACAGTCAAATCATAGTTTTATTTGCGGGATTTTTTAAGCACAAATTTATATATCCATATTTCAAAACTAATCCCGATCAACAAAACCACTCACAAAAAAGCTTTAGTTCTTGATTCTATCAACTTTGTATGTATATGCAATGAATTGGTTTTCTCCAACCTTGGATAGATACTTTCAGCATTTGTACTTTCACCTTGAAAGTCTTTTTCCCTTTCAAATTTGTTTTAATTGCATCACTCGTTCTCTCGTTCGTCGTCTCTTGACTGATTGCTGGGCTTTTGCCAATCCCGCGTAAACCCCATCGAGTTCTAGGAGTTCCAAATGTGTTGCTGAAATTGGATATTTTAAAATTAAAATTTTAAAATCTTTTTCGACGATATTTCCTTTCTCAAAAA